TGGAGAGCATGCTCGCAGTTTATCAACACCGTGGGCCTGTACTATATTTAACACTTTTACCACGCATTAGTTGTACATAATAATAACCTTTTTGTAGAAAGATCCCGCTGACAGCAGTTTCGTAAATTTTGCAATGGATTCTGTAAATTACTAATATTTGATTTAATCAACAAATTCAACATTAATATTATGAGAAGTATGACAAAGTATTAAAAGAGATATTCAGAGTTTTTGATCTTAACCGTTTACGAATTTTATTTAACAAAAAGACATGATAAATAAAGGCATTTTTTATATTTACTCAGTAAAGCGGCATTGTCATTTATTATACAAAAAGCAACAGAGAAATGAAATAATAATGGCCAAATTTTACTTAAATAGGATACCGTAAAATTCCGAAAATAAGCCGCGAGGCTTATATTTTTTAAAGGCCCTTTTTGAGGGGCTTATTTTTGGAGGGAAATTTGCGTTTCAAAATTGACTGAGCTAGCTTGTAGTGGAAAGGAAATTCACCATTTTTGCTTTGTTTTACTTTGTATTCGAGGGCAAATTCCAAATTCGGAGGGGCAATTTAACGGAGGGTTTTTTGCGTTGTGATTTTTGGGGGCTTATAAATGGAGGGCCTTATTTTCGGAATTTTACGGTATCCTAACGCGGGGTAAAACATCCATGGATAACGAAGATGGGAAATGGGTATCGTCTTAAGTAAGAGTCGTCGTCTTAAGTAAACCTGCAGGAATAAATGCTAAATTTTAATTTTTCTAAAGAGCCGTAAATGAGTCAGAAAACTGAATACGAATATCAAACTGCTACAATAACTCTGAAGTAACGTTTTTCAGTTGCCTACTATTATAACAACCAAGAATTAACGTCGTTTCGTGCGGTATCAATTTTGACCAAATAAAAGGCGTATCATGGTTCTTTGCATCATTTTGGAGACCAATGGAAATTATTTTTTTCGCCTGATGGAAAAGAAACGACTTTAAAATTTTGACTTTCATTTTGAACATTTGAGGTTCTCTTTAAGATTTCTGAAGATGACTACCGTACTGGTTGTCGAAACGTTAGTCACTGTCCATAACAGTCATTTTGAGTGATCAGCATCAAATTTCTCCTTGTAATATCAATGCTTTGTAAAACAGAGTGGTCATGAGAACTACGGACATGATCACACAAGATGAATTTGCTTGATATTTTATCAACTTCTCCCCACAACTTCTGTAGGAAACGAATAGGGGCAACAAATGAGAATTCAAATTTTGATCTTGGGGTTTAAAGGGTTAAGGACTACACCCACCTGGGTGATCATATTCAAACTACTTATGAAATGACTTCTGGGTTCAAACCATTCACTGGTAGAGGAGGGGCATCTAACGTGCTCATAAAATGCTAGCACAGTAGCATTGCCACTCTGGGACAGTAACCTGCGCACAGACAACCCCTCCTTTAAAAATAATCGCGGGAGAGAGACTCTCACAGCTTAATTTTGGGGTTTGTGTTTTTGAACGTGCCAGGAAAGTCAGTTAGTTAATTGAAAAGAGTCACAAAATTTTGTGATAGCTTGTTGTAACACACTGTACGAACTTCCAAAACACACTTAGCACTCCAGAACAGTTCATTACGATACTGTATTACGGTGGCTACCAATTCTGCAGAAAAGCCATCAAGTCATTGGAATTAGAAGCTGTGTCAACATTGAATTCCTGAAAGAAAGAAAAGAAAGTAGATTCTGGTATTTCAGAGAAAACCTTTGCTTATGCTTTAGAAAAAGTCTACCTTAAGTGAATAGAAATCAATTTAGAGTCTGAAAAACTAGCCACCGACTCCTCCCCCAATCCAGCATTTTGTCTTGAGTAAGAAGTCAGTGTTAAAATTGGGCTAGGGGAGGGGTGGGTAGCTCACCAGTTTCTCAGAATTGTGTGGAGTCCAAAGCGAAGAATTGGTCACCACTTAACTTTGATTAATCTTTTCATTACTATAAACTTTTGTACAGTTGAACCTCGCTATTTCGAAGGAAGATCGAATGCCCTTGGATTTACCCTTCCCCTTTACGCTTCCCCGGTTATTTTGAAGCCCCGCTATTTCGAAATTTTTTTTCATTTCCCTTGGGACTTCGAAATAGCGGGGTTCGACTGTATATGATCGGCTCTGATTTTGTTAATTGTAAAGTACAGTGGAATCATGATAAAAATGAAACCTCTATATAACGCTGTCCTCGGTATAACGAACTATTATTTTGTTCCAAGAGTAGTGCAATATATGAAAAAGAACCTCGATATAACAAAACCTCTTTATAGCGAGCATATTTATTTTGCTAGTCCCTTGGGCCTAGCTTTAATAAGTACCTTAAATAAAATTTAATACTTACTCCAAATCCTCTATTAAGCCCCCCCCTCTAACAAGCCCCCCCTTCTCAGGAGAAGAAAGTTAATAAGCCCCCCCTCCCTATTAACCCCCCCCCTCCCCCCTAATTATTCTTAACTAATATATGAAAGACTGTATTAATCAATCATGATTGTAAAACTTTGTGTGGACTGATCTGGGATGGTTTACTTACCAACTGGAAGTTCGTATGTGATTCTGATCCTCGGCTGCACGACCTAAAACGTCTTGTACTTGAGCTTTTCCTCTCCGTATTCTAGTTCTCTATGGAGAACTGATACCATTGTCTTTTCTAAATTAAATAAGCCCCCCCTCTAAAATAATCCCCCCATCTCTATAAGTCCCCCCTCAAATGGGCTTGAAATAAATAAGGCCCCCCGAGGGGGAGGGGCTTAATAGTGGATTTACCGTAATCATCCTCTCCTCAAAAGGGGCTTAATAAATGAAACAAAAACCTTAAAATTAATTAAACATAAGAGGGTTAAGAATAGTATCTGGAAGGAGGTAAACTAATTTGTAGGTTAGTGCTACTGTTTTTAGTCAAGCTGGGATCTATTCAAATGCACACTGTAACATTATTAAGGTAATGCTCTGAGAGTTTCCCCTTGTTATAAAATACTTACACTAGACACAGTTGAAGACTTGTTGAGTTCCTGAAGGCCAATGTCCTCCCTTTGAGATGATGGTTCACTAGCTAGTTGTGTCGAAAAACTTGCACTGCTCTCCCACAGCTGTGTCTCTGATGAAACATTGACTTTAACAGCACTTCCAGTCAGAGGGGTGTCTGAGACAAGATTTTTTTTGCTTCCTTTGAGAGGTGTTGATGATGCAAGATTTGAGTTACTTCCCTTGGGAGTTATTGTCGATACAAGGTTGGATTTACTACCCTTTGGAGGTGTGGTTGATACAAGACTTGCCTTGCTGCCTTTTGGTAATGATGATGATGATGACAAACTTCCTTTACTCCCCTGCATGCTACTCGCTGGACTGTGCTTAACACCGTCAAACATGAATTCTTTCCTAGATAATGGTTCTGATCCAGGAAAGCTGCCACTCTGACTTGTGTCCTTAGACCTTGTGTCAACGTCATTCAGTGCTCGCCTTTTAAACTCAGCAGAAGCCAATGTGCTTATTTCCTCAGCGTCAGCTTCTAAGGCATTTTTCAAGTGTTGCTCAAGTTCTCCTTCTTCCAACAAAGAGAGGTCTTGTTGACTCTAAAAAAGGTTGAGAAATTACTGATAAGACCTTCAGCTCTAAACTGTCACACTCAGAAAACCATGATGCACTGAAGCACTCACTAAGGATGCAACAAACCAATGGAGATGACCACCCTTTGAATATTATCTATCAACATTCACATTGGGGGCCTTGTTAACCTATTACTTCAGATGATTTACCAAGGTAAGGAGTCTGGCAAAGTCTACCATATACTGTGTACTTGTAATTTACATGAAAAGCCTTGAGGGGAATGTGGGTTAATATGACATTTTCAGGGGCAGATCTAGTGGGGTGTGCAGGATGTGTGCACCCCCCCCTTAGGGTGACCTGCGGATTTCTAATACAACTGGTATTCTGTATTAAAATTTGTTTTCATCACCAGTCAGTTACACCATTCCTTGGTGCTGCACCCTGTCATAAGAAAAATCCTGGACCTGCCCCTGATTTTGTACTTGTCAGTGCAATGGTTTCAGCCAAAACAGGTATATTCTACTGTGACTTGAGTAAACCTTGCTGTTATTACTGAGGCCCTGTCAGGGTTAAATTCTGACAAGCCACATGGCCTTAAAACAGTGACGTAAGACTAGACGAAATGGTGACAAACAACACGAAGTTGGGTTGAAACTGCGACAGAGAAGACAAAAATCACAAATACAATGGTAAAACTCCAACAGCAACACGGCCTGCTCTTCAACTCACTGAATGACCACTATTGAAATTCCGACTAGGGGCATACGTCAGGGTATTCAATAAGAGCCGCTGGCCAGTGAAATTCGCCGGCTATTTCACGTGAACTCACCGCCTACTATTCTTTGGAAATTACCCCAGTTTAAATAAAGTATTCATGTGCTGTCAAAGAATAAAAAAGCCGCAACTTAATGATGTATGTGTTCTGTTCAAACACTCTCATTTTTGCTTCAGAATGCTGGAAATGCATCCCAAGAGGCCCAGATTTCAAAGTTTTTCCAGAAAGTCGTGCCTTTATCGCAAGTTTTTCCTTCCCCACCTATTCCAAAGCTTTTGCCACCTACTTGAAATCTTATTGAAAACCCTGTACGTACCCTTCCCCCCTCCCCTTAAGAGGGCTTCATTATTCTTTAGTAATACAAGTATATCAACATATAGGAATTCCTGAGATACTCCAACCACTTACTTTTGTCTCCCAAGACCAAGGAGATGAGAACTGGTCTTTTGAATGCATCTCCTATAAAAAAAAAGGTTTTAAAAGGTTTAAAGGCCTGTTTATAGTGGAAAGTGCAGTTTGCTTAATATCCAGCTAGTTTACAGGCACTCCACTCAAATACTTAGAAACAAATAATAATTCAAATACAACATAACAGGATTAAAAACCCCAACTGACAGGACGCAACCAGTTGGCTATTTACAAGCGTGGCCGAGAATTTGAACTCAGGATGACCGAGTACAAATCCAGCAAGTGGCCAGAGCGGGACTCGAACCCGGGACTGCTGGATTGCGGGTTCAATGCGCTGACCACTCTACCATGTTGCCTCCTTGTTTAAACCAAAAAAGAGAAAAACCAAAAAGAGAAAAGGGGAAAGGAAATTGTTTCTGTGAGATTTGTAAAGTCTAAGCTAATTAAGTATTACTCAATATCATGTTATGACTTTGAATGCACTTTTCTATACACATGCAATTTGCAACATTAGTCTGTTGAAAAAAATATTTATGCAAAATAGGTTTTTCCTAATTTCGGTGAAAAGGAAAATAATCTTTAATTTATTAGATTACACTATACTGACATTAGTGGGTATGTGATTGGTAGAATCTCTTCTATGGTTAAACAAGTATTCAACCTACAAGGTGGTCTGCTAAGGTAAGAATCCTAGCATAAAGCTAACTCTAATACAGAGATGCAAATAACAGTTGGTCATCAGACAATGTCCAACCAAAAATTTGCCATCCAATGAATAATCCCACCTGCAGTCGGACATGCATGATTACCGGATAGAACAAGCATCAAAGACTATCACTTGGTAGCAGAAGATTTGCTAAGCAATAATTAAAGAATTATTTATAAGTGAACATGATATGTGTCTGACATCTTTTCTGGTTTGTCCAGCTAGAATGGTGACTTGGTTAGATTTGTTCTCTTTTCTTAAAAAGAAAACTTTTCGCAGGGCCTGCTAATCACTTGAATACTGGTTTAGCCAGTTTAAGAATGGATTTTTACCTACGACAGTCACATCATTGAGAAAAAAGTTGATCCCTTTGCCCGAGCCACCAGTCCTTGGACAGCACTCACACATGCACTGATTGTCTCAACTTGTCTGAGTTGGCCTGGCTGGGTGAGCCAAAGTGTTTATTTGGATAAAATTGTTGGCCCAACCACAAGGGGAACCCTACCTTCACAAAAGGATGACCCAGCTAGGCGAGTCACCCTCCTAGGGGTGCCAACTTTTTGTTTCTCATGTAAATGGTTCGCCCCATTTTGTTTAAGGAAATGTATGAAAAGCTAGCTTGCCCACTGGTAGCTTCCAGGGTGACCCGTTCACCTGGGACAACTTTTCTCCATAGAAACGGGATCAAGTATGTTAGTCAAGTCCAGGAGGCATTCATGCGTGACATGTATGTGCCTTTGGAGTGATAAAAGTAAGATATTTGACTGCCATGTTGTAACGTTGAATTTTCCTGTTAGTAGCACTCTCCAAAAAACGTGACAACAACTGATTCTCTCTCAGCCTTAAGATGGAAGGGAAATCCACGACCCATAAATATTCACAATGTAGTTTTCATATTGTGATTTTACAATATTTACTGCCAGGGTAGTATAATTATTAGGGCAAAAACTAGAACATGCTCTTCTAGCTTTTCCTCTAATTTCTTTTAAGAATTAGCTCCATTTCCGAGGTGTGGTGTATGTTAAAATCTACATAAAATGATCTTAATCCACCACACCCAATGCTTTTACTATCAATGGCTATCAGGTAGACGTCATGAGCCCGCTCGCATTAAAAAAAATAGTGTGACATGTTGTGCTTCCAAACGCGTAATTTGCCAAGAATTCGATTCAAATATGCCCTCAAAGATGCGTTGAAATGCGAAGATAATGTTTCGAACCCAAAACTTACTCAGAAAATCAATTTGAAGGAAAATAAATTTGATTGCTAAGCACAAAGGGCATAAAATCTTACCGTGACAGATGCTATACTGTCGCGCGGGTTAAAACTATTTTCCGACCCCGAGACTCCATGGGCCAACCTCAAGACAGGAAACCAGTCGGGCTTTCTTGTTGAGAAAGTTCCATCAACGTAGTAATGTTTTCTAACTTTAGGGTCGAGCATTCGATTATCTATTAACTTGTCTTGTTCTTCTAGGCTTAACTGATTCCATCTACTGCCATGTTCAGCCATAAGTTCGCGTTGTTCTGTTATGATTCTCTTACTCATGTGGTTCATCGACTCAAAGTACGACAAAACGTACTCATTCATGTCCTTAACTTCAGTAACATACTTGTTTCTTGGCTCGAAAGAAAACCGCATCGTTTCAATTTTTGTTTCAGTAGGCGTTTCATCAGCGTTTGAGTCCTCCATGTCGCCAAAATCTTCAGCTAACGCCTCCTCTATAGCCGCTGTGACTTCCGCTTCTGAAATAATAGTCGCCATGTTTACTTTTTTTCTTTTTTTAGCATGCAAATTACGCTTTGTTATAACAGGCGTCATGATTGGTTAGCCTAGAGATATGACCAATCACAAAACGTCTATTATCACAATAAAGAAACGCGGGCTGTTTTTGATGTTGCTTTGTGCTAACCTGTTTGAAAGCACATTCTGCATGATTTTGTAGGATTTCAGCTGGCATGTGAAGCCTTATTGTTAAAACTGAGATTTAACCTTTCTTCCATTCAAATTGAACACTAAGATGTCATTCTGTCGTTTGTCATTTTGACGACGCAAAGTCTCCAAGATGAAGGAAAATAATTCGAAGAAGCCTGCAACTTCCGGCTGGAAATTTGTTCTTATTTCGGTCTTTTTTGCAGTTCTGGCGGTGGTTGTTGATCGAGTGGTGATTACTCCAGTTTTGCTTAACAGATCACTTCTTGGAAAAAACAGGGAGACAGCGCGATACTTTGAAAATGGCGTTGTAGACGAAGAGGTACTGAGTTTGTTTGTAACGTATGATCAGAATTTGGATGGCGTGCTGGATTTGTCAGAGTTTGTTCAAGTTGCAAACAGAATTTTGGATCGAAAGGTACACATCTGACAGTTAATTATTAATAGTTTTTATTAGACTAATTAGAAGCGTTTGTGTGTGCCACCGTGCCTTAACAGAGTACAAAATTACAGTATATTAAGTTTATTAGATTTCATGTCAATCAAACTTATTGATAGGCCAGGAGAGCTAATAAACATTTGGATGCAATAGATCATTTCGGGGTTCCAAAAATCCTCACTTTTAAATTATAGCTGTGTGTTCACATTTAGCCTTGCTTTCAAACAGAAGCATGGAGCAACTCAGAAACGGCCTTTTTTCGGTGGATCGATCGGAGTTGCACCTTTTTCTCGGCAATAGAATGGAAAAGATTGAGCTGTTTCATTTGATGTGAAGTTTTGGATGTCCAGCACTTACAGCTCAAAATGATTTAAAAAGCTTCAATCAGGATAAAACATAATAGTATTGACAATTAAAACTTAAATCTTTCTCCCCTGGGGTCCTACAGTTGTGTTGCAATTTTCAAATAAGTCTTTTGGCAGTGGAGACAAGAATAAAACAGCTCTTACAGTCATAAACGTAAAATTAATGGTTAAGACTCAAATTTTTACAGCAGTGTTTTAACATTATTTTTCTTCTGTAATCACACTGTATTCTTCTGCACAAATTTAAGGTAGTGGATGGTCCTGGTAAACCTGTGGATCCCAATTCTGATGTTTCTGATCATGAGCCAGAACTTCACGATGGTAACGGGGAACAGCTCACACTTTTTTCTAACTTTACCCCCTTGGTACTCTCAACAATGACCAAATATAGTACATCAGATGAATCCTATACTGTGAGTATAAGTACATGTACATGTATAGCCAGCATAGCAGGCACTACGTATTTAGGGTGCAGGAAGAAATCTGGAGGACACGAGAGGGGAGAAACGGAGAGGATGCTCCACTCCCCTTCGTTTGTTCCTCTCCTGCGGCCTGTAAAAAAAAAATAAATAAATAACCAGCACCTGCTATGCTGGCTAGTACATGTATGACTCTGTGGCTTTGTTAAAGTGCTACTGAAGCCAAAAATAATCTAGTGAAAAATAGCAATAAATTATTAGTTCAATATCTAATTGAAAAGGAAAATAAGTTTTGACGCTAGGAAAACGTTGTTTTCGGCATTTTTTTCCAACACAAACATGGCCAAATTGTGGCACAAAGGGCAACAAGCAGATCCTTAATTAAATATGCATATGACGTCACATGGTTGACTCGTCGAGCACGGCGAATTCACATTTCCAGTCAGATCACTGTGATGGCGAAGCGTGGAAGTGGAGGCAAGACTTGTGCAGCCGGTGCTCCGGGTCAAATAAGTTGTACGAACAACTCTTATAGTCCTGGCATTTCGATGCACATATTCCCCAAAAATGAGAAAGTTAGGGCTCAATGGGTTAATTTTGTGCGGACTCACAGGCCGGATTGGGAGTCTGAGTGGGTGCTGAGGAGGTTTTATGAGATATTTATTGTCGTGCCTTGTCAAAACATGCTTGCCTTGTGTTTTAAGCAGTTTTCATACTTAAGTGGACAGTAAATTTCCCTGTGTATTTCGTGCTACGTATCATAAATAATTCTTTGGCTCTTAATATGGCTCCTTCTGTTCTTCTAGGCAGAGCTTTTAGTTGAATGTTTGGTTGGTTAATATTAATACAGAAATTTTAAAATACCAGAAGTACAATGTTTTATCAACTGAAGATTTGACTACAGGCATTTTATTACTATATAGTTTCGTACTACACGATGGCGTACCACTCTTCAGATAAAATAGCCTAATGGTAGATTACAACAATACGCTGATTATAACTGATTTAAACTATACATGCAACCTCTTAACTGTAGACAATGGCTTTGTTTCTTTTATAGGACAATGAAAATCAATTGGAAGGCCTCAAGTCATGGACAAGTGCCTCTGCTTCCATGGCAACATTTCCAGTGAATAGATTTGTAGCCTTTTTACCTCATGGAACACAGTCACCAAACTTGGGGCAACCCTGGTTCATTGTGGAGTCCAGGATTGATAAAATGGGTAAGATAATATATAGCCTGAGAAAATGACCAACATTTCATGAAACCACTGGTGGTTTTCCTGCAAAATAACATCTGCAAAACAGGTGCAGAAATTCCATACTGATGGTGCATACTAGCCAGATCTGGGAAGAGCTTCTTATTGGTGAGGAATTTGCTTCATCCAATCAGAAGCACTACCCAGATCTGGGTAATGACACCTCATCAGTATGGAATTTCTGCACTCATTTCTCAGATGTCATTTCATGAGGCAACCATGATATGTCTGGTGTTTTCTCTCACTAAAGATGATACTGTAATATAGAGGAGTTGAAAAAGAAATGGTATTGGTCTTAAACTGAATCCACCTTCATCACACACTTCATTTTGACAATTATGCAATTATTATTTGTTTGGTCTTGTGTGTCGAAGCTCTATTTTTCTGAATATTTAACAACTGAACATGTTTCAAAACAAAATTAGTGTAGCAAATGGAGATCGAAAAATCAGTTTAAGTAAATGGCAGATAAGCCTTTTATGATGAGGTTGACAGAATGCAAATTTGGTGAACGAATTGTCATTTAGCAATATTCGATATATGCACCCCATATTTAGTACCGAATATGACATGTGACCATCTTTTTAAATTTTCTTTGTATGCTTTTTGCTTTAGGTCCAGGTCTAACTAGTGATCGATATTATCCTCCTCTTATAAAAGGCAGACTGGCGATTATCTACAGACTTCTTGCTATGTTTCATCCACGGCCATTTCTTCTGACCAGATTTGGCCCACAGGGAACTGTGGCTTGCATTCGCGCAGAGAACAAAGATTACTTGGACATCGTTTTCAGGTCTTTGTCACCTTTCATTTTGCACATACTCCTTGCAAATGGTAACTTTTATGCTAATCCCTGATTTTTATTTTTAGCCTTCTGGTAATTTATCACAGAACGCTGAAAACCAAAGTAATATTAATAGTCCTTTCATGCACTCCTCCAAGCAAAGGCACCAGCGCCAAGCTTGGGTTGACAAAGTACAGTTATTTGTCTGCAATTGTCCAACCAAGCCTGAACCCCATTTAGTGGCGTTTGCTTACTTAACTGGAATGTGGGAATAGATTTAGTGTCACATGAAAGCCCTTCAAAAAAGGGTTTCAGCAATGGAATGTCAAGAAAACAACTTACATATATATCAACCTCGTTCCCAGGATTCAGAGAGGCCTGGGAACGAGGTTGCATGTCAATTGCACTGAGGGAAACGAGGAGGTGGATATGCGTAGTTTGGAGGCATTGCTGTGATACTCTGGGGTTAGTTATCACGAAAATACATACATGTAATAGTGGTAAACGACGTCAACTTGGGACTAAACCAATCAGAGGATGGTGCATCTCATTAAAATTTGAATAGACCAATTAAAAGGGCGATGGAAAGGTTACTTTATGCTTTGAGGAACGTCAACTTTTCTTTTGTTTCAACGTTGGTAAATGTAAAGCCAGTTGGCCACAAGTTTCTGTCTTTGTGGCCTTTAAATACTCTACCTCAGTGGATCATAGCAGATTGCCTTGCAAGCGAAGTGAAGGCAACATTTTTACTCCTTGTCGTTGGGATGGCCTCTTTGTGCGTTGTTTTTTATCGTATCTCTGTAGATTAGACAAACTAAAACTGATATCGGAACTGGGTTTTCGACTAAAACTTTTTAAGAAACAATTTGTCTGTCTGTTGTTTTCTGTTTGTTCATTCATAACATTAGTTGAAAACATGATCGTGAGACACGGCGTCTAATTTTAAGCTTATCTTGCATTTCATTCCTCTTATTATACGCATCACTTCTGCGAAGATCTCAGCGAATTTTATACAATTTTTACTTTCGGGTTCAGCAGCTAGTGAATTTAATTTTAAAATATGTTTCTAGTTATTCTAGATCAATAGTAAGCTTATAACGTGATATTTTTCAAGGTTATTTGCGCTAATGGTCACCCAAAAACTGTTTTTGAAGAAATCGCTTCTCTTACGGTGAATGTCATGAGTAGTCGACTTTGTCTTGTTCGGATGAATTCAATCCTAGTCATTTGGGGAATAATATTCCGTTTTTCGTCAAATATTACCTCGTAAAACAGTAATTGCTCTTGTCATGCAGTAATTCCATATTAGGAAGTAAATTTTGATTGGTTCCGTGAAAAACCCCAGCATTGGGACAGAGTTGTACGCTTCGCGGTTATATGCTTCTGAAAGAACTTAAGAGTCTATTAACCATAACTTCCGCATTGTAGTAGTGCGCTGAATTCCGTCGATATATATTCTTCATCAAGTCAATTTTTGGCATTGCCTGAATAACACCTGTACCCTCTGTAGAAAGGTAAGTAATCAGTACTAGTTAGAGGGTTTTTTCAACTACAAATTGTGATCCGTGGGTTCAAATTTTGTTTAGATCCTGTTTATTCAGTTTAGTATGATAGTCTCTTGGCCGCATACGACCGGGCGCAATCTTACTGCACGGTGAAGTATGGTTGGGACATTTAAAACATAAGTATCAGCGCAAAAACCATATCATTTTTCAGTATACCACATCATGGTTGTTAACGAACCGATCTACAGACTGAAAATAGTACCGATCTTAAGATCTCGGAGGTTTTTGGGACCAATCTCAACGTCTCGCTTTTGTGTACTTCATTCTGTTAATTTTGAGCGATGAGCTTTGCCGAAAAGTATCGGATTTTCAAACAAGTATCTCATCGTCACGGTAAGAGTTGGATTTAATCATTCTACATTCCTGTCTTCTAAGCCTGGCAGGCTTTGAGAAAACTGTTCACTATGTCTTCAAACCGCAGCAAAGAATACATTTCGAGTTCTCAAACCTGTCACTATGGAACGCCAAGCGTGACAAAAGTGTTGAAAAATAAAAAAATAGGTTGTGCCATCGAGTGTTGATGTACTGTGTTATTAATGGGTTGAGAATTTCGTATATATAGCTTACGGTAAGGTAAATAAAGGTTGGAAATATTTGGCTATATTTGAAGCTCGATATGTTGCTACAACCGGAAATATACAGGTCCGATAATTATCGATTCGTTCACTCATCCGAACATCTTCGGAACGAGGCGGACGCGCTTGTCACGATACCGTTTCGCTATGTTACAAAATAATCATGATGTGGACGAATAAACTCACTAACACAGCTGTCGCCGGCTACAACATTAACCCCGCTCCGTTTTGGGATCTATCAGTGTCGTGTTGATGTCTTGCAAAGTTAATTTTCACGTAGACTAGCACGATCAGCCTTGCAGAATTCAATGTGTTGTCGAACTGTTTTATGATGAATTTAAAGTTACAAAATGCTACACAAAGACATTTTGTCTTTGTTGAGTTTACCTATTGTACCATAACATCAAAAAAAACATTTAGCCAATTTCATGTTCTACGTAATTGACTCACAGAAATTAATAACTAAAATTTTACAAATCTTTCTATAAAAATCATAAAAATATTTACATTAAATGAGTAAAAGATAATTACAAATAAAGATATAGATATACTAAGATAACTGAAACAACTGAAATGATTCCTTATATGAGACTGTTATGCTCATTTTGAAGCCTGGTGTAAAAAAAAAAAGAGTAGAGGACTCTTATTTCACCGTTTGTATTGTTACTCACCACCAGTAAACTCATGAGTTTGAGATCTTGTAAGTGTGGGTAACGAAAGTGATTGGAAAGTGGACATGAATGTTTGACGGTGTTTAACATAGTATAAGAAACCAAGGCGAAGCATTTTCAAAATTTTAAAACAACACAGGGATACTTTTCAGTTTGGAAGAAGATTGATTTTTACCTATAGATACGGAGCGATTTCTTCCGATAATTGGAGATAAAACTCGCGAAAGTGATTGGAATTGACGGGTTTGGCTAAAGACGAGTTTACGCAATTTTGTCCGCTCTTGCTCAGATGTCGAGAGCCAAAGAAGTTGTCAGCTCTTGACAAATGCTTTTGGGGGTGCGGGTACGCTTGGAATTGAGTGAGCAATTATGATGACGATGCAACGATCTCTTACAAAAATGAAAACCGTTCGTTTCCTCGGCCCCTCACGGCTTTGCCCCTCACTCGCGCGTTCACTTGCCACTCGAAATGGAGAGGTTGCTCTCAGTCAATAACATTTATCGGAAATAGTACACTTTCGGTATTCGGTGAGCAAGTTTACGTTAATATTTGACATATTTCCGAGGAAAAACTCTTCCACACCTCCTTTTTCACCCATTTTAACCAACACTTAACAGAACAACATTGCGGCACTCACACGTGCCTGACTCAAAAAATCCGAGAGTACACCAATGTTTTGGGCACTCTTGAACTGATCTAAAGAGGATCCTTTCTTTGTTAGTTCGCCATATTTAACAATCTGCTCTGTACTTGGTTCTTTTATGTGGAGTCTTATGCTGATCTTTCACAAGGACAGAAGTTTCCTGCCTGTGAATGCGGTCGATTACTTCGAGCTCGTTGTCTTTGCGGCTACTCTATGAGATAATACCTGAGATTCTGTCTAAAAAATTGCCAAACTAGGGCCCTACCATTACAATGGATTTTCATCGATGGTATTTCGTAACATGGCATCGCTTTCACGCCGAACGGCCTCGTGACACGCGCGTCGGCCTAGTTTCGAAGATTTTCGTGAACAAATCGATAATCACAACCTGTATACAGAATTTGAGGCTCTAACAACATATCGAGTCACAAGTGACATAGATATGGCCAAAATCCCTACATATATTGACCACACTGTAAGCTATATAGGCGGAATTCTCAACGCATTAATCAGGGTTAATAACACAGTACAGCACATACTCAAAGATACAACCTATATTCTTATCGTAAATACATTCAAGTCGACCGAAAGTCACCTAGAATAAGTTACGTGTGCATATCGAGGGACTTGACCACGCACGAGTTGACTTTTAAGTGATTTGACCGTTCTTTTGCTCCATGCTCTAGTTACCAAAAAACTTAATAATAATCACGTATTTCTTTTTTCAATGTAAAGAGAATGGAAATACCCAAAGATGACTCGGTCACGACTGTCGAAGAGTATAGAAGATTCTTTCGATATTCCTTGATGCAAGCTTGTCAGGCACTGGGCCTTGAATGTAAAAAAAAATCGCGGCCGCAGGAAGCTATTCAATACTTTGAAACATTTCTTTACGTCGCAAAACAGGTCGGGAGAAAATGGGAAACCACAGCTCTTGGAATGCTTGGAACAACTCTTTACGGTATGGAACTAACCCATAAGGCAGTGTCTCATTTTGAAGCACTGGCTGATATTGCGAAACAGAATGGTAATAAATATGACGAGGCACAAGCTTATCTTCACCTGGCTCGTTGTTACTGTCACTTTGGACAGCACGACAAGGCCATACGTTACTGTAAGTGGTATATTAGCTATTCAAAGTATAATCAGAATGAAAACACGAAACGGTTGGAAGGACGTGCACACCTCACAATTGGTTACAGTTGTTTTCAACTTGAACGCCTGGAAGAGGCTTTTGGTCATTATAAAGCAAGTCTAGACATTGCAAAGGAGGTTGATGATAAGGAATTAGAAGTGAAGGCGTACGTTGCCCTAGGCCATTTTGATTTAAAGCGTGGACACTACGAGGATGCTTTGAAATGTTATCAAAAGGGCACTGCCATTGCAAAGGAAAATGGAGACACAGTGTCTGAGGTACTGGCCTCTCACTATGTTGGCGAATGCTTTTTCAGACTTTCTCAACACGAAAAGGCGGTTGATCATCTTCTAGCTCTTTGCAAAATGGTAGAGCAGGCTGGATACAACATTGCATCGGCGGAGGCCAACTGTAAGCTTGGACAATGCTATTTCTTCGGCCTTGGTCAATATGACAAAGCAGAACATCACTTAAAGCGCGCTGTTCTGTTCTACCAAGAACTGTTTGATGACGCACTGACGCAGGACTACTACAAAGTGTCAAGGTGTGAACACAGTATTGGTGCCTACAGATTGTTGATTCTTGTTCTGTTGATACAAAACAAAGCGGAAGAAGGTCTTTTAGTCGCGGAAGGAGGACGTTCAAGAGCTTTGGCTGAGCTGATGACTACCAGTTATTCTCTCAAAAAATCTGAAGCTAACGACGACAGAGCCTTAAGTCTCTCCCAAATCCGTGAAGTAGTGAAGCTTCTTGATACAACTGTAATATTTTTTTCGTTACTGGAAAATAACGACACCAGCATTATTTGGTCGTGGTCCATAAAATCGAATGGACAGGTCACTCATATGCCTTGCGGCATAGTTTCAGAGGAAACCACCTCTTGTGAAGCACAAGCCTCTCCGGCAACTCTTGCTGTTGAGGGAACCAATTTAATGTCAATCCTCGCTGAAACTCGACAGTTACTGATAAAAAAAGGCCGCGGCAGTAGGGAATATGAAGATCGTTCCTTGTCTTTCCTTTACGCCGAAGATTATGTCACATGTGCTAATAACCGACTAATTGAAGATGAGGAAGAACAAGAGAAATTACAAAGCTATGAAGAGAAACGAAAAGATGCGCTCAGAAGATTGTATCAGATTCTCTGCCCCCGCCTTCAGGAACGCACAGGAGGCTCCCATGTTGTTATTGTAAGCGACGGTCCAGTTCATCTCATCCCATTTGCTGCCTTGATAGATGAAAATGGACACTACCTTGCAGAGTCCTTACAAGTGCGACATGTTCCGTCTCTGGCAACTGCAAAGTTGATAATGGAGCACCGAGTAGATTTGAAGGGTGGCATAAGTCCCTTGATAGTGGGAGATCCGGCGATACCGAAACGTCGGCTGCCTTGCGCCAAAGAGGAGGCATTGATGATCGGCAAGCTGTTGGGTGTAGAGCCCCTCATAGGAGAAAATGCAACCAAGGAAAAGGTTCTTCAAGGTCTTGAAAAAGCGCAGTTGATTCACATCGCCGCACATGGCGATATGGAGCGAGGAGAAATCCTGCTAGCTTCAAATCCCGGCAGCAAAGGAGAGAAAAAAGATTACATGCTGATGTTGTCAGATCTGGAGGGGAAGCCCTTGAGGGCAAGTCTGGTTGTACTCAGTTGCTGTCATAGTGCTAAAGGCGAGGTGAAAGCAGATGGAGTCATCGGAATTGCTCGTGCATTCATCGGAGCTGGCGCTCGTTCAGTTCTCGTGGCTCTCTGGGCGATTAGTGATGAAGGTACGCTTTACTTCATGAACGCTTTTTACCAACATTTCATTCGCGGTCTGAAAGCTAGTGAATGCCTCAATAAAGCCATGGAGGTGATGAGAAATTCCACAAAGTTTTGTGATCCTCATTTCTGGGCGCCATTTATTCTCATTGGAGATGATGTGACTCTGCCTTCGTAGTATTTAAAAAACATGCTAGTGTTCAGCCACCAAGCCGTGTGGCAAGGTGTCTGCTTTACAGAAGTCGCCTGTCACTAAAAGAAAACATTGATTATCATGACTTCCTGTTCAAGTCATTGCGATGTTTGAACATCTGCTAATTGGTGTTTGTATATATGTTTTTTGTATGATCTCTAGTGAGCTGTACTGACAAAGACACATTTTAGACAGACTGATGCAATAGCAATACAATAGAATAATAAGTTGCACAATTGGCAATCGGCTTTTGTTTTAAGAGTTAGCAAACACTGAAATTACTCGTCCCGAAAATTCGAACTGGTGGCTCTTTCTACCACATAACAATTTGTTTTTGAAATTCCAAGTCAATTTTACAACTGAATTTTGAGCTACTTCTAGTTAGGGACTTCTGCTCCAACGATTTCTCTGAAATTTCTCTGGCATATTTATTATATCAATAAGAGCCGATACCAGAAATTTCAGTTAAAAATATCACCTTAATTTTTTACTAGACGCGATTTTCTTTGATCAGTAGGGTCCAAGTTTTAAGCGCTAATTTCGTAAAAAATATTTAGCATCAATGACTTCGGAATATTTTTAACTATTGCCAAATGATATCTGTTGTTCTTTTCAAAGTTTCGCAGCCATCGCGTTATAAACAAGTATATGACGGTAAGTTTGTCCGAGCAAAATGCGCCTATATTAATGACGGAGCCACCTTAGGTGAGCCTAAGCGAAGTATGTTTCTAAACTAGTGAAGATAAACGGAGCTTGAGCATTGCGTAAGTGTCAGAACTAAATATAATCGTTCTTTAAAATATACGTTTGGTCAGTAGTCAAATAAAAGAAATAGTTGAACAAGATTTCTAAACTTTTTTTTGTAAAACGTTAAAAGAAGCTTGCAATTGAGCGTTGCACAAGTTTTATATCAGAACTAAATAGACTTGTGCCGCAAATTAAACTGTTGGTTGGAGTGAAATAAAAGAATTTTGTAGTTGAGTAAAACTCTGCGACAAAGTGTCAATAATGTTACCATGTGATGCGTTCTTTCTATCAGCATTGCAGCAAAATGCTGTATTGACACCCACTTTGCTGGTGGGGCTATTCAGAAAATATTGTATGATTTATAATTGTAATTGAACTGAGTGGAGTACAGTTTGGTCTGAAATTATACGCGTGATTATAAAATCGGACGAGCGCGCAGGGCGAGTTCGATTTGAAATCACAAGTATGATTTTAGACCAAAATTGCACGACCCGATTTACCATTATAACTCATACTGCTGAGAGCCAATCAGATTTCAAGGATCACCAGTGATTTCAAAATATATGGATATAATAAAACGGTGCATCACAAGAAAGCCAGACCAGTGACAAGGAGTGGAGGTGGTGCCTTCGTGAGATTTACGGGGGCGTTTGAAATGAGTTTAAGGAATGCATGAAATCGTACACTTTACGCTTCTCTCATTGAGTCCAATAAATTGTTTGTCAAACACTACTTCTTGTAGCTGACCCACTCTTCGATGGTTGTCATTAAATTAATGTTTGTGTCGTGGAAGCAAGGTATCATTGTCGTTACTCTTACGTGGAGATTACTGCATAGAGGAAATCTTTGTTTCACGCTAAAATGCATCTAACGCCCTTTAAAATGGGAGAGGCATGAAGTCGTGGCATTGGAATTGAAAATACGGGCTCATGATTGGTTCATGCCACTGTTAATGAGATGCATCGTGCTCCGTCACATGTAGATAAAGGTTAAAATGAATTAAGTGGTCAAATTTGTGTTTACCTAATTTAATTCTCAGTGCATTTTGCCAAAGACTAAGTAAATGTTCACCTTGAGACAGATGACATGACTCGGGCAAATAACGTGTCTTTTATGAAATCGTGTTGGCTTCTCTTCGAGTATTTTTGTCAGGACCATTTTCATTAGATTCAAGAAATTCGCTGTCAACCCCATGATGTTTAAACCAAACAGGATCCACGCAGAATTTCAACTGAATGAGCCTCCTCTGCTGCCATTCTGGTTCACTCCTGGGCAGTTCTTAGGAAATATTGTGATCCAAAAAGATGGTAGCCATGTACATTCCTTCCATTTGGCAGTTCCAAACAACAGAAGCCTCAATGTGGGTGAGTACAGTCTTGTTCTTACATTAACTTAGACAGCATTAAACGAAATACAGAATGAAATACCTTTAAATACCTTTGAATTCTGAAATTTGTAGAGAGACATTCGTGGCTGTGACGATGGGCATTCAAACTTCCAAGTTTTGTCGACAATGTTGCACAACATAATTCCAAGCTCTACATTTATGGCGTTTCTCTCTCGTACAATTCATAGCCGTTGTTTAACCCCCCAAATTTTGTGTAGGCATTGTCTTCAATTTCTCTTCGGCCGGCGGTGATACCCAGTTCTGAGGAAATTGGAAACAACGCTTATGTAAGGCTCGAAAATAAAACTTGATTTCCAGTTTGTCCTTTGGGCAAGTAGCTCTCATATTCTGCTTTCCCGGGATCACTTCCTGATCATTTTGTGAATGATTTGGTTTGAAGATGTCTGGCTTGAACCCTTGTAGCCTGCGAACAGCAGACGTATTTCCGGTCGTCGCTTCTCTTCTTCCGGGAGAGAAGCGACAACCGGAAATACGTCTGCTGTTCGCAGGCTAGAACGCATGCCCTTTAGGGAAGTAAGCTTTAAAAGTGCCCAGCAAGAAGATAGGATCAATTTAGGTTTCTGAGAAACTTCCCACCTACCCCTTCCTTAAGTCAATGTTTTGCCCTAGGTGAGAAGTAAGTGTTAATATGTTATCGTAGGGGAGGGGTAGGTGGGTAGTTTCCCTAAAACCTAAAATGATCCAAGATCTACTTGTCCCGGACTACCGGACGGGACTTTTTTTTAGGGGTGAACGGGGAATAAGTTGTATCATGGGCAATGCGTAAATGGTGAATATCATAATTTGAATTTAAAAATTTCAAATTCAGTTATATTCTTGTGTTTACTTCTGTTACAGATATGGAATGGCTGATTCCTGAAGGGACAAACGATGAGGACAGAGGTTAGTCTATAATCAATATTATATAATCTCGACTCTACAATGTGGAAACCGACACCTGTCAACAATTGCACATGTCAAGCAAACCATAGTTGCTTCTTATAACGTATCTGCACCTCAAAATTCTTTCAATTTTTCCTTTACTTTCCTTTTCATGGTATTTTTTGTTCGCATGAAACGTTTGTACGACCAGAGACGAAAAGTAAACAATTAACAAAGCACCAAAAATAATAGCCTGAGAAAACAGCCGACACTCGGCGACGCTACCACTGGTTTCCCTGTCAAATGACGTCTGAGAAACGAGCGCAGAAATTCCACACTGATGACGCGCCACTGCCTAGATCGAGGTAGCGCTTCTGATTGGTTGAATGAAACTTCCCGCGCGGCACGACCAATCAGAAGTACTACCCAGATCTGGGTAGTGACGCGTCATCAATAAGGAATTTCTGCGCTCGTTTCTTAGACGTCATTTGGCGGGGAAACCAGCGGTGGCGTCGCCAAATGTCGGCTGTTTTCTCAGGCTACAAAAATAAGGTATTCTGTGGCCTTCATCCATCATCTAATTACTATTGGTTCATTTGTACTTTTGTCATGTCTTTGTTAGCTGAAGGTGACAAAGAAAGCAGAGATCAAGGGGGCAACATGGAGGTAGACATTGGTTAGTGAATTACTGCCAGTGAAGCTTTTTCTTTGAATGTCTCTTTAGATGTAAAGGATCGATCAAATGCCTTCTTGTTATGTTCTTGTTATATTGTGGATTTTAACAACTGTACACAGCAGAGCAAGATGAATGCGTTTCTCGTGCCAAGCTGTTTTACTTTCCATATACTTTGATAATTGAAAAAGTTGGACTAACAGTTAAGTGATTACTGTACAACATTATGTGCTTTCCGCTCTCCGTCAATTTCTTTTTCGTTTTTCCTTAGACGTAATGTAATTAAAATAAAACTATGATAGGAATAAGAATTATCTAATTGTAACTTGCAATACTTTCCTTCCTTTCCTTTCCTTTCACTTTATTTTTCTTTTAACTGGTCCGCCTAGATTAGCAATTGCTATTTTGCACGCCAGTCTATTGTAATTAATATTTTAATTAAATAGAGTTGAAGTTTGAAGTTTTTGTTTTTACTAGGATTTCTACCACAAATGGAGCTTAAAAGTAGACTGCCGTCCACTTTGATGAATGAGCAACAACCAGATGAGGTCAGTACAGAGTCTGAAAGCGATGATATCAAGTGGGAGACAGAGATTTCGTTTGAAGACGCTTACAAAGCCCTGGAAGAGCAATTGTACGGTTTCAAGAAAGTACGCCCCATTTTATACCTATTGTGGTGGTACAAAACATATCTATTGCGCTCTAAGAAAGTTCTTTTAAGCTCCCCCTATACATTCAAGTAATCCCTGGCTGGCTTGTTTTACAACGGCTACAATCTTGCTGTCTTATAGATCTTTAGAAAGCGGCTACCATTTTGCAGCAAAGGAAAGTATTTTGCACTTCTTATAGCTTGCGCCACAAACGAAACTTTACCGTTTGCGAGTCAGCGGTAAAGCATTTGTTTTGGACACCCACCTGTGTATTAGGATTTGAGTATGCGCCATGATTGGCCTGTTAAAAATGCCATTGTCGATTTGCCAATTAGGTTGAAAGGAAATTCGGAATGACTTCCGGTTATTCATAGCCTGTTTTGTACAGACGCCCCCTCCCCTCTCCCCAAATTTTTCTGAGGGAAGCGGGCGTCTGTACACAGGCTAGGTGATTCATTAAGTCCGTTGGGGGCCCAGAACAAGGATCTAACCTGGGTTAAATTACGTATACAACGCAGGTAAAATGTGATGCCTAGCCGTTTCTATCGCGCCAGAATCTAACTTTCCCTTCCCTTTCAAACGCCTGCCACGCAGACTATGACATGCCTCGCAGTGAAATACTTAAAACAAGTTAAGAAGTGTAAAACAAAGCTTTTAACGACACCTTTTGACGCCTAAACAACTTCACATGAAACATCATTGGCTTTGTTTCTAAAGCTTAACCACCAAACTTAACTGCCAGCATTGCCACATTGTGTAGGCGTCATAAGATATCCGACCTTTTTAGGGGTGCCATCTAGCCGCGACCGGGGATTTGATATGGCCGACGGAGAAAAGGGTCGACGGTGACCAAAAACTGGGGAGAGATTTTCCATGGGGTCAGGGATGCGAGGTAAAGTGGTTGCTTTATTACCCACGAGCAGTTTTTACCTTTGGGCAATCGACCTCCACAATCACACGGAAAAATAGGGGACTTTGACAGCATAGACTAATACAGCTGTTTTCACATTAATTATGCTCTGTGCATAAGTACTTTTTGTAAACTTACTATTCTTTCCAGGTACCCTATCTGCAATTTAGTGACGCTATGAATCAAGCTAAAGCTGAAAACAAACTTGTTCATCACATTCTGCTGTGGGGAGCTTTAGACGATCAGTCCTGCTGAGGTATAGTGACACTTTGCTGAAAATTATTGGACGAATACGAGAAAGCGTAGGTAGTAGACTGTCGACTGTTTCGTCTTAAAAAACGTGTAACATCTTCCGCGATTTTCTCCAGCCTTTCACTGCCGCACGTGTGACGTCTGTGCGTCCCTAAGTTTCAGTCTGAGGCTATGTTCACGGTATATGCGGTGTAGTATGAACACCTATCCGATATGTCACTCTCCACTTTAGAGATCGGCGCTTCGTAACTTCGCCCTGCTACAGAAATCGCGCCGAAATCACCGTTCTTATGTGTAAACATAAGCCCTTTCTGGTATGGTCAGTTTTTTGCCAGCGCAAAAGCTACCCGGTAAAGTGTGAACATAACCTGACATTTTGCTACTGACGGCAGTTGTAAAATAAAAGCAAACATCTTCCACGGTTGGCTACGAAAAATTAGCGGTGGGATTTAAGCCAATCAGAAATAGAGAAATATTTTGAATGAATAATATTATGATTTATATCTTAATCTACAGTCTTGCTCGTATCAGCTTGTATTCGTTGCAGTTTACAGCTGGACTTGAAAGTGACGCTGGTTTTTTTGTCAAACATAAATATGCACAAACTGCTGAAAAAGAAATAAATGGTTTTTAATGAGGGTGATACATAACAGCATGAAAACCTCATAAGAAAAGCTTCAGCGCAAGGCCGATGGTGGAAAAATTTTCAATGAACTAAAACATTTTCCGTTTTAGTAGCGATATAGCCTCGTCAGAACATGGCGTTATTTTCTCTTTTATTCTGTACTCTAGGTTCAGGGCGGACTCTCCGGGATGGACCCTTGGAGAGTTCGCCCATTGTCCGTCTGTTGAGGGAGAAATTCATCAGCAGTTGGTCTCTTGTTGCAGAGCTTAAGGTAAAATAGTTAGCAGTTTGTAACCGAAGTGGGCGCAGCTCTAGTTTTTCGCGCCCTTCCCTTTTCGCGTGTCTCGCCCCTCGTACCCACCTCCCTTTAATCTTCGATTTCCAGAAAAAGGCGATAATATACAGCCCGTTCTGCAGGCCAGTGATGTCCCACTATCGGTGACACGCAGGGTGTATCAACAAGTTAACAGCCGGCTCGAATAACTTCCTTATCGTTGGAAACCGTCAAAATAACGCATGTGAAATACAGAATAATGCCAGGATGTGTTTGGCACCGTCCGTATTTTGTGGGACTTCCTGTAGGTGGTTTTATTGATGAAGTTGTTGGGGTTTCTTCACCTTCCTCTTTGTCCACTGATTCCTCTTCTTTACTGAGGAGCCATGCAGTTTTTCCTCTCTGCAAGCCGGCTGTAAGGATGCGGAATGGCTTCCTTCAACTTGTTGCTCGTTGGCTGGCTGCGCAGACGGGTTTATTTTTAGGTTGCTTCTGGGGGGACGTTTGCAATGTTTGCTTTGCTCTTGTACTGCAACATTTCCGCCACGTTTTCTCTTAGCTTTTTTAGGGTATGTCAGTTCCTCATCTGACATTTCAATCGGCTGCGTACCCAGAGACTTGTTCTAGTGTCTTCTAATTCAAGTGTGGTATCGGAAGCAAAATTTTAAGTATTAATTAGTGCTTATATTGATGTGCGTGACTTAAATTGCTCTTTGAAGCTAGGAAATAAACTGAATATATCGCTTGACTAACGCCCTGATTCGTTCCGAGAAATAGAGGATAATACATGGCCGCGCGGAGATACGAAATTTCTCTTCGAGTGTTGAAAAATAATTCACGAGTGAGCGCAGCGAAGGAGTGAAATATTTTTTCAACACGATATTTATTATGTAGCCATAGCAACGGTGACATTTTCACATGTGGAGATAACATGTTATTTTCACATGTGAGGATACCAAGTTTTCGCGCGAAATCTCACCTGGTATTTCATTAGTGTTTATATAATAAAGGGTGTTATTTACCCATCCAAATCCGTTTTTGAGCTAGCAAAATCGATACGAAGAACTGTCCGCAATAGAGCACGAGGGACGGATCTCAGCTGAGAACGACACCGGTTTTGGAATACACACTCGAACAATATACTCCACCAATTAAAAACTTCTCTTCTGAAAGACTGAATAAATGAAAGACTTACTTGAGCAGCAGTACGAGCATCATTCGATCGCTTTCGTTTAGTCGCCTGAACCGCCGCTGTAGCATCTTCTTGCAAAGTGGAAGACGCTATCTGAGGTTCTTCATTTTCTGATGAGTTCACATAGCTACATTGTTGGAATGACTGTCTCGTTGTGGGGCTTTCGATGAGAGAAGAGACGACAGCAATTTTTTTTCTTGGACTATGTGGGAAGCTGGTTTTTGCTGCGTCAATAGCCCGTTTTCGCGCTGTTCTGGTAGAAAATGCTTCTCGTACTGCGTTGGGAGAAGGAACAGGAACACTCTAATAAATGCCACTAAGATTTAGGGCGCTTTTCATTTGTCAGAACTGACCGGCCAGACCCTTCCCTTCATAATGAGAATTTCACTATTAATCAAAAATATCCAGCTAGATCAGTCAAATCCTAAATAGTGTGCAGGAAGGAGATGGTTCTTCAGCAAAAACCCTTGGAAAAGCCGATTTCATTGTCAAAATAACTGGTCCGGTAATGGTCCGGGCCGGCCAGTTCTGACAAATGGAAAGCGCCCTTAGTAAACATTACAGTTATACTAGCTAGTGTCGCAATTTCATAAACAGTTGGTTGGAACGTTAATTCATAATGATGCAAAACGTATCCTTATTCAGTCGAATTTTGGGGTGTAAGCGAACACCGTACACAAGCTTACACATAGCAGCTCTTAGCCAATACCTTTGGCGAATCCAGGCTTCCCTTTGATGGAGGGGTAAGGTAACTCGGATACGAGATATTAATTCTTCCTTTTTTGTGTTCTAGAATATAGCTGCTAACGCCACCGACGCGGAGATTAAGACAGCAGCAAAGTCTCATTTGGATAGCTATAGGTAGGTATTCTAACAGCTTCCATTCCATTCACCATGTTTTTATTCGTAACTCTCAACCCTCCATTCAAACGGATCTAGTGGTCCTACATTAGCCAAAAATGTGGATGGGTTCTCCCTAACAATTCAGCGCTTATTCGCGTAAAAAGTGTGTTGGACAAAATTAGGAGCCCATAACCCATAAGTCGTCACCGGCCAATTTGCGCTATCCAAGTGTGCGGATAAGTCTTGGATCCAAAAACGATAGCACGATGCCTGGCAAAAAAGAAACAACAACAACAGCAACAGCAACAACGGTCTAAAAGTTCCAGATCGGCTAGAAAAATATTCTTATAATTGCTTGACGAAGTGAGGTCTGGAACATTTCAGGATTAAATAGATCCGTTCCGAGCATTTGTGGACTGTTTTACTGATGGTAAGCATCGAAAAGTGGTTGAGACCGTTGTCTTTCCTCGATTATGGTAGGAAAATCAGCGCCGTCGTTTTGAATGTCCGTTTTTTGGCATGTGTTCTTGGCGAATTCTTGCCGACAACCTTGACGGGTGCCGTCACATCGGAACTCGCCGGAGACGACCAGAAACGCGGCTGACGTAACACGTGGGACCAGATTATAAATATACAGGAAATTCGATAATGTAATGAAAAATTCTCTGCAGAATTCAAGGCAACCGGTTCACTCCATGCTTTTTTGCAGGTTTCCGGTGGAGTCATTGGTTTCCCTTCCGAATGGAACTGTGTTGTCAAAACTAAATGCGAATGATTTAATGGAAAGCGAATCAAGTGGATTAAAGTAAGATTTAGAGCTCGCCTCAAAATACTATACCATGGTTATAAGCTAGTTCAAAACGTTACTTTCACGTTTGTTAATGCTTGCATTGGCCCACTTCCGAGTTGTCCTCCGCCACTTTATCAAAGCGAAGCCTGGGGCAATATACAATTGCAATATACCATTTACGTAAAAATATGTTTGATTTGTACTTGGATGAAAACTCGTCTTCATATGAAAAGAAGCTTGAGCTTCAGGACTCATTTTGAAAAAGAGGCTAAATAGACATTCGGAAATGCCGACCTATTTTTCTTTCGTCTACAATTCATCCTATCCGATTTGCTGTAGCTTTGGGAACATCGTCATGCTTTCAACTGAAGGTTTTTTGCCTATAAAAATGAAAGGTTTATCACCTCATACAGTAGTAATGATGAAACGTCCGCATTAGCGATGTTGGCCTTCTGTGAGACATGAGAATCTGCTGGCTGGGTAAGAAACAATTGCCCGTTGTCCGCATTGAAGGGTGTCCGTATTAGACGGGTTGAATTGAGAGGAAATGTATATAAGGCTCTTCCAGAGATAAAGAAAATTGTCCGTATGACGAGGTGTCCTCTACTGTAACGGTATTTGCGTTCTTTACTGTCAGCATCATTTATAGCGCAAACGCTAGCGAGGCCGAGAAAATCACTGAAGCAAATAACTCCAATAAAGTTGCACAGCAATGTAAAGAATCTCAACTGGCCGGAGGCAAACCAGTTGGTAATTTAAAGGTGTAGTCGAGAAATTTGAACTCGGGGAAACCTTGAACACTGAAATCGAGCCTCCGCTACAAGAGGCAGCCATTTTCTCCCTTTTCCAAACTTTCTCTTACATGTATACTTTTTTTTGTGTTAAGGCCGTTCTTGACTCATAATTTTAACTCCTATTTTCACAGGTTTCCTTCAGAATTTGACTTTTCGGATGATCTCAGTGTTGTGTATTACAAATTTCTGGACGATGGTCTAACCAAAGCCAAAATGTATCAATTATAGGGAATTTTCTATGAAACTGTTTTTCATGGTTTAATTTACAAGATAATGTGCTTAGTATGATGTGAATTGAAAGGGACTAAACAACATGCAGACCATAGAGACTATATATCTATAATATAAACTATACATCTGTCTTAACCTAATTTAGTACGCAAAGTTTTGTAAATAGGTAGGTTTTTTTAGTGGAATTTACTCCTTGTCGATGTGAGTTTAAACGTAGGCGTGGCCGCAGAAAGCTTTAGCAGCATGAAAACGTCTACGTAGGAGGCTACGATGGTGGGGACGACAGCGAAAACGTCACTATTGAAATGAATTAGCGTTTTTTAACCTTTCAGGGGTTCACGTAGGCGTATTTCCCTGAAGTTAAATTCTTGGGAACGGCACCCACGTTTAGAAAGAACAAGAAAGATTTCGTCGTCGTGTGTTTACGTTGTCCAAAAAAAGTTGCATAAGGAAATTTCACATCGTCGTTGTGCAGTGGCAGCAAAGGAATGAATTAAAGTCTGCTGCTTTATAAACCCATTGCTTTTTTGACGTTCTCGTTGCCGTCGCCGTCGCCGTTTGTATGCTAGACTGGAAATTAGCTCGTATTTTTTCAAAAGCCAAGGGTCTAGATCGAGGGTGATAGCGGATAATGGAACTTAAGAGAGACGCTCACGGGCGTTTGAGGCTCTAGAATCTCACGCTAGTGCTTCGCTCCTTAAAGACCCAATTTTGAGAAAAGAAATATTGTCTTGCAGTTTTTTTGTTTTTTTGTTTTTTGAAGAAAAAAACATCAGACGCGTTTTACAAATATGAGGCGAACTGTACATTAATACGAGAAGCAATGCTGCGTTTTAAGGCGCGAAATCGTTCTCGGCTTGTGCCATTTATACGAGATTTTTTTCAGTTTTCTCCTATAAATGGCCTTACCTTGAATCCCTTTACGACCTTATCCACTTTCTGGACTGACAAGGTACGCCTTTGGATCCTGTATCAACTCTCCCAGATAAGGAATAAATCTGGTTTCCAGTTTTGTTAACACAATGTTAATTTGTTTAATGACAAAAGATTTATTTGAATCATGGAGCCTCAAAAGTTTACACGACTACCTTTAGATGTAACTGGCGTATGTGAATGAAATAAAACTAACAATGCGCTCGTAGAAAGATTAATAAAAGCTTAGTTTCAGGAAAAGAAAGGGTTCGTATACAAGCAATTACCTGTCGGATTTATAATTTTTTATTTGTCTTTCCTTTATGCAGTCTTTTCAAACGCTTTTGATTGATGATGTTCTTTTGTGTAGTTCTCTAGATGACAACAATTTTTACAAACGCAGGATTTCTGTGTAAAAGTTGTTTGATGAAATGAGAACTGCACTAAGACAATAATATATAGAATCAGATTACAATAAAAGTTTATACCACCTTCATTCTTTACAAAAGATTTGAATAATAAAAACGCTCATTTTGATGACGAACTATTTCATACTATGATTAGACACAAAGAATTTTAATTACACACAATAATAAGTACTTATTGCGGTTTAACTCGACTTTACCAGATAATCTAAAATTCTCTTTTCTGACAAGTAATCCATTCATTGTCTATGTGTGACAAATCACGATAATCGCATTTTTAATCGACTGCCATTTTGATACAAACTAAAGTAACTAAATCAAAGAGATGGAAGATCGTAGACAGCTCGTAAACTGCGCGCGTGACTGAAGGCGCGAGACGGGCGCCCTCGTTTCGCGCGTCTCGCGTCATAAGTGTGGTCATAAGTCATGATTAGTTTTGATGCCTCTCCGACGAATACCATAATACTCTTCAATGTGCAGCATAGCCTCACCTGGATGCAATTATTGTAGTGTTCTTCGTTTCAATTCAGAGTAGTAGGCTCCTGGACGCAATACCATGCACATTCAAGCCCACGTTTACATTTCTACACTTTGCAAAATTGTGGAAAAGTTAATACTCAGCACGTGTAGATCATCCCGAATACCAGGCTTACTCGGCGCATCAAAGAGTATTATGGTGTTTATCGAAAGAGCCTATAGATTAGCTGGCTAGTAATATCGCGAAGCAGCCGTGATACTTTTGATACCCAACCGCAATTACAGTGGAAGTTCTCATAAGCGGACACCGTCAGGACTCAAAAAAAGGGCCCGTAACTGGAGATGGCCGCTTACGAGAATGTAAGAATACAGAGTTTGTATGGGAGTTGAGGAAGGCGGGGTTTTGTCTTGAACGTAGCCGTAAGTAGACCTGTCTTTTTACGAGCGGTGAGTGTCCGTTACCAGAGCTTCCACTGTACTTAATTAACACTTGTACACTAGTAATAATTTTTTATCTAGTTATGAAATAAATTATTAACAAAACTTTGAAATTATAGTCGGTGATCGTTAGGAGTTTAACGCTGGAGGAGGAAAGGCGAACAGGGCATCGCCATTGGTGTTCCAGATTTTGTAGTCCGCAGTTGAAAACTCGTACGCTGCGGGAAAAATTGAAAAACAATAGCCTTAGGAAAGAAAATACATGTAATTAAAAAATCTCATTCGCATAAAACTCTTTTTCACATGAATAGTTTGCATTTAGAGGGGTTTTTAGAACTTACAGTCGACTCCCGATAATTCAAACCTTCGAGGGAAATAGAAAAAAGTTCGAGTTATCTGGGGTTCGAGTTATCGAGGGTAAAATTATATAGAAAACGATCTGAAGGGCAATGAAAATTGCTTCGAGTTAGCGGGAGGTTCGAGTTATGGAGTGTTCGAGTTACCGGGAGTCGACTGCATTTTAAATTCGAGCCTTGAGCTGCTGCTTTTGTTCACAGGAATGCGGGACGGGTATACTTTTTATTTTGAACAATGGAAGAAAACTTACTTATAGTTAACTTGTACTTCCCGCTAGGATAAACAACCAAAGATCTTGGATCTATAGCACATCCTGACAATGTGAAGTCTTGTATCTTAAAAAATACCTGCCAGAATCGAAACAAAAAAAGAGAGAGTACAGTGATTTAAAAAGGAGAGCTAAAGCAACCCCGACGGCGACCCCAACGCGAACTAAAGAATATTATGTTTAATAAACAGAACAACAGCTTTGCACGTGCAGCACACTTTTTATACACTTCTGGCCCCGGTTGTTCAAACGTTGGATGGCGCTATCCACCGGATGAATCTGATCCAGCGGATAGCGTAATTGATTTCCCTAATACTTACCTGCTGGATAGTGATTTATCCGGCGGATAGCGCTATCTAACGTTTGAACAACCGGGGCCAGCACGACTACGACGTGAAATTCCCTCGAGTGACGTTCTATGGATCGGAGGGCGTAAACACCAGACGGCGACTTTGCGTTGTCTTCTTCTTAACTTCCCCCCACCCGGAGGATTTCACACACAGACTCAAAAGTGAAAATCACCTCGCACAGCTAAACAAACATTACCACCGTCAGAAAAGTACCGCTCAAAGGAACTCCTAAAATGCCGTATTTATTCGATTAACCGCCCTGGGCGCTTATTAAATTTTTGGACCTTGAGAGTGAGCCCTTATTCGAGGTGGGCGCTTATTCGAGGCTGGGCGCTTATGAAATTTTCACCATTCTCAGCAAGTGTAGTAGTATATTTTGCAACAAAACAGTAAATGCTATAAATAACAAAAAGCGAAGATGTAACAAAGCAAGGTTTCTGTACAATACTATCCTGAAGAAAACTCCGTTTTCGGGAGGGTCTATTATTATATCTTATTGGAGTTTTTGTGGGAGGGAGTGGGGTGGGGTGGGCACTTATTCGAGGCTGGGCGCTTATTAACTTTTTCTGCCCTTAGGATGGGCGCTTATTCGAGGTGAGCGCTAATTCGAGGTTGGGCGCTTATTCGAATAAATACGGTAACTGGAGCATTATAACTCTTAGGCCTAGGCCAAACGTCAAACTTTTCTTGAGACGAACCACACTTAAGGTGCGTAAAAACGGGCAACAAAAAAACGTGTAACTTGTCTTGCAACATTGCTGCAGAAGAAGTTGAATGGCGATGTTGCGCTTTTTATCACCCACATCAAACCTGTCTTGCAACAAATCAGGATGTTAACAAGTTTGAACGTGACTAGTAAAACGCGAAAGATCGCTATTCAACTTGTTCTGCCGGCAGCAATGTTGCACGACAAGTTGCACGTTTTTACGCACCTTTAGTGAGTTACGTTCATGAAAAGTTCGAAGTCTGGCTCAGTTATATGAGTTTGGATCGATCGTCCAACAGGTTCTATCCGTCTACTTCAGACGGATAGAACGTTTTAAGATCGTCTCGGGACAAACGTCGATCTTCACATGCGACGAACTAAACTAATAAATTAAAAGTTTCTACGAACTTATCACTGATCTGATTCATTTGATTGGTTCGACGCATCCTAAGTACGACGTCTGACACAACACACGATCTTAACTTAATTTAGGTCGAACGAAATTAGACTTTGGTTCGCCTCATGAAAAGTTCGACGTTTGGCCTAGGCCTTAGGGCCTGTTTACATGGAGGTGGGGGACCCCAGATAGGTGAGGTAACATGTGGCGGGTCAACCCACCTATCATGTAAACGTGATCAAATTAAAATGAGAGATTATATGGACAGGCGAGTTACCCCACCTAAGGGGGTTACCTCACCTACCTGGGGTCCCCCACCTCCATGTAAACTGGCCCTTTGTGCCGGTTCAAACGTCGCATTTCAGGTGTACCAATCTAATGCAAGTCTCCCCAATTAGTAAGGTACTCTGCCTGAGCTATAAGACATGAGACTTTAATAAAGTTCATTATTATTATTTCTTATTAATGCAAATGAGCGATAACAATAGATTTGTCTCGTTAGCATTAAATTCGACACATATGAAATGGGACGTTTGAACCGGGTGTGAGGCTACGTTAACACGGCACCGGACGAATTTTCGACCCGCTGAAAAAACTTTTACCGCCAACACTGTTCACACGGGACCTTTCAATTTTTTCGCTCAGTTCACACGGAACTTTGAACGGCCAGGCGTCTTAATTTTCGTACCGTAAAGGTCATTCCGTGTGAACGGAACACCTAAACGCACGAATTTTCAACTGGTCGAAAATTTGTCCGGTGCCGTGTGAACGATGCTTAAGAGTTAGAGTACTTTACCATGTTCACAGACCTGCGCATAACTGTTGATCCCGGTACAGAAAGGATCCTCAATAAATCCCGTTGCAATCGGCTGATTCTCGGCCGCCTGTTGTCTTTTCTCGCCAAAGTGAACAGTAGCATTTAGTGAGGCTTCGAGCGTCTTTGAGGGGAACTTCTGACCTAGAGGTAATAAGAAAGGAACAGTTCTGATTTTACGCTCAGGTGCGTCAGATCTATAGCTGCGCTGAAATACCTCGCTTTTCCTTGGTGGGCGGCACAGAAGAGAAAAGAAGAAAAAAAATCAAACGCCGACGAGCAAACCAAAGATCGTTAGAAACTGACAAGGGGCGATGTTAGTATTCCTTTCCTTACATAAACGAGCCTTGTGTTCTAAGCTGCCATTACTATTTTTGCCCGCTATTAAAACTACTCCTTTCTCTTGCAGTTTTGCGACTAAAACTGCCAATTTTTACGTCGAATTTGAATAAACGAAAGCAAGATTAGGTAAACATTCAAGTCTTTTGATATACTGTCGATGTACATCAGTACATATAGATGAGTTGACGCGTTTTGCAGTTGAAACTCAGCTAAGTTTTTCAACCTGCAAATTGAGGTAATTTAATATAAGCCTATATACGGTAAAGTAGTGTCGTAGTCTGCATAACTTGCCTACGTCCCATACAAGGCGCCTTTTGTCAGGAGAAAGTAGCATGCTACCAGTTGAAGGACCCGCAGTATCTACTCGTACAACGGGGCCTCTAGGGAATAATAATAATAATAAAAAAAAACAATCGTTAAGGAAAAGAAGTCGGTAATCTGAAAGCAATTAACTCCTTAATTCTGAACATTTAGCTTAGAAAAAACACAGTCTCATATCTTAGCGCGTGAAAGAGGGATTCGTCAAGCATCGAGTCTCCCATCGAAAGATATTGGTACTCGCGTGCCTCGCTCTTTCTTATTTGCGCGCGAGAGATTTAAATCACGTTTACGGCAAACCCAACGGCATACAGCAAGCGTTAGATTCTGGTTGACAATGTATTTATTTATTAGATTTCCAGCAAGAAAAGTTACAAATTTTCTAGTGGTGGGGAAGCCTGGAAAGAAAAACCACGGGGTTTAATAATTACATTCAGATTATAATTCCTTAAAATGAGCGGACAAAAACTTTGCAAAAGAATTCTGGATAAACCTGACACTAAATCATTGTGAAGACATATTGAACAGTAAACAACAAGTAAAGGAAAACATGGTCGCATGGTACAAGTTTGCCGTTTGCCATAAAAGCGATTCAAAATCTCACTATTTTGTCCTCGTGCTTGCGTGATATCTTTTCCCGCGAAACCGCGTATTGTATTCGATCTTATCGCGGGAGAGATGTGCTTTCGTACTTGTTTCGCTGTACTATGGCAGAAACTATCTTACACTTGTAATCTAGATGGAGATTTAGATCTAAAATAACAAACCTGTGAAAGAACGGAAGATGCACCTCAAAATACTCAAAGGAATTTTTCAGTTTTGAGCTGAGTTTTAACTGGACAGACACCTGTACTGAATTTCCATCACCCTGGATAGAAACAAAAGATCTATTTTAACAGTTAAAGTTTTAATTCTAGTATTGGATATTATAAGTGGTTACTGTGGACTACCCTTAATGTTACAGACGGCGGTTTCCAAGCTACTAACCTAGGTGATGCCCTAGATCCGCGAAGCCACAGTCAAAGAAAGCATTTTGACGGAAATGTCTTGGTTTTTTTCTGCAATTCACCATTTTCACATAGACGATAATGAAGCTTGTTTACCCCCCAGAATTGTGCGATAACCATTGTCTTCGATTTCTCTTGGGACGACTGTAATACCCTGGAGAAACTGGAAACGATGGTTTTGTAAATTTATGGGGTAAACAAGCTGCATTATGGTCTATGTGAAAATGGTGAATAGGGCATTTTTCCCAGTTGCCCATAGCCTCTGTTTCAAAGCGAGGCTAAATCAAAGCGCTCATTTTCACAAGAAATGTTTTGTACTTAGCCTCGTTTTGAAAGTGAGAGTTTCTGGAAATTGGAATTGAGGTTTTGGTGTTGTGTTCATTTGTCCTATGGGATTGTTATGGGTATGCTTTCACTTCTTTCATTAGCCAGCTGTGTGTGAGGCCTTTCTTAGAGGTGAGCAGACAGGAGATTTGATACTGTTTTTGAGGGGGCATTTCACAATTCTCGTTGCTCATTGTTTCCCCAGAAACGCCTGACACTCAGGCTATTCTTTTATTGCCTATTACAACACTGTGCTGGAAAATGGGTCAAATTTTGTCCCCAAAACACAGTCCCACCGTGCAACGTGACACAACAATGACCCTGTCTCACATGCAACCTCTAAGAGGACAAGTCCAGATAAAATGATTGAATCTCCCTCAGTAGCATCTGATAATCAAACCTCTTGGTTTTGTCCCCTAAATGTTCATATCAAGGAAGTTGGACTGTACTACTGGAGAGGCAAGCCAATCAACAACCATTGCATTCAATTCTAAATAGTAAAAACAATTCTCTTACCTGCATCTGATATATCCCTTGGACAGGCAAACCATGGGGTGTCTTTGCAGAATAGTGACATAGAGGGAAGGATTCAGTAGGAGGCCTGAATCTTAGTTTTCTTCCCATTAGTTCGGGTCCCTTGAGCATCTGTGATGGCTGAAAAGAGGGAGCCTGGACATGAGTGTCTCCCTCTAGAACAGAGGGGTGGACCACAAGGAAATCCAGGGACAAAGAGGTGATGTTTGCTGTGATTTCTGGGATGCCTTCCAAATCTGCCTGGTGAAAAATTGATTGTTGGATTTAGGCTTGATTATTTCTATATCCTAGATGACTCACTACAGGCGTGGATTCACACCGGTTTCCACTGTTTTACGGAAATTGGTCAGATTTCTCACTCTCAATAAATTCTTAATAAAAAAACTTTCCAAGTTGAAATCTTGCTCATTATCCACTATAAACATGGAAATTGACCTTGATGAAATAATCCGCCGATTTGCAAAGCTTCATCCGAGGAGAATGGAACTGGCCAATATCCTGTCTGAATGACTCAGAAACCCAGGAAAGGGGACTTCAGGGAGTTAAAATCCATAAACGTCCTGCGGGAGCAAGCCCGGACCCCCCTTGAAGCTTGCGCCCTCGGTGTTATTTTAGGAAATCTGTCTGTATTCACCCTAGATCCAAGCTTGCAATGATGTGTGCATGTGACACTTGACTAGGAGTTAAATCAAGCATTGACCAACAAATTCATAAAAGTCAGCCACTAATGGAACTTTCTCTCACTTTCACCGACAAATCGGGGTGTAACCATGCTATGTCGAATTGTTTTTTCACCTTTTTTTTTTTCTCGTCCAAATGAGCTGAATTTTTGCAAGTGGTCTCCAATTTAATATGACACCTTAGCACTGTACTTTTCTTCGCTGGTTTGCGCTTCGTTTTCGAGTACAAACGTACGCAGACAACTCAGCGGCGCTGTTTGAGGTCTTTAGTCGAACAAGAAACAAAAGAATCCTTTCGTTATCTTCAAAAATGAAATCAGCGAAGCGTCTCACAGCCGCCACTCGTTCGTTAGCCTCCCACGCAAGCGTTTTTAGGGGAGCTCGTTTTTCATCCCTCCCCAAAGACGAGCTCCCCTAAAAACGCCTGCGTGGGAGGATACTCGTTCGTTGGAAACAAGCTTCTTTTTTTTTTTAAAATTAACACTGACAGACGTTATGTCTTCGATGGCGCAAGTGGTTGACGCGCGGGCTACGGGAACCGGCGAGTTCCTGAAGTGCGGGTTCGACTCGCCGACCGACGTTTTCCTTTTTTCGCCATTTCGTCTGTCCTTTTTCTTCTTCTTCTTTTTTTTAATCTCAACGACCATTAAATAAAACTTGCACTGTCAACGCTGCTAAAATCTAAATTCTAAATTTAATTAAATCTACCTTCGAAGTTTCGGAGCCGAAATCGAAAGATTCGCCCTATTTACGCGGGACCAGGGAATTAGGTGAAAGGAGAAGACTCGACAACGTAAAGAAAAAGCTACCTAGATTGTGTTCTAAAGATTAGTAATAATGACAAAGTTTTCGTTCAATCGTGTGCTGATCGCTATCACTACATTACGATAAAAATACTTTCGCCTCACACGCGCTACGTAAGAGGCACGCGAGCTTCGCGCAAAAGGATTGCAAAATATTTTGAAAACTGAATGTTTTGTAGTCTACTCTATTTCTGATTGCTTTTGTTACACTTTGAGTTCAGTTACATTTTTTCAAAAGGCGAATCGCAGCACCGACGCTGTGCTTTTATCCGTATATAGCAGAGTTTACAAGTTTAAATAAGTCGCTCAAAACAATATCGCCCAAGGTCAGTAGGCGCGCGCACACTGGCTTCTCGTTGTTTGTTTTGCACTAGGTATCTGGACAGTGTTTGCTTGTTGGTTTTTTTTTTAAAAAAAAAAACCGTCATAATGGTCACACCCGCGACCACTATGATATGATCTTTGGGGCATTCCACCTATCAGAAAGAAAAGATAACTTTTAATTTTAGCAAAAATTATCCGCCTCGAAATCATAGGAAATGAAAGTTGCACATTACTCTGGACTGGACATAGACTTGCCCACAAGTCAGTCGACCTCACGAGATTCACAGCAGAAAAGCTAAGCGCACGAAGCGAGCCTGTTAGACCGCGAAGAGGCCGACCGAGCGAAGACGAAGGCCTTTTTCGAAAGTCTAGACTGGACAACGCTCCTAAAATTAACAGCTAAAGCTCGTGTCGAAATCTACTTTCGAAGTTTCAGAGAAATCGAAAGATTCGCCCGATTTGTAAATGCCGTCGGTTAACACAAAACCCTTTCACTGCCAAAGATGGCCAAAGTCAAAACTGAAAAAAAAAATTAAATTTTGAAAGTTCCTGTTTCAGGCATTCAGATTGTGGGGAGTGTCAAGATTAAATTCCATCACCCTGGATAGAAACAAAAGATCTATTTTAACAGTTAAAGTTTTAATTCTAGTATTGGATATTATAAGTGGTTACTGTGGACTACCCTTAATGTTACAGACGGCGGTTTCCAAGCTACTAACCTAGGTGATGCCCTAGATCCGCGAAGCCACAGTCAAAGAAAGCATTTTGACGGAAATGTCTTGGTTTTTTTCTGCAATTCACCATTTTCACATAGACGATAATGAAGCTTGTTTACCCCCCAGAATTGTGCGATAACCATTGTCTTCGATTTCTCTTGGGACGACTGTAATACCCTGGAGAAACTGGAAACGATGGTTTTGTAAATTTATGGGGTAAACAAGCTGCATTATGGTCTATGTGAAAATGGTGAATAGGGCATTTTTCCCAGTTGCCCATAGCCTCTGTTTCAAAGCGAGGCTAAATCAAAGCGCTCATTTTCACAAGAAATGTTTTGTACTTAGCCTCGTTTTGAAAGTGAGAGTTTCTGGAAATTGGAATTGAGGTTTTGGTGTTGTGTTCATTTGTCCTATGGGATTGTTATGGGTATGCTTTCACTTCTTTCATTAGCCAGCTGTGTGTGAGGCCTTTCTTAGAGGTGAGCAGACAGGAGATTTGATACTGTTTTTGAGGGGGCATTTCACAATTCTCGTTGCTCATTGTTTCCCCAGAAACGCCTGACACTCAGGCTATTCTTTTATTGCCTATTACAACACTGTGCTGGAAAATGGGTCAAATTTTGTCCCCAAAACACAGTCCCACCGTGCAACGTGACACAACAATGACCCTGTCTCACATGCAACCTCTAAGAGGACAAGTCCAGATAAAATGATTGAATCTCCCTCAGTAGCATCTGATAATCAAACCTCTTGGTTTTGTCCCCTAAATGTTCATATCAAGGAAGTTGGACTGTACTACTGGAGAGGCAAGCCAATCAACAACCATTGCATTCAATTCTAAATAGTAAAAACAATTCTCTTACCTGCATCTGATATATCCCTTGGACAGGCAAACCATGGGGTGTCTTTGCAGAATAGTGACATAGAGGGAAGGATTCAGTAGGAGGCCTGAATCTTAGTTTTCTTCCCATTAGTTCGGGTCCCTTGAGCATCTGTGATGGCTGAAAAGAGGGAGCCTGGACATGAGTGTCTCCCTCTAGAACAGAGGGGTGGACCACAAGGAAATCCAGGGACAAAGAGGTGATGTTTGCTGTGATTTCTGGGATGCCTTCCAAATCTGCCTGGTGAAAAATTGATTGTTGGATTTAGGCTTGATTATTTCTATATCCTAGATGACTCACTACAGGCGTGGATTCACACCGGTTTCCACTGTTTTACGGAAATTGGTCAGATTTCTCACTCTCAATAAATTCTTAATAAAAAAACTTTCCAAGTTGAAATCTTGCTCATTATCCACTATAAACATGGAAATTGACCTTGATGAAATAATCCGCCGATTTGCAAAGCTTCATCCGAGGAGAATGGAACTGGCCAATATCCTGTCTGAATGACTCAGAAACCCAGGAAAGGGGACTTCAGGGAGTTAAAATCCATAAACGTCCTGCGGGAGCAAGCCCGGACCCCCCTTGAAGCTTGCGCCCTCGGTGTTATTTTAGGAAATCTGTCTGTATTCACCCTAGATCCAAGCTTGCAATGATGTGTGCATGTGACACTTGACTAGGAGTTAAATCAAGCATTGACCAACAAATTCATAAAAGTCAGCCACTAATGGAACTTTCTCTCACTTTCACCGACAAATCGGGGTGTAACCATGCTATGTCGAATTGTTTTTTCACCTTTTTTTTTTTCTCGTCCAAATGAGCTGAATTTTTGCAAGTGGTCTCCAATTTAATATGACACCTTAGCACTGTACTTTTCTTCGCTGGTTTGCGCTTCGTTTTCGAGTACAAACGTACGCAGACAACTCAGCGGCGCTGTTTGAGGTCTTTAGTCGAACAAGAAACAAAAGAATCCTTTCGTTATCTTCAAAAATGAAATCAGCGAAGCGTCTCACAGCCGCCACTCGTTCGTTAGCCTCCCACGCAAGCGTTTTTAGGGGAGCTCGTTTTTCATCCCTCCCCAAAGACGAGCTCCCCTAAAAACGCCTGCGTGGGAGGATACTCGTTCGTTGGAAACAAGCTTCTTTTTTTNATAAAAAAACTTTCCAAGTTGAAATCTTGCTCATTATCCACTATAAACATGGAAATTGACCTTGATGAAATAATCCGCCGATTTGCAAAGCTTCATCCGAGGAGAATGGAACTGGCCAATATCCTGTCTGAATGACTCAGAAACCCAAGAAAGGGGACTTCAGGGAGTTAAAATCCAAAAACGTCCTGCGGGAGCAAGCCCGCACCCCCTTTGAAGCTTGCACCCTTGGTGCTAGTTTAGGAAATCTGTCTGTATTCACCCTAGATCCAAGCTTGCAATGATGTGTGCACGTGACACTTGGCTAGGAGTTAAATCAAGCATTGACCAACAAATTCATAAAAGTCAGCCACTAATGGAACTGTCTCTCACTTTCACCAGCAAATCGGGGCGTAACCATTCTATGTCGAATTTTGGTCTTTTTTTTTTTCTCGTCCAAATGAGCTGAGTTTTTGCAAGTGGTCTCCAATTTAATATAACACCTTAGCACTGTACTTTTTTTCGCTGGTTTGCGCTTTGTTTTCGAGCAAAAACGTAAGCAGATAACTCAGCGGCGCTGTTTGAGGTCTTTAGTCGAACGAGAAACAAAAGAAATCTTTCGTTATCTTGAAAAATGAAATCAGCGAAGCGTCTCACAGCCGCCACTCGTTCGTTAGCCTCCCACGCAGGCGTTTTTAGGGGAGCTCGTTTTTCATCCCTCCCCAAAGACGAGCTCCCCTAAAAACGCCTGCATGGGAGGATACTCGTTCGTTGGAAACAAGCTTCTTTTTTTAAAAATTAACACTGATAGACGTTGTGTCTTCGATGGCGCAAGTGGTTAACGCGCGGGCTACGGGAACCGGCGAGTTACTGTAGTGCGGGTTCGACTCGCCGACCGACGAACGTTTTCTTTTTTTCGCCATTTCGTCTGTCCTTTTTCTTCTTCTTCTTTTTTTTAATCTCAACGACCATTAAATAAAACTTGCACTGCCAACGCTGCTAAAATTAACCGTTAAATCTACCTTCGAAGTTTCGGAGCCGAAATCGAAAGATTCGCCCTATTTACGCGGGACCAGGGAATTAGGTGAAAGGAGAAGACTCGACAACGTTAAGAAAAAGCTACCTAGATTGTGTTCTAAAGATTAGTAATAATGACAAAGTTAGTTTTCGTTCAATCGTGTGCTGATCGCTATCACTACATTCCGATAAAAATCCTCTCGCCTCACACGCGCTACGTAAGAGGCACGCGAGCTTCGCGCAAAAGGATTGCAAAATATTTTGAAAACTGAATGTTTTGAAGTCTACTCTATTTCTGATTCCTTTTGTTACACTATGAGTTCAGTTACATTTTTTAAAAAGGCGAATCGCAGCACCGACGCTGTGCTTTTATCCGTATATAACAGAGTTTACAAGTTTAAATAAGTCGCTCAAAACAATATCGTCCAAGGTCAGTAGGGGCGCGCACGCTGGCTTCTGCTTGTTTGTTTTGCACTAGGTAGCTGGACAGTGTTTGTTTGTTTGTTTTTCATAGTGGTCACACCCGTGACCACTCTGATATGATCTTTGGGGCTTTTCACCAGAAAGAAAAGAAAACTTTTAATTTTAGCAAAAAAGATCCGCCTTGAAATCATAGGAAATGAAAGTTGCACATTACTCTGGACTGGACGTAGACTTGCCCACAAGTCAGTCGACCTCACGAGATTCACAGCAGAAAAGCTAAGCGTACGAAGCGAACTTGTTAGACCGCGAAGAGGCCGACTGAGCGAAGATGAAGGCCTTTTTCGGAAGTCTAGACTGGACAACGCTCCTAAAATTAACAGCTAAAGCTCGTGTCGAAATCTACTTTCGAAGTTTCGGAGAAATCGAAAGATTCGCCCGATTTGTAAATGCCGTCGGTTAACACAAAACCCTTTAACTGCCAAAGATGGCCAAAGTCAAAACTGAAAAAAAAATTAAATTTCATTTTGTAAAATTCTGAAAAACAACAGTACCATGTGAAAGTTCCTGTTTCAGGCATTCAGATTGTGGGGAGTGTCAAGATTAAGATTGGGGGAGTAGGATATCCCCCCACCCCCTCCCCCCCCCCCCAAAAAAAGAAAAAAATTCCTGCACAGGCAATGGCAGTGAAAAAAATTCATGCAAACACAGGTGGCTAGACTTGCTCACAAGTCGCGCTTTTGAGCGCGAAGCGCGATCGTACGAGCGCCGGAGCGAGCGAAAGCTCGCCGGGTCCTACCACACCAGACCAGAAAACCATGCGAACGACTTTGAGAAAGTCTAGCAGGTGGCCTACGTTCGAAATACGGCAGTGTTTCGAAATGTTCGAAATATAAGGATTTGTATGGGAGAAAGCGATTGTTTCTGTAGCCTACGAATATGAAAGGAATTAAAATAAAAATCGGCTAGCCTAGCTTAAGTTGTTTTTCTTTCCTGTGTGGTTTCTGAGCCCATTTATGGCCTTTTTACGCGTTTGATTAGAACAGGTTTTCTCTCTCTATAATATATCCCAAAAAAGTAGCGATCCCCCGAAAATAACGTCCCTCCGAAAGTAGCGACCTCAAAGGTTATTTCCCAGGCTTTTTTAGCAAGAAAAAATGGAAATGATAGGTATAACAAGCTATACCAAACTGACCGGTATTAATGGGAACTGACTGTTGGTAATGTACATTATTCAAAGACCAATTCTTTCGAACTGTTATTCAAAATAATAACATGTTGTAAGTTTCTCCTAATAAAGAACTGTGTACGTTTTCACATTTGTCGCGATTTTGTACGCTGTGTACATACCGTGGTCTGAATTTCACGGTAATCAATAAATACTTTATAAACTGTGTGTGAACTTTAATAGACTTAACATACATATAACTTTTGAAATGAACATGCAATTCCTGTAAATTTTGCTACTAATAATAAATAATAAATTATACATCTTTGCATATTGTTATCATATAATTTGCCAGTAGGCATTGGTGTTTCTGATGGTTCAGGGGCACCCAACGACAATTTTCGGAAAATTATCTGTTCGGAAGACGATTTGAGATCTAGAATTTTCGGATCATTTTCTGTAAAATTTCTTGCTTGCCTGCCTCTCCTAGGATTTTCGAACATCAAAAAAGTGGTATAATTGCCCATTTTTAACGGATTTTTACCCTAAAAAGGTCACCTAGAATTTTCGGGAGCCTTTTTTTCGGCTGAAATTTTCGAAAAGGTAAATTTTGATCCCTATAATTTTCGGATCACTATACTTTCAGCTAGGGAATCCGAACAGATGAAAAATTTTTAGGGGATAAAAATAAGCCTTTATCTACCGTTTAAATACTAAAGTACGTTCAACAATGCTATGTTTATGTGGTTTTGAACTATATTCTCGTTGGGTGCCCCTGATGGTTGAGGCGAAGACGGTGGCGTTGGTGATGATGATGGAATAGGTGCCATGGCGGTGCTGTGTGGGGAGTAAAAATGACGCTTGCATCATTTGATGCAGGTGGTTGACTGCGTGGAAATAATAGACGGCGGACGTAAAGTATAATTAAAGGCAGCAAAACAGCCAAACATAATAAAGGTAATGAAACTGCAAGGATGAGGTCTTGTGTTGAAGATAGTGGCGAGTTGAAGAACGGAGAAAATGCTGATAAGGTAGGCTGCGAGGTCGAAGACGGTGAGGAAGTTGAAAATGGCGAACGTCTTGAAGATGGCAATGTGGCAATGACGACGACACAGGGACAGAGACAGGAGAAGGCGATGTTGATGATAAGGGCGGAGATATACAAACTTGAGGAGGAGATGGTAGTTTTGAGCAGTGCAGTTTGGATGGCCATGGTATGGTATGTTGCTTGAACGAAAATGGTGAATGCAGGAGGATTTCACTTCGAGGCAAAGGTGGCGGCATGGTTGTACTTGGTGATACGAAGAAACACGAAAATGTAAAAATGTAGAGCAAACTAAAATCCGTGAAAATGGCGAGCATCGTGAATTAAAAAGTGGATTGAATTAAGATAGTGTTGTTGACTTGGGGCTCACTGACGTAGTGCACTGACCTTTGACATGGTCAGTGACTTTAAAGCATTTCTGTATCTCTGCTAGTCTCAAGGTAAGCAACGTGGAAATAACAAAACAACCACTGAAGGTAAACTCCATTGCACTCTGTAGTAGGAATACGTAAAACAGGTAGCATTTCACTCATGGTCTGAATATTTACTATAACAGATCTTATCTTGAACTTGCATCCTGAACTAAGAAAACAAAAACCTACCCTACAGTTAATGATCCCAAAGAGTTGTCGTTCATCTTGACACTCCTTCTTAACATGCTGAGGAAAGACAATGAAAATGTCAAGATGAAACAATTGTTGCGACAATGACCTCGAAGGTATAAGAATAAATAAATATTCAAAACTACATGTACTCCAATGCAGACATGACCCTCTTGAGGACACAACATAAACCTAGTCATGACGATTAGGTGACTCAATTAGAGACAACAGTGGTGAAAAAAAAGGAGTAAAAAGGGGGCCTTATTCTCAAATAGTCAGGCTCCAACAGTGATACATGGCCAGAAGGTTCACAAAGCGTGGGTATTAAATACTGAAAAGTACATACCTGTGCAGCTCGGATCTCTTCTTTGACATTAAACACAAGGTGTTGCTTTCCTTTGTGCTGGACTGGTTTCCAAGCAGGTTGCTACAAAGGTATGTAAAAATCAATTTTCACTTGATTATAGAGTTAGAAGTAGTAGAAGAGAAAACAACGACCAAGAAAGTGATGACCTAGAAAGCGACGACCTACAAAACAACGACCTAGAAAATTATGACACAGTAAAGGAAGTTGAACTGAGGTCAAATTTAATTATAGTTTTAAAAAAACTATATTTATAATTTTAAAAAAGAATCTGCTTCAGTGGGCTTAATTGTTAGTAGTAAAACAGCCAATAAGAATTTTTAATCATTGGTCATAAAATGTTTACTGGAAAAAAATTTGTCTAGCAAAATTGGTCATACAGAAAAGCTTGCTATTATCAGGCCTTCACATGACTTGTCTAGTGGCTGAGGGCCTCCTGACAACCTTTGCTTTCCATCTTGAAAATGGTTTTAGAGTCATAGCCACGTACTCCATTCAAATATTTGTCAATCTGGCAAATACAGAGAAGTTATTGTGAAAAATTCACTGTTGAATGCAGGGATGTAGACTTGAATTTGATACTACCTATGGCAGCGCCTTACTAAGCTGGAGGGGCAAGCAGCAAGCTTCCGCTCTCCTTATTTTATCACAGTTCCTTGGTTAGAATCCTATGCTTGGTTAATTGGCTGTGAATTGTATTTTATCACAGTAGTGAAATGTTTTCAACACAGGTTTTTGAGGCTTATCGACATAAATCGCTGGGCAAATAGTCATCATTTGATTCATCACTGAGATGAAGCCATCACTGAACAAAACCCAGGTCTGGTCCGATAGGATCAAACCCATGTATTTTTATACTTAATGACAAAAGGACTTGAACAATCCTGTCTGATTCAGATTTTGTCAATGGCCCTGAAATGTACCGTTCAGAATTTAGTCAATGGTTGTGACTAAATGCGTATATAACGAAAGCTGAGCATTCTAGATTGTTGTTTCCTAGCTTGTTGCTTTCTAGGTCAGTGTTTTATGGGTCGTAGGTCTTTGTTTTCTAGGTCGTCGTTTTCTAGACACCCAAAAACTTAATATTCGCACACAGCACTGAAATCATCTAGTCACACTGGCTACACACCTTGCCTTTTTGAGGTATGATGACATCTTTGTTGTTAATGAGAGCTTGAATAGAGCTAAAGTTTGTATCAACTGGTGTCCCAAACGGTGCAACTGCACACAGAACTTTGTATAACTCACACACTTTATACTGCAACTGAAATAAGTTATATTAGAAATAAAATAAGCATTGTCTTCACTGACAGTTGTTTTCCAGCACCAAAAAATATGACTAAACGTCACCTAAGTAATTTCCTTCCTACTATTGATGCCATTCATTTGATATCATACTGCAAATTGCGTGGGTTATATGGAAGAAGAGAGACAGAGTTGGTTAAAGAAGTACCGGTACTGTTAGACTACCAACCTGTTCTTTAGAAGACCAGTTGCCAATGAAGTCCATTATTGAATGAAGTAGAGAGTATCCCAAGGACACACCAGGCCTTTATAAACATCATGTAACAAATGCAAATGACTTAATTAAAGAACCTTATAAAAATTTATTCCGTTTTCATACAAAACAAACTTTCCTGACTGAGATGCTATATTCACAAATTTCTTTCCAATTTCTTTTTCTCCTTCAGTGAACTCATTATGACAATCATAAGCCAGAACTCACGATCTTGGAACTAAAGGAGAGATTTCATTCTTTCGTGACTCTTTAGATTGAGACTTGAATAACTCACAGTTGGGAAAGGTATCCTTATCAGAGCAAAATGGTTGCTTATGCTTTTTTTTTTCAATTTAAATCTGCAGTCACATGCAATTTTAACAAGTCTAACATCTAAAATAAATGTTCCAATAATTACAGTCTGTAATGAGCAAAGAAAAATATTTACAGTTACCATGACCTGTAAAAAATGAATTTGTTCTACTTATTATTTGAAAATAACTTACAGTTTTACTAGTGGTGGATTTCCCTGTGATAGATCAGTTTCTACCAATGGAATACAGATAAATACCAAGCCAAACTGAAAAAACAAACAATTAAATAAATTTATTAGACAAATTAATACCATCAACATCAATATCAATAAAGAATAAAAAGAATCAATTGATTTATTCTGCACATTTATGTACAGTGCTATTGAAAACAAGTAGGTCTTCTGCCCACAACTGAAGTCTATATCACAGCACATTCACACTTATTACTTCAATGCATCAGTATGCTGCAATCAAAAGTTAGATTTGGACAGAACTCCTTCCAACATGGATGGGTGTATTAAAAAACAAGCAGATCTTGTTTTATCAGGTTTAAATATCAACATGCCATTGATAACTCAACACTTTGACAGAATCAGATCTTAGTAAGTCTGGGGCCAGGCCCGCTCATCCGGTTCCTAAGATGTAAGAGGGGAAGCCCAGTCTTAAAAATAATCTTTCTTGGACCTGCAGGCCTCAGTTTGGCCTCAAGGAATGGTGGGGAGCCAAGTTCCCCGAACCCCTCCCCCAGATCCTCCACTGACTCATTAGAAATTTTTATTTTGTTTCTCCAAACTTTAAAACTGCAATGAGAGGAAACAAAACTTTAACAAACTTATCAGAAGCCCTCGGGAGAAACATGTTCCCAGAGTTGCAGACTGTTACCTTTTCTATGACGACAACAGGCCACAAGGAACCTGTTTTAAGCCTCACTTCATGGACAGGCTTGTGTTCCAGCTTGCTACAGGAATCAATATCTCTGTCAAACTAAATTCAAGGACAGTAATTAAAAATAGACTACAGCATTGGGTATAACCTATTAGTCCTTCCAGTCCTAATATACACAATGGCCAAGTTGACTGCTGAATTGTTTGACAGATGATTGTGCTTTTCCTAGGTTAGTTACTATGTCAACTCAATTATTCTGATTTCAGTCTCAATCAACAGGCATGGATCTAGCATAAATACTGACTAATTTCCTAAATGAGCATCAAAGGCACAAGCTTCTAGGGGGCTCCAGTGGCATGCTCCTGCAGGAAATTTTTCAGATTTTAACTCCCTAAAGTCCCCTTTCCTGGGTTTCTGAGTCATTCAGACAGGATCTTGGCCAGTCCCATTCTCCCCAGATGAAGCCTTGCAACTTGGAAACTTTTTTCTTTATTAAAAATATATCTATTGTGAAAAATCTGACCAATTTCCATAAAATAGTGGAAACCAATGTGGATCCACGCCTGATCAAATACTACAGCTAGCTGGTAGTCAAACAACTCGGCCATGGAGTAAAATATGGCCCTGTCAAAAAATACACTTAAAAACGGTTCAATATACCTGGAATTTTAGATAAGAAATACACAACATAGGACAATATGGTACATTGTGTATCTCATTATCTTTTATTCTTAAAAGAAAACAGATTACTAGATATTAACTAGAAACAAAACAGTGCACTGCTTTATCATGAAAAAAACAGGTGCAATTTTGTAGATGATATAGAAGGAATTTTCAAATTAATTTACATATTTGCATGAATGACATTAAAATTGGGAATACTGGTTGAAAGATAGATATCAGGTGATACTACTTTAATTTAAAAAAAATGTCAGATAATCAGATTATTTCTTTACACATTTACTACCATACATGCAGTCATCAGTATCGAAGCCATACTAGGTTATTATGTGATGAACAAAGCCACACATGCGTTAGAAATTGGACTGGTCAGGAGCCCATCAAATGGAGCCTTCATCTCCATTAATTTCTTGAGTCAACCCTTTGCCAAGTAGATTTATAAATAGAATGGCTTGTTTCCCGTGAAAAGTGTCATATTTCCGTGATTCTCATATGTCACCGTGAAAAATATAAAGTTGGATGAAGTCGAACTCAGAAGCCTGTCTTTCGACCGTTTTCCTTTATTACTATGCATCCATTTTTATGATTTTACAGCCACTGGGATCTGGGTATCATGAAATAAAAGTTAATGAATTACCCGACTGAGATTAAGCATGAAGCAATGGGACAAAGGCAGCTAACTGAGGATCACGAAAAGATTATCTTTGCGAGTCTTTTTTTTTTTGGCCATCATACATCCCAATAGCCTCCCACGCAGTTGTTTTTAGGGGACCTTGTATTTCTTCCCTCCCCACAAACGCCTGCTCAACCGAGAACAACATCCTTTCCCATTGTTACATTCGCGTGGTAAGTGACCAATCAACAGTTTTTAAATAACGTGTTGACAGGCTAAACATGACTCATAAGCTCGTGATAGTGAAAAAATGTGACCCAGAATGTGACCCTAGAGTTACCTTTTTCCTTCTTTTCTGTCCTTCGCTAAGGTTGTGCAGTGCACGGTGAATTCTAAAATCTGACTGAGTAAATCTTACTTTTGCCCCTCTGAGACAAACATTTATTAGAGGTCATGAAGGTTTCTCAAAGTTTCATGCAGATCAGGTAATAATTTTATTTATGAGGTTACCCTGCGGTTAAGGTTGACTTTCCAGAATTTGGAAAGTACAACGTGATTGGCTAAGCGTGGGAAAGGAATGTTGTCCTCGGTTGAGCAGGCGTTTGTGGGGAGGGACGAAATACGAGCTCCCCTAAAAACACCTGCGTGGGAGGCTAACATCCCAAAGGTAAGCATGCACTTCAAAAGAGTCGACCATTAAGTGTTCTGTGGACGATTTGGAACTTTTTGATGATCAGCGCAAAAAAGGGCCAGGATTTGATTTTTGGCATCACCATGGAGTGGATTTTACCAGTTAAGCAACACGCGCAAAATTGATGACCTGGGTACAGCCTGTAGCTACTAAAGAGGAATGCTTTAGTTCTGAAATTTGAGAAATTGCAGTCTTCCTTTACAACTGACTTGTATTACCATGAGTGTTGCCTGATAAAAGTGGCACTTGAAAAGTTGAACAGAAGAGAACAGTTCCTCGACTATGAAGCTAACTCAAAAGTAATTTGCTAACGGGGTAATTTGTGACATCACACTCTAGTCCAAAGACCCACTTATCTCAAGAAAAACAAAATGGATTGTATCTGTGCCAAAAGAATTATGACTGACTAATGGGACAATTCTCAGCAGTTAATGTAGAAGTTTAAGCTCAATGCTTTCCTTCAAATTCGCATCTCTGGATCACTTTTCGCAAGAAAACAATGTTAAATAGCTGGGCCCAGTGTTACAACACATAAAAGGGAATCATCACTGACACACTAGCTGACGGACAAAACAACCTCAAGGACTACTAGTACTTATTCAGATAAATGCATTTTAGAAAAAAAACCTTGAAAAAACTAGAAATTTGATTAATATTGAGTCATTTAGCCAAAATAAGAACCTTAATGCTTAAAACAAATGGCTAAAGAAAACGAATCCTGTCACAACTACAGACTGCGGAAAGTAGTTAATCATTATGCATGGAACAGACCAGCTTCATGGCCTCTTAATGTGAGACAAGCAGCCAAAAATAATTAAGATTAACACAGTCAGAGTTTAAAACTCTCCACAGTATAATCTACCGGCTAAAAAGAAAAGAAAGAAAATCTCTGAGGGATGAAAACACTTAAGTCATGTTTCACTAGCTTATGATTGTGTTTGGCCTGTTAACAACGAATTTCCTGCTGTTTGATGAAGTACAATGGCAATGTCATTTCCTCATTGTGATTGGCTCTTCCCACTGTCTGTGGGCAAAGTCTCCTCTGGGAACTGTTCTAATTATAAATCTACTCGCAAAAGGGTTGACTCCAAGGGCTTGTATGGGAGATGGAGGCTCCATTTGATGGGCTCCTGGGCTGGTAAACTACATCAAGGCTGCAGGGATGTCCCTATATAAAAGCTGGCAGCTGGCTAATTTTACTGGCTGAAAAGACCCTACCAAAAGCTCAAATTGCACTGGAAAACAAACAAATGGGGAGATTTGAAGGTGCAGTTGAGTTAAAAAGCTGACTTATACCACCAACATCACAAACCTCTTCTAAACCAGCAGCAAGGTTCCTTCTTGATCCTAGCTCTTTCAGTACTGAATCACATAGCTCTTCATCACTAGGAATTTGTGTCAAAACATTTCCTTCCTGATGCAACACTGCTCGCCTCTCAACTGTTGGAAAGCGCCTATAAAGACAAAGGAGGGCAACTTCTCAATACCCAGCCACTTTTATGCTTTAAAGGTAGGAAGCATGACACAATGGTTACCGGTTATTCTGCTACAAAGTCATACTCACTGAATATTGAAGCTATTTTGCAACAGCATCTTTTAGCAATGTTGTTATAGATATATGACATAATCATTAATACAGCCCTTACTTTAACAGATTTACTTGGTAATTTCTGAAAGAACCATTGGTGTGTAACCCTTACTGCACAACACTGAACTCAAAAACTGAGAAAAGTGAGAATATAGGGAGTGAGAGCTACATTCTATGATACTATAGAGAAATAAAAACAGACTTAAACAGAGTACTTTTGGGCTACTTTCTTCCCTTCTTGTTGATCATTCTTGTGCTGGATTGGTTTCAACTTACTCGCAAAAACTAGCCTAAGTGATGTGCAATGATATAAACCTGGCTTCAAGGTAAAGAAGCTTTACGAATACGCAGAACAAGGAAGAATGTAGTGTGAATGCAATGAGCTCCATGAAAATATGTCTTGAAGCTACTCATCTATGAAAACAGGAATCAGTTTTGTGATACATTGAATCAAAAAATATTTTGCAGCAAATTGACTTCACAATGTAGCAGAATGACTTTGCAGCAAAAAGACAGGGCACCCCTATGTGACACAAGAGGCTATTTTGTTCTTCAAAATAAGTGGGTGGGTTTTTCTGAAGTTTAGCCGACAAAAGATGTGTTTGCCAATAAATTGAATGAAAGATATGACAGTATGGTAAAAAAACTCACAATTATAATTATGATCCAACGTCACAGCCTTAAGTGTGCTACCATTCACTCCCTTGTGGGTAAAGAACAAAGTCTAAAGACTACAACAGTAACCTCAAGGACCCATGAACTAAAGCATGAATACACATGCATGAAAGGAGCCCATTTAAGAGTGGCTCTAAGCCTCTAGTCATAATACTAATAAAGTGACGCCTGTTGCTTATCCATTCATGTGACAATGAATAAGATTAAGCTGTCTTGAAATTGATGTGTTTGTTTCCTGTTGTCATCATAATGTTGTCTACACCAGGTGAAAACGAAGGAAAACAAACCAGTCACAAATAAAGCTAACAGAGTACGTTTAAGGGGAGTTTTTTTTTTCTTAATCTATACTTCTTCTGCGCTGTTTTTAGTGTTGGTCGCTGCGTTAAGAAATTTTGACCACTGATAAAATTAAAACTATTATACTTTTATCAAAGCATAACTTTGGCTACCTTGAAAAGATAACGCATTCTGCAGCTTTCTCAAGACTAGAAAACACCCAAATACCCCGCAAACTCATTGACGAAATCTCCTCTCAGCTCCAGAAATGGCGGGTACCACTGTACATTTATAGGCCGAGTAAATCTCAAATTAATCCTCAAATCTTAGCCGGCGCTGGCTGGTCGCCATATTGCACTTTCAAACTGACTTTGCCCTATCACAACCACCTTAGCCCCCCGCGTGACTCAGACAAACTTTGCATTCTACTCAAAGGCTTTGTCCCTTTACGGGGATGTGCCGCTGGACAGGGTATGGTTTTCGTCCTCTCTGTTCTAAATTTGTCTGTTATAATTATAAACAGAGTGTTTCATGCACGATCGAGTAATAAAATTGAGGGAGTTGTCCTAAACAGTGTACTAAAATTGACGGTGTTGTCCTAAACAGGGTATGTATATTAGGAATTTTTTGTTCTAAAACAGGGTCAGGGTTTCAAACCCTCAGCGGCTCACCTATACCCAAATATTGGTCGAGTACCCCCCCCCCGCCCCCCCGGGGAGCGCTTTGTATGAGGAGATGCGTTTCCGACATGAAAATTGTTTATAAAATTCGCAATGAGTGTTTTTAAAATGTTTTTTGAGCTTTATTCTAATATATAAAAGGCAAAACTGCTACAGGGAGCAAAACCTGGTCCACGTAACTCAAATATCAGATAAACGGTTAAAATCAGAAAATAAAGCGACCTGATCAACGAAGGCTACTGAAAGGCTACTGAAATCAAATCCCTAGTTCTGTCTTAGGCAGATAGCACTATACGCATCGAAACATGACATAACATTTCTGGCTATGTAATACTCCAAAACCGAAATTGCCAAAGAGAAAATTGGGTTTGTATGTGCTTCTCGCTAGCCTGTGCCAGAATTTCTAAACTGAAAAGCACACCAACACAAACCGGAAATTGTATAAGTCTGTACTGTTGTTGTGCGGCCAGGTAGGTACCATACAGTACTATATCCTGTGGTACTAAGTAACGTACTCGAAAAAAAATTGAGCAACCCTTGCCTATTCTGGAATTTAACCAAATGCACCGTTTTATGAACAGCATTGAGGCTCTGCTGCCCATACATTTCTTAGTAAAATGCCATAACATAATTTTACCCACAGTAATGACACCGCATAAGAAATAAAATCAATGTCTGTCACAGCGGGGAAATTGAATCAGGGCCCAGACTACTCATTGTCTCACATTGAAGGTCATTCAAGGTCACAAGACAGTCGCGTCACAAGGGAAAAAGTCCACTTCCCCTGGACTTCCGCGACTAAATCTACTGCACGTTCAGTAGAGGGTTCGCAGTCCCCTTTTTCGTAAGATCGTCGAGCTTTAAAAGAGACAGCGGTTGTGAAGCCAAGATGGCCGCCCGTAAGGGTAGGTTCTTTGATCCCCACCATCTGACGAAAAAATTAGAGGGGAGTGAGAACAGTCTGCAAGTTTAGTGACAAATTTATGAACGTGGTTTCTTGCATGTAACAAATGTTCCAGAGGGACGTAAAGAGTGTGCAATTAATGCTTGGGCTTTGACTGGAGTGTGTTATGATTCTACCTCACGTGTATGACATGACTTCCGGTTTGGGTGATACTTTGTGACTGACCAATCGTTATTCGCGATGTTTGGAAGAAACCTTTGAACTCGATCTTAAAAAGTCGGGGAACGCACAGCATGCGTTGTAGATTCATTTGTGCATTCATTGAAACATGGAGGGTGATACAGTTGTTAAAGCCAGCCTTTGCAATGAAGAAGTGAACTCGAATTATTCAAGAAAGGAGATGAACAGCCGTCGTTTTGCTAACAGCGTTCCACGGAAAACTGCCGAAATCTCGGGTGCAGAGCATTCTTGTACAGGGAAGACCCGTGTGGGACGTTTTACCTCGTTGTTATTGGGAGCTTGGTTCTTCTTCCAATGCCTCATATGTTACGCAGTTCTTTTCGCTCTTGTCATTCCTTCATTCCCAGTCATTGCTGTACTTTTCATTTTAAAAACGGTTGAGCAAGTTATGGCAAAGACCACCAATGGCGGAATTGCCTTGAACGCTTCGGATGCTCTATGGCAACAAAGTTCAGATGTAAACCGCCTCGCAATAAACGCTTTGATTTGCGTGGAAAACACTCACAGCTTCGACGAAGGAATGAAAAGCTTTCGTAGGGCCATTCTAGAACGCATGGTAGACGCTAAGAAAGAGAACGGAGAGCTTATTTACCCTAGAGCTCGATCCTACATTCGCCCCGGATTTTTCCAGTACTTTTTTCAGGAAGACAAATCCTTCAGTATTGAAAACCATGTTTTCAAATGGGAGGGTGAAGTACCGACCTCAAAAGACGAGCTTGCAGCCATAGTTTCCAAGCTGAGTAATGATCCTTTCCCTGAGGGAAGATCTCCATGGTGTTTTTGCTGTGTCCCAACAAATTATGGTGATAAAAACCTTGCAGTGGTTTTCAGAATGAGCCATTCTATTGCTGATGGGGTTTCTCTGACACGGTTTCTTATTAACCAACTTCCAGACCAGGCAACACCACAAAAAGAACCCCAAAAGTTTTCCTCTAGTGGAAGGTTATTCCTACTGGCCAAAGCAGCATTGATCACGCCCAGATACTTTGTGAGACTGTTTCTTTCATTTGCTGACTGTTCCATTTTACATGGACCAAAGATCAGTGGGGTTAAAAAGGTCACTTGGCAAGAGGCATTTGAGCTTAAGCTGATCAAACAGATCAAGACAGCTACAGGAACAACAGTCAATGATGTTCTAATGTCCTGTCTAACCTTAGCACTGAGAAGGTACTTCCAGAAGAAAGGTGTGGTTAACCCTTATGACCTCACTGCGTCAATTCCTGTAGATGTCCGATCGTCAGTTTCTGCAAAGGAAATGGCCTTTGAAAATAAATTCTCATTAATTTTCCTCAAACTGGCGGTGGCGACTGATGGTGTTCTTAACTTACTGTATGAGACCAAGGCCCGCATGGATGCTGTTAAAGTCTCTGGTGAGCCGCTAGGTTCAGGAGCATTTATGTACCTAACCAATGAACTGTTTCCCGAATTTTTTACCCGTAAAACCAACACTATTATAGCCGAAAAAACAAGTTGTGTTCTTTCAAATGTCCCAGGACCTCAATACTTGCTCACAGTCAACAACTGCCCTATCAAGTACATGGCATTCTGGCCTCCACAGAGAGACAACATTGGATTGGGACTGTCTATTTACACTTATGCTGGTCAAGTCATTGTAGGAGTTCAAGGTGATGTTGCTGTTATAAGAGATCCTGAGATTATAATCGAAGAATTCAAAAATGCTGTTAATGAAATGGCCCAATGTGTTCTTCACAGCAAGACTGTTGATAACGCACATGCTCTCTAAACATTATTTTTTTTCTTCCACTCCTTAGCCAGCCCTTAATATCGTCTATAAGGAACAGAAACTTCCTACGCCAATACCAAAGCATCTCACCACATCTCAATGCACATATTGTACATGAGGAAAAAGCTCTGGTATCCTGACGATAGCCAGCCCTTATCATCCAATATTATTCTGTCTCTCCCCTTTTCTCAGTAACAACCCTTAGTGAAGGGGGCAGGGTGTTGACTGTGAATTTAAGATAGGTGTGTGCCATGAGGGCTATTAAAACCTCATCCTATTTAGGGAATAATAATTAAGACCCTGTTCATGTTAACTTCAGATTTACAAATCTCACCACCAAGCCAGAGTCATTTTATTTTGTGAACAAAATTCTTGAGGTACCTTTTTCAAAGATTGAACCCTCGCTCCTTGTGTGGAGTCCAACAAAAAGAAAATTGCTGCTGGCAAACTTCCAGTATTAATCATGTTAATAAATATCAATCTACCTGCTAAAAAGTGAAAGCAATATTGACATTTCCAAAGAATTGTAATTATTGTAACAGTGAAGGCTGTACAGTGAAACCTTGATTTAAAACTTAAGAGCCTCTATATTAAAAAAAAAATTGTATATATACTATTTTTTTTTACAATTAATTTTTTCTTTTTTTTCACCCCTGCCAGTAATAGTAAAATCTATGAAACAGAACCTTTATATATCGAAACCTTATTACAGCACACAAATTTTGCCACTCTCTTGGCCCCTTGTTATATCAAGGTTCCACTATGGGCTGGCACTTGAAAGGGATTGTGATCTTAATATTTCATTTCCAACTGGTGAGCCAAAAGATAGAAGCATGGCCATTTTGGTGTTATAAGATTGTTTATTATATGGCTGAGTCTGCAAGCAGGCAAGATGAAGCGAATCCTGCTTTCTTATTGGCTACCCAAGCGTGCAAGATGAGCCCATCTTGCGCTCTTGGAATTTCCCGTGTCAGTCCCACCATATAATAAATCTTTTATTGACCAAGCTTGTTTGGTTTAAGATGGCTGAATATTGGCCTCATTCTTTTTTGCATTTTTCTTTACCTCGACTTCGTCCCATTATATAAAAATGCGAAAAAGAACTTGGCCAATATCCAGCCATGTTGACCTCATGGTTGGTCAATGATTTCAAATAATAATTTTTGTTGGTTAGTGGCTGCTGTCATCTTCCTAATTATGCATGCAAAGCTAGGCAACGTTATTATTAAGGTAATGTCATCAATTTGCACACATTCAGTATGCTCACAGATGTCTAAGAGACAGTAGAATTCTCGTTACATATAGTTTAGTTCAGATAATTTTTGTCTAAAATGGAATGTCATTTACATTGTAATATAGAAATTATTTGTTACAATTACAAAATATTTAATATTAAATTAGAGTTTCTGGCATACAGTGATGCTGAGATAGGGTACCAATTTTTTATGAGTTTTGGTATTTTTCACTTGAAATCATTAAATGAAAACTATTGATTAGTATTTACTGCAAGTGGTAGAGTGATCAAACGAAAACTTTGTAGGTCCAGGCCTACGGGCTGGCTACGTCCCTGGCTTACACAAATTTTGTAGAGACATAAGAATAGAATCTACATTATATTATTTATTGATTATTAGAAATACAGAAGTGAAAATTAAAATATTATTGTTACATTCACTGCAAAATTATTTGCAACAGTTAATGAAATATTCAGGTAGTCATTTGAAGTTAAAGGTTTATTCATTTGCAGCCTATGTGAAAGGCCATCACATTTGCCCTTTGTTATTAATTTTTATTGCTTTTAACCCTTTATGTCCCGATAGTGACCAACATCAATTTTCTCCTAACAATATCCAGTAATTGTCAAGAGATACAGTTATGAGAATTAACAAATGATCACCAAAGAGAAAATACTTTGATCTGTTATTAAATCCTCTCACCTGATTCTTAAAGGAAATGTATGGAGATCAGTTTGGAGAATTGGTATGTTGATATTGGGACTTCAAGGGTTAAGCTCATATTACAGTAATAAAGTCCAGCAAGTAAATGCAACAGCTATATGCATATGCAGCAAAGTAATAGATCCATACTTGTTCAAAATAATGTGCAATATATCAACATATGAAATTTTGTTGAAGTAATTAAGCAAAGAGTCTCTTTTTCACTTTTATCTCATTCATACCATGTTACAATTACTGTTGAATCTGCACCTACTGGTAATGTTGTTTAAATTTCATTTCTGTATAAAAGTAAAGACAAATTCTTTGTAGTGCCAAACTATCAGTTTATTCAGAAATAAAGGTTGATAACCACAAGTGAACAGTCACCTTAGCTGGAGTGGAAAAAAGAAGTTTATAACACTTAATTTACACCGTAGAAATGATGCCAAAATGTTCAAAACTCAAGTGGAACCACAAGCCACAGGTGGTTTCACTGCAAAGTTTTGAACATTTTGACATCATTTCTGTGGTCACTAAGAGCACAGACCATGGAAAAAAATGCAGAAAATTGCAACTGATTATTTGTTTGTTACAGGTTAACATAACACAGTATATATTGACAGTTTTTTTAACATCCATTTTTGTTGAAAATTCACAGGAATTCAGACTGAAGTGGTCTAAAACTTGAAAATGTCAGGCCAACTTGAAGCTTGACTTGTTAAATGGGGAAAATCACTAACATAACCCATTGATTTTGGCTAACTCATGCCAAAGGGGAAAATATTGTCTTCGTCTTGTCATTCAAAAGACATTTGGTGAATTATTAAGTGTGCGTACGACATGAATCTTGGTTACTTCACAGGAAATCTTTAAGGATACTCACACTTTCTGACACCATATCAATGATTATGCTCTCATACTTTCAGCCAACAAAATTAGCTCCATTAATGAGAGAAACAAAAAAATCGTTCACCATGATTTCCTGTTCTTTGCATTTTCATACCACAATCCACAAATATGCAGCCTATTTGGCATTATCAAAAAAAAAAAGTTCTTCACCTTGTGCCAAAATGGTGGCAACTTACTTTTCTTTTAGAATATTTATTCTATGTTAATATTATTGTTAGCCGTCATTACCTTGATTGCACCTGCAAAATCAAAAGGAACTTTTATTTACCTTAAAATGAGGCATTGAGGGTCAATTACCACGTAGACAAGAAAATAACTAAATTTGCCACCCTTTTCAAAAAGGTGTACCTCCGGTATAATATCTGTACACTCTGGTCAGATTGAGTTCATAATTACCAATTTACAGAAGAAATGAGGCATTATTATGTACACCACATCAGGAGAGCTCATGCCATTGGTACTATGTACTGCTATCCAAAAGAAATGGTCAATCCAGAAATTTGGCCAGCTATTATACAATCCTTTTCTTCAAATGTTTTGTTGCTGATATCATTGTCACGTGAAGTTCTGTGTTTCTGACTGAATGTCCTTTTTTACACCTTTGTATGTTGATTATCTTGACTTCCATGGAATTATCTTGCTAATAAATCTTGAAGTTGACACTTGCAGTCCTGCCCATAACAACTGAAAATTCCTGTGGTACCAAGCTCTGTAAACAAAGACACATGTATATTGATAATATATTGAGTAGCTTTGAATAGATTTCATTCTTGAAACTTATGCTCCAGAACTACCTACCCTTCAAAATATTGGGGTAATGTATAGATTTAGCCAAGGCCAAAAGTCAAATAAAGTTTTCTGAGCCTGCCATACTTGAATACCGGCCATAATGGGTCAGCGGAGAACTTACAAAAATATTTCACCTCAATGAGTTATAAAAATGAGCCTGTGATACAGTCATGTGAAACTGGTCACTGGGTTCCCAACTTTGACAGCTGTCAATTGATTTTACCAATAATGTCCAAGAACAAGTCAAACACAGTTTGCATATGCCTTAGACTTTTAAACCAGTAATTGAGACATTTCACATCCGCAGACATGAAGGAGCGGACGTACGTATGTACATACATACGGATAGACGATTTTGTCAGAACCAACATTTCTTGGATGCTAGAAGACCAAATTTGCTTACCTATGGTGCTCCGCTTAGCACATACCAGTCAGCTCTGCTAATTTGTATTAATTTGTCCCACCATGTGAGCAGAGCTCCCTTCTGCTTTTCTTTGAGTGAGGAAGAAAAAAGGCTCTGCCTGAATCGCATCAAGCCTTCAAAGTCACCACAGCCCAAACTTCTGGACTAGTCAATTATTTTCTCTCTTGCCAAACTGTTTTTTTCAAGTGGAAACATCTGTTTGTTGATAAACCAATGGTCAAAACTGAGCCTGCTGTATCAGGCACATGACTATTAGGCCTGGGATCAAAACTTTTAACTATACCAACATGCAGCACATGCTTAACAAAGATCTTACTCAATTCATGCAGGGTCTTTCTTGAGTACGTCAAAATCAAGCAAGCGGAGGAAAGACTCTTCTGGTGGGGTGTATTTGCCTTTTTCAGCATAATTTTTAAAAAATAACATTCTGACATTTCGTTGAAGTTTGACTTCGGTTTTCCTTTGAAACAAACTGAGCACAGCATCTGTAGCACCACTTAAAGCAATTTCAAAACAGCAGTAGTAGTTCAGACTGCTCATTTGTACTAAGTCTTCTAATCAGTATGTATTTTCCCTGATCATGATGACTGATGATTTACAAAGCCACTACTTACCTGAGATATTTTGAGTGTACTTGGTAGTTTCCATCTAAGAAATCCCGGTAAAATTTGGACAAATCATCTGCAAGTTCCTTACCTGGAAACAGTAGTAACAGGTTAGATGGATTTTACTTTTCAAAGGTGTTTGCAACTCAGGCTATTGTTACAAAATTAATAGAACATTCTAAGCAAATTTAAGGTCAATCTGACAGAAATCAAAACAACAAACTCACAGTCACATAACTTACTTGTTTCTGTTTCAGTATCCCTTGATCGCAATTTGAGATATGCTTTTTTTGACTGCAAGAAATGTTATCAATTACTTAGGAGGAATAAGTACTATAAATGGCTATTTGCCTACAAAAATCTGTCACATTGCTAAAATTCAATATGGCAGATGCTTGGGATTTACCAGCAGGCTGACTAAAATCGCACACATGCACAAGTCTTGATGTGGCTTCTTTAATTAAAGCCAAGAAAAAATAATTTTTTCAGCTGAGGTGGTAATAATATTATTTCCCATCTTACCTTAGTAAATTTGTCATTGTGTTTTTCCCAAAATACTTGATGCCAAGCGTTTAAGTCCTGTTGCTGTTTCCTGAACCTTTTCTCCTGAAAATAAGATTATAGCAAATTGTATGTCCTTGGAATGACACCCTTTGAGCAGAGAAAAGCCCCTGTACTTTCCATTCCTAAGTCGGGAAGAGAAAGAGAAGAAATAAAGCTGAGGCAGCTAACAGAGGTCCCTTCCCCTTGTTAACTTATCTACTGGAAGATTGAAGGGCCTCAGTCTCATTTACTGGTCAAATGATCCATGGCCAGATTGGTCTCCTTTGGGGGTTTTTAATTCAAGTTCTCTGACAAGCATCCCCAACCTTTTAACCCCTTCCCTGCCATGGACGTATACACATGCTACAGGTCAATATTATATTCAGGTTAAAATTTTTTCAACCTAGGTTGATTCCCCTGGGCTAGGAGACAAAGGAATTGAGAATCAACGTGGATTAAAAAATTTTAACCTGAATATAATTTTGACCTGTAACATATACATCATGTGTTGTGTGACCTGGGCATGAATGACCCGTGACGTATATATGTGTCCAAAAATAACACATTTCTATCACTGTTCCGTTGTTCAAAAAAGGGAGGTTAACTTAATGACGGTTGCCAGGAAGTACCTACTCAACAATGGAAATACTGCAAACTACTTTACCAAGGGTTCACAGCCCAGACATTTAGCTTAATTAAAATGGTGTCTTGGCTTAGCTACACAAGTGAAAAAGTTGTGAATGAAATTTTTGCCAATCCTGAGAGAGAGTTTAATAGCGACAGTGGTGAAAATGAGGAGTTAAGCTATGTAGAGAAACAGACGATGAAAACTGACAGAAGAATATGAAAGTGATGAACAGCTGACTGAAAATCACGAGCAAGAAAACCCATATGGACGTGGCCGTGGAACTACGTGTGTTCAAGGCCGTGGTCGAGGCCATGACATCCGACAATGAACAAAAAGGTTTTAAATGAACTTTACTGAACCATATCAAAAAAGGCATACAGATAATCTTTTGTTTTTAAGTTTATACAAGTCTCAGAAAAAATCCAATATGGCCACTGGTCAATGGACTTAGATAGTGGCCTTTAGGTCTGGCAGTGAAGAGGTTAATATTGGAGACCCAATTTCCCTGGGATACATTACATGTACAGAGAAAAATTAGACAGTTGTCACAAGAGCAAGAGGACTGCAATGGGAAAATTGTCATTTGGAGAGACTTCAAAAAAGGCTGAATAGAATAAGTGACGATTTCTTACACTTGCATTTTCATCCTTTGATTTTGCATATTTTACTTTTCTGATGTTTGACTTATAGTCCCTTGGCCCAACTAAGTTGAACTTGCTGTGGAATGGAGAGACAGCTGATGTAGCATTCTCTGTAACCTGTATTGGTCAAAAAGACAATATTAAGTAATAGAAGAATTAATTTTCATAAGTTGGGGGTAATAAAAATGTAGCAATCATGTGAAGTCAATCAACGCACTAGTTATTAATTCTACATGTAGCTATGGGGGGTTGGTGTTTAGGTTTGAAAAAGCGTGACAAAAAATGTACCCTCTTCCAAATGTGACATCCTAAAAAAATTGTATGATTTAATGTACCGTCTCCCCTTAAATACCAGTATCAGCCTTCACAAAAAGAAGGACCACCCCCTCCCCCAGGCCACCCCATCCTTTTTACTTTATGCACTGTTACCACTTCTTCAGTTTACATGGGAGTGGACCCCTGTTGTAAAATCTGTCCCAGGCTTTTCCATGGTGTTGTGTGAAATGTCTGGCCCCAGTTGTTCAAATGTTGGATACTGCTATCCAGCAGATAAGTTTTACAAAAACCAATTGTGTTATCCAATGAATAGAGATTAATCCAGTGGATAGCCTTATCCAGCTTTTGAACAACTGGGGCCCAGTAGTTAAAAACAATTTACAGAAGAAACGTGAAGGAAATTAGTCTCCTTCACACCTGTTAAGGCCAGAGTTATGCAATGCTTCTCATCCCCACATGGGGACTGGGACGGTTGTTTGTTTCTGGCCTGAGCGGCTGGAAAGAAAACTAGGAGGAAGCTTAACTCAACTGAACATGAGAATTCTCCCTGGCTGAAATTGGCTTAATTCTGTAATACTGAATTTAACAGGATCACAAAGGTATAGTGACATCAATAGTTGAATTCACAGTTTAAGAAAATTGTTGACATTTTTAGACTTTTAAAGCAGTGTTTGAGAGTTTAAATCAAATAGATTAAAAGAAAGATCACTATCAGGATGAAAAATTGCATTCCCTTTTTTGCCCTTACAGAAAAAATCCTCCATTTTCCACTGCTTTCACAAATTGTAACCCCTACATGCCCCCCAATAACTTTCTAGACAAATCCCCTAGAAATTCTTGTTATCCACTGTGTGTGTGGTTCAAGATCAATGATCACAAGGCAACTTTGAGACAAAAATACAAAGTATCGGTTACAATATTAATATTCCAGGGCTGATATTCAAAGGCTGATTAGCACTTAACCCAGGGTTAAATTTAACCCGGGTTCCTCTTTCTTTAGTTCAAAAGCATTTTCTCAGACAATTTTCTCTGATATTCATAGAGCATTGACTCAACAACTTGTTGACAAAAAGAGTTAAAATGTATTTACTTTACAAGCTTTCATATTTGAATTTAAATTTTGCACTAACCCTGGGTAATCTTAACCAGCTTTGAGCAACCCGGCCCTGATGACAAAAACATTCAGCTACAATCTTGCACAGAAAAAAATGGAACAGAAAAACCCACTCCCATTAACTCATTCCTCAATCAAGGATGAAGCCATACAAAGGAGCGGGGTCTAAATTTTCCGTCTGTAATTTTTGCCCAAGATTGTACAGACGTACGCTTGCTGATCTGAGGTACGTACCTTCCCACAGCCATCACTTCGCCACCTCTTAGGACCAACAGCAGAGGTATACAAAAGATATTTTTTTGTGCACCACTGTACCGAAGCTCTGTTTCTATAGATTGATTTCATCCAGCTTGAAAGTGCGAAAAACTAAGAAACATCATAGCAAAATTGCATAAGCTAAGATGATGAAGGTTGGCCAGGCTACCAAGCTTAAGAGGTCACCGCTGATTGCAAATCGCAGACGCAGTATAAAATGGCGGAAAGAGACGCTGAAGGTCTGAAACTTTCTTTTTAGACTTACATATCTCTCATAGCAAATTTGTTGGTACTTTTTGTGCTCCTACTTTTAAGTCTTTGCTAAGTTATAGTTTCATTTCTTAGATGAAAAAGACAAATCTTCATTCAACAAAGGTGGAGATGAGACTTCACGCAGTCGAGGTGAGTTCGATCAGCAATTTGAGTACAGCTTAGAATAGCGCTCTTGCTTTCATCTTTGCCTTAAAAGTTCAATCAGTTGTGGATAACGCAAAACTTTGACGAAGGAGTGCATGAATAACCAAGGGATATTTAAATACAGCAAAAGCAATATGAGCTTTCTCAAAGTATCACAAATATTCAGCCTGTTATAGCACCCATCATTAGGTACGTGTTCTCGGGGGGTGGACGGGGAGGGAGCACTCAGCAAAATTTCATACGGTCTAACCCCTTACCCTTTTATATACCATTTTTTACAGAGAAGGGACACCTTTTATATGCCTTTTGCTGCCAAATGGTACCCCTTTCACATTCTAGTTTAGAACACTGCACCCCCTGTAAATGCCCCATCTTTCAACCCCTACCCTTTAATATACCTGAAGTCTGGCACAGAGCCTTCCTGTATAGGCCATTATAGGGAGTACCCCCCTTTCCTGGGTACATACTCAAATAAGCTGGGTATACATATGAACTACATAAGATGCCTCCCTCTAAGATCTGAGGACTTGCCATTCTTCTTGGCTGCATTAGGGGTGTTAAGTAGAACTTTTCAAAGGGAAAGTCACACTGTGTCTTTACCTAGCGTACTTACATAATAGTCTTGTCCTTATCCATTTTCGTGTGAGTACCTTGCAACCCGTAGCCTCCTACGAAGGGTTTTTATGGGAGCTCGTTTTTCATCCCTCCCCACAAACGCCTGCTCAACCGAAGACAACATTCCTTTCACATGCTTAGCCAATAACATTGTACTTTCCAAATTCTGGAAAGTTGACCTTGACTGCAAGGTAATCTGATAATTACTCGATCTGCAAGAAACGCTGGGAAAGCTTTATGACCTCTAATAAAAATGTCAGATTCAAAGCGGCAAAAATAAGATTTAGTCAAATTTTAGAATACTCCATGCCCTGCATAACCTTAGCGAAGGAAAGAAAAGAAGGAAAATGGTAACTCTAGGGTCACGTTTTAGTTGCATTTAGCCTGTCAACACTTTATTGCACATCTGTTGATTGGTCAGTTACCACGCAAATAAAACAATGGGAAAGGAATGTTGTCTTCGGTTGAGCAGGCGTTTGTGGGAAGAGATGAAAAACGAGCTCCCCTAAAAACGCTTGCATTACAGGCTATGGAACCTGTTGAGTGGCCCCTTTTCAATAGTGTGGGAAAGAAATTATTGACACTTTTACCACATTCGCTTGACAGAAAAGAAGAAGAAGAAACGAAAGCACAGAAGCCAGTCTAGAAGCAATTCATCATCAAGTTCATCAAGTAGAAGCAGATCACCTTTAAGAGGTAATCTCAACAATTTTTGGCAAGCCAGTGTTACCATAATTCTTTAAACATATAATGAAGAAGTAGTCAGGAATAGTGGCAGGATTAGTTCGGGTGGTATAGCACTTGACTGCGGAGTGGGAGGTCAAGGGTTCAATTTCTGGCACTGGACCAACATTCAGGGTCTTAAAATAACTGGGAAATGAGGGTACTGTCTTTGTCCTGCAGACAGTTAGATCTGCGCATGGCTTGGATGACTGCATAAAATGGCAGTCCTGTCCCAATGAGGAGACACAAAAATAGTGTCCTCAATTAACACTTTTGTGTTAACTACATTGACACTCAAATAAGAGCTTTTTTATAGTTCAGTACCAGTAAATCTTGTTCATGGCTTGTTGTGGAGCTTTAAGCAAGTTTCAATGTTTTATTATGTTTTGAGCAACCTTTAAAAATTGGTAGAAGAAAATATGAAACATTAAGAAGAAGATCAACCTGGCAAGGGAAGAATTGTTTTCCAACTGAAATATTGTGCACAAAAGTATTATTAAAATGTTTTGTCCTTTTTTTTCTTTGCCATAAGAATCACTTCACTGCTGTGTTTTTTCAATCTTCTTTCGGATCCAGATCCTTTTGAGAAATCCAGCCACTCAACCACTGGTAATTGGTGTACAGTTAAAGTTTTGCTGTTCAGTGTTGAAACTTGAAAAGGCAGTCTTTCTAAAGTGATGATCAATATACACATGTAGCTTTTGGAAGTATTTTGTTTCATTATTGTTATTATTTTTTGAACCATTTTACAGTGAAGCGCAAAAAAAGAAGAAGGCATTCAAGTAGTAACTCATCCAGTGAAGCTTATGAGTCACCAAGCTCATCAGGCTCAAACTCCTCAGGTAAATAGCTTGTAAGTTTTTTTTCATGCAATGAAAAACTCAAGTTGGGAATAAGTAACAAATTAGTGAAGTTTGTAATGATCTGTGACTAAGCCGATGCTCCAGGGGGTACTCAAAAATATTTATATAGCCCCCACCTTGAGGTCCAACCCCTTACCCTTGTAATATACCAGTATACCATTTTTAACAGAAAAGGTACTCCTTTTGTATATCTTCTACTAACAAATCATAACTAACATACCTAGTTTAGAACTTCACATCTCTTTTAACTGCTGTGAATGAACTGTCTTTATATATGAATAAATCAGAAAACCATGACAATTTCTTGACTTTTTCACAGCCACAAAATGGGCCCGTTAGCCCTTCTGGGACTTTAACAAATGGAAATGACAGATTTCCCTGACCCTTTCATAATACTTCAAATATTGAATTTCCTACCTTTTCATGTACCTGAAAAAGACACCCCTTTCCTGTGGAGCCTCCCCATATAGGTCATCTCCCCGTATAGGTCATTACAGGAAGTACCCCCCCCCTCCCACCCTGGGGTCTATAGGTACTGGATAAACTTGGAAGGAAACCTGACAGTGGACAGGTTTGCCATTTAGGTTTAGTATGGAGACAGACCGAAAAATGGAAAGCATTTTTAAGGCTGGTTTTCACTAGCGATAGAGTCAGAGTGGGAGTCATAATGAGACGCATAAGACTTGGAGATCTAGTCAAAACAGCATTCTGATTCCAATATTTTCTCTTCCACTCTTTTTGTAATCTGCAATTGTCTCACAGCACTTCACGATTGACCATTTTTCTTTCTTTGTGCTCAGCTAAATAATACCTCATTGTCATGCATGCTATTAAAATGACTGTCTGAATATAAAATGAATAGAGGAACAAGTAAGAGAGTGAATGAATGAATGAATGAATGAATGAATGAATGAATGAATGAATCAGTTTTGTTTAAAAACAGTTGTTTGCCACTTCTTTACTTAAAATATGAGCACTGCAAACGCATTAAAACAGAGTAAAGCAAATTCATGTTCACAAATCTCTTAAAGAAACAAAGAAATTGTTAAAAGATTTAAATGATTGAGTTGATCATAAAATTATTTAACTTGCCATCACTTTGCGTTACTGAAATAAAGTCACTCTCTGTTCATTGTTTTTTTCTTGCATTACAGTGAAAGGAAAGAAAAGGAAAAAGAGAAAGGTATGGTGAATTGTCAGAGTATTACTGGTATTTATTTGAAAACGCAATTTCTTGACTTTTAAAGGTTATCCTGATACGATATCAGTAGTTTGAAAGTTATAGGTTTGTTTATAGTGGACAGTCCACTTAGCTTATCCAGCTAGCTTACTGGCATTCTCTCGAATACTTAAGGCTGGTTTTCACTAGCGACAGAGTCAGAGTCGTAGGAGCGCTTATGACCTAGTGAAAATCAAAAATCGGAGTCGTAAGCTCTACGGAATCGTAGTCAGAAGAATGAGGATGTTTCCATTTTCTTCTGACTCCACTTATGACTCCTTCGCTTACGGTCTAGTGAAAACCAGATTGTTGGAGTCGGAAGCAGAAGCGGAAGGATAAACCAACCACAATCCATGTTCCCGCACTTTGTGGTTGTTTTAATTCTTCCACATTTGCTTGCAACTCCAACAACCCGGTTTTCACTTGATCATAAACGACAGAGTTCTACCCTTATGATTACGACTCTGACTCAGTTGCTAGTGAAAACCAACCTTTAGAAACAAATAATTCAAATTTAACATAACAGGACTTAAAAAACCCCAACTGGCAGGAGGCAGCTGGTTGGCTACTTACAAGGTTGACTGAGGCCAAACAAGAAGTAATCCAGCAAGGACCCACAGCAGGACTCGACCCGGAACTGCCTGACTGCAAGTCCAACACGCTGAAAATTTTACATTTTCTACCTCTCTCCGCTGCTATTTCCAAAGGCGAAAATTTTAGGAATCCTCTTTTTTTCTGAATGATGACCAAATTTGGGAAGTGAAAGGTGAAAACCCCAACTTCAGAAAATCATAGAGGTTTTAGAGTTTTAAGTACTGGGAGGTGGTGTCATGCAAAGCCGTTCATTCCTAAATCGGTCCTTTGTTATTTTTACCTCTTTCTCTTTTGTGTTACACCTTTCATTAAAACAGTTTATCAACAGTTTTATTTCTTTTCCTTCTTTTCATGAAAAAAGAAAAGTAAAAAGAGGAAAAAGAAAAAATCCGTGGAGGAATCATCAGGCCCTGTTCAGCTGTCAAAGGTATGTTGTTCCAGCCTCGATCAAGTCAAACAGCATACCACCTCAACAATATGGTCACACTAACGTCCAAACAGTCTCCCCTACACCCCCAAGGCCGAACAATAAATTTAGGGTTTTGTTTGATATAGTGTCTTTTAGGCCCAGGCCAAACGTTGAACTTTTCATGAGACGAACTAAACTCTAATTTGGGTCGACCTAAATTAAGTTAAGATCGTCTGTTGTGTCGGATGTCGAAGTTAGGACGCGTCGAACCAATCAACTGAATCAGACCAAGAAGCAGTTTTATGATCAGTAATAAATCTTCTCACGAACGAGGCTAAATATACATTATCATACAAATTTTTGATTTATTATTTTAGTTCGTCGCATGTGAAGATCGACGTTTGTCCCAGAGACGATCTTCCGTCTGAAGCAGACGGATAGAACTTGTTGAACGATCCAAACTCATTCAGACGAACTTAACTCACTAAGTTTGGTTTGTCTCATAAAAAAGTTCGACCTATGGTATTATACGTTTCTGGGAAACTGCCCACCTACCCCTCCCCTAAGCCAACATTAACACTTACTTCTCATTTAGGGCAAAATGTTGGCTTAGGGGAGGGGTAGGTAGGTAACGGTTTTATAGGGAAACTAAAAAATCGTGTCATAGCTCCTTTAAGACTGTGTTGATTGTCAACCCACCCACCCTGGCTTAACGTACACCTCCCTAAACAACAGGGTCAGTAAAGAGAGTTGTCCTGTTTTTTAGTTTATGAAAGAACAAAAAGAGAAAGAAGCCGCCCGGAGAAGTGCTGTGTCTGGAAAGAAAATAAAACTCAAAGTGAAAAAGTCCAGCAAAGACAAAGAGGTAAATAAATTGGTTTTCTTTTAGTGCAAGCACTTAGCTTCTGTTCTGCACTTCACTTCTGTTCTGTGACATTTACCCCTTAACCATACCTCATTAATGTCGACGAGTCGAGCGTTTGGTTGGCGCCAATGAGTGGATGATTTGTGTCTTTTTGAAAGTAACCATTAAAAGTCAGTCGATTGAAAAAGTCCAACGCAAACCATCATTAAAGAATTTAGAGTCACCCTTACGGTAAACTGCAAACCTCAGATTCAAGTTGAAAATTCCAGAAAATAGAGAATGAGCAGATAAAAATAGTCCGAGAAAAATTTTATAGATAAAACTAACGTGAAAGTCCTACTTTGTTTTGTAGAAGTACTGAACCCTAGTCACGTGTTACAAACACGTTTGTCATAAAACGCAACCCTCTCTTTGTTATCACACCGGCCAGCAACTCAGTCAGGCCATGTTCACACAGCAACGGTCAGCGAGTGGAGCAAGTTGTTCACACGCATCGAACATCCACCGAACATCGTGCTGGAGCGGTTTGCCAAGAGGGTTTGGTTCTCTAAATATTCATCCTAGCTCACACCTGAATATTTTATTCCGTCTGAATACTTTTTTACACTACACCAAAGTGTGGAACAGAACCTGGCCAATAAGTGACGCTCCTCTTTCGAGATCTGTGAACATAGCCCCGTGCTAATTTAACACTGGAACTATTTGGAAAAATTTTTCTTATAACTTACTCAGTGTTCTCCTGTTTCAGCGTGACAAAAACCGCAAGGAACTGCTTAACTTCTTGAATCAAACTTTATAAAGCCTTCCATGAAGAGTTTGACTGACAGGTGAGCTTTGCGGACGATGAAAACTCAGTTAAAACTGCCATTATTGCGTGGCCAACAAGTACGTAAACATGTACAAAATCACTGGCTTCTTGAAGACAAGTCAAATGAGATATAGCACGGATTGTCGACTGCTTTTGGACTGTTGAAATATGGAGGCCCTAGCACGAAGCCATCGAGAGGAACATTTAAGTTTTCCGTGCTTTTGCGCAGTGGTGGCAGTTTATTAGGAATACTCTTTTCGGCGGAAATAACACAGAAAAGACTTCACAATTCCGAGCTACAGAAAGCAGAAATTCAGTATCTTGTCAACGTGTCACGACTGCCAGAAAAACAAGTCAATCGACCAACACGAGGCAAGCAAAGAAAGCGAAAGCTGTGATTGTTAACCAATTCTTTTTATGTTTGCGCGTCACTTTGTTCATGTTAGAGATGTTTTATTTGAGTTCTGACTGTTGCATGTTGCAATGACTTACGCTACGCGCAACAAACAATGAGATTTGTTGTGCTCTGAGCTCTTTGAAAAGCAGTTTCTGGGGCTCTGAAACAATTCTTTCATAAGTCTGAACCATCATTTCGCACAGTTGTTCGAAGACCGATTGACGTTAGTTAACTCGAGGTTAAATTGTAATCCAGGTTTCTATTTCTTTTGTTGAAGAGCATTTTCTCGGTGAATTTTCTCTATCCTTTTCAGAGCATTCAATAGTCACATTGTAGACTGACGTAATCAATTAAACTGAATTTTGCTTTTTAAAGTTTTCTTATCTGAATTCAAACGTCGAACTGACCCTGGGTTATCTTAACCCAACTTTGAAAAACCCGGCTGACAGTTTCCGTGAACACGTCGGAAGATGTGCAGTCGAGGGTAGGTTAGCGCGGGAAACGCGCGCAAGACCTCGAAAATTCTGACTTGCAAAAACTGAACAATCACAGAGCGAATCAGACTAAATCCACCACGCTTTATTTATATCATATTTTTTGCAAGTGTTTTACACGATTTTCAGAATTTTTCGTTACAGCACAAGCGTATTTTTAAGCAAGCGTCTATGTTACAACAAGTCACTGTATAAAGTGGTCGGAGCCATTTCTGAAGGCTGCATGCATAAAAATTGTCGTACATTTTTATATCAGAAAATAAACGCTTACCAAGAATCTTTTTCTCTCTTTGGTTACGTTTGTTTCCTTGTTCAATTTTTACGATCCGTTCTCACCCAACTGCCTAAATTGTTACATCTTTTGTAATTCGTCTTGTATGAAAAAATTCATTAGCACACAGCTATAATTTTAGGAATGTTTGCTTTACCTCTGTCAAATGTTATTAGAGATTTTCTTTTCAAAATCAAAGATTTTTTTCTTAGAGTGGACCAAACAAAGGTTTCGCCAAAGGTTTTCTTTGACTAGGATCGATATAAAGAACAGACAAACATTTCGCTGTCTCGTTTTTGTGTTTGACGTGCGTGCTTTTCCTTCTTGTGAAATCCTTGAAGCGTATTAATTTGCAGGCTGGATAACATTTCACAACTGCGTTTTCATGTTTCGTATTGTTACTAAGTTAAGCCTCGAAATTCCTATATTTTGACTAAAATATCTTTCCAATAATTTTTCCAAGCGACTTATAACTGTAATTTGTGCATTGTCTTTTACTTTCACAATATTTTTGAAAGCAGATTCTTCAAATGGCTTGTCTCCATGTAGCGTGACTAGGAAGCCCTTGTTATATGATACAAATTTGGATGAGATAACGAGGTAATTACTTTTATGTCCTTAAGTATGCCGTGAATGATAAACAATTGCATATTAAAGAAGTCGCGGTTTATCATTTAGCTCAAAAGATGTGAGAGAGATAAACCTCTCCTTTTGTTTGGAACGCGAGGTTTTGTTTGTCCACTTACATCACAACTTAAAGCTGTACCAGCCGTTGTGGTTTCCAATCTTTCTGTTGGTAAGGAGTTTACGATGTAAACATCGTTCTTTCTTTGATGGTTCAATATTTACATACAGAAACACTGGGTGCATTTTGTTCGTATCAACGCGAGAAGTTTCCACAAGAATGAATTTTTAAGCGAATTATTATGACCTCTCGGCAGTTGGCCAAACTGTGGTGAGTCTCTGAACTGCGTGTTCCTTGCCGACACAATCAACTTGTACGAAGGAATGTTCCCTGTACCATTGAAGTCAGCAGCTTGTTCCAAAGCTATAATTCAACATCGCAACGGGCACAACATTCTCTGAACAGAACGCGAAAGGTTACAAACATAACTTGCACTTAAACGCATTTGGACTTCAAACGCGTTCACTTTGGATGACAAAAGGAAACTTCATCCCTCGCCGGCAATTTGTGTTTGCTTTGTTTTATACACATGCTGCAGACAGCGCGGAAAGAACTTCCGTCTCTGCTCCGAATAATTAAATAACACAAGAACTACTCTCCAACTTTGGTCATACGCGTTGGCGTTTAATAATGTGCCGTCGTTTTTCTTAATGATGTCGAAAGTTGACTACATCTTCTGGTTCGCTGTGTTGACTTTCGTGGCACCGCTGGTCAACCCAAGACCCAGAAATTCAAGACAACCGGGTAAGTTATTTTATTTATTTTTTTTTTTTCATGCGATTATGACCTTTACGTAAAAACGCTTGTACTAGCAATACTGAGCAATAGCAATATAGCGGCAGTTTGTGTTTATCAATTTTTTGTTGCACAGCGTGCAACTTCTCAAACATTTGTTCAAAATTTCTTGTGAAAAATATCTCTTCTATAACAGTTATTAAACTGTTTGTGCGTTTTCCGAGGTCAAAATGAATTAGACCAAATGTGTGTTAATAATCGATAGCGATATGTTGATGCCAGTGAGGTTTTGTATTGTGTTTCAACTAATTTCTAGGGGTATCCCAGACGGGACTGTCTTATTTTATAACCCCATTAATTCTCCACAAAATTTACGTTCATCTTGTGTTTAGCTAAATTATTAATTGAAACAAAGGTTTAGATATAACGAGGCTTTGATGTGGACAGGCTCATTGTAGCGTTGTAGGCAGATTAAAAGCCCAATGGAAAAACAGATCAGTGTTTGAAATTCTGTTTTTGTGTACGTTGTGCATGCGAATTTTATTGCCTCGTTTTTACTGTGCTTTGTAGCGTATTCATAGATTTGTTTGCAAAAGTGTAGTTCATTGCAATTTACAGCTTTGATAAACAGCAAATTCACTAACAGGCAATAATACTTTTGTCGAAACAGCCAGCGGTCTCCGGATGTGTTATCTCAGCATTTACTTAACTCTCCTGATCGGGTTCTAAATGTTATAAACTTTGTCGTAGTAAGACTTTTCGTATTTCAAAGAACCAAATCATGATCGCAGGAATATCTGTTCGAAAGTCTCCTGTCAACATCAAAATTTGTAATTTAAATTAGGCTTTGTAAAATGTCCTCGCCCCCAACCGGAATTGGTGCTCTTCGATTTTTGAAAACAGAAAACGCAGCTGGTGAATTTGTGCATATTAAAGATATTTTAACAAAACTATTCCTCTGTACCGTGGAAGTACTATTTATTATAGTGTAACTTACGGCTTTTAATCTCAGCGGGTAGAAAGTGAAAGTTAAGGGTCTTTTCTGAAATATCGATAAACAGATTGAAGAACCATGTGAAAAAGTGCTAAAAAGGTAATCTGAGAGGTCACACCGCGCGTTTTGTTCGCAGTCTGACCATGACTGACGAAGAAAAACTGAAAAATAGGAAATGATTATAGTTAAATTATATTATTACTCCCGAGGCAAACCGCATTTCCCCGGTCTGCCACCGTGACTTAACATTAACTTGCTTGCACTTTGTAATAGGCATTGTAACAACTCTTTGGTACGAAAGCTACACCTTCCTGCCAACATTGTGGCGTAGAGATGGGCTTTAAAAAAACCACTGTTCGCGGGTTTGAACCGCAGTTTGCCACTGTTAAATGAATTTGAAGACTTAACAGCCTAATATTCATTCTTCTTTCGTGTTCCGTTCTTACAGAAAAGTGGTCGAAATTACAGTGTTCGTCTAATAACAATCCTACAAGTCAACAGAGACGTTGAACAAACAAATTGTTTTATCTTTATTTGACCGGAATAGACAGCACACAGTGTACATACTGTGTATTGCTGTTATGTCCAAACAACGCTGCATGGAACTGTAAACAATATCAAAACAAGCTGTCGTACATCTTAGCCTCCTAGCCCAAGTTATCAATTTGGATTGTTCTTTTTTTTTATTTAAGTGTAAAGTTTCTTCTTTTGCATAGAAAAGAGGTGTTTCAGCGCAAAGTTAGAAAGAAAACAGGGAATTTGAGTAGAACGAACTTAAAGCAACGGGATAATATTGGCTGTAACAGCCGTAAATTTAAAGATGAAATACTAGTAATGAAAAAAGGAAGTGCGTATTAATTGGGTTAAAATATTTTACTAATTATAAATCATAAAAGGAAATATATGATTATAAAGATGATAACATTAAATAGCGTTAATTTCAATAACAACGTTCTGAAAGGCTGCCTTGAATTATAGTTTTGTGGATGAAATCTTGCGGTGTAACCAATCAAATGATTTTAAAAAAATATAACCCTCGGTATATTCAAACGTCGGATAGCGCTATCCATCGGATGAATTACTATCCAGATGGTTAGTGTTATATAGGAAACCCAACTGCGTTGTCCACTGGATAGAGATTTATCCAGTGGAGCGCGTTATCCACTTTTGAACAACTGAGGCCAGTTTGAGAATTTGTTAAATTTAAAGTTCGGCACTCATGGAAAAGGATTTTAAGATTACATGCAATCTCGGATAAGTGTCTCACTCGCACAGCGCAGTGGCGATCCAGGGGAGGCCCCCCTATTCTTAGACCAAGAGACCGCCCCCCTCCCTTATCTAAGGGTCTGGATCCGGTACTGAAGTGGAAGTTTGGCGGGGAAATTGTGAGCGTCTCCCCATGAATTTCCCAGTCACGAAGTTAAATTAGTTCTCATTTAAACTGCCTTCGCCTTTGGATGATATAAGTTTTTGTTTTACAGAGATTGTATTTCCAAACGGCTTGATAATAAAGCGGAAATGAAACTGCCATTCGCATAGTATAAATCTAAAATGAAGTGGACAACGCGCACATAAATTAAAACTCGTCTACTACTAGATCTCTTCAAGTTTCTTCAGTTTATGCGAGTCATTTCTTATTTTCAGCATTTTTGTTGACATTTCTCTATACTCTATTTTTTTAGGAACTCTAACAGCTTGCGAAAGTAGACGGCACCTTTCTGATCCTCAAGGTACTTTAAGTAGCCCTAATTTCCCAGGCTCATATCCTGCAAACTCCTCTTGCACCTGGATCATAACGCCCCCGCGACATGTGAATTTGTCTGTGCGATTCATATCGTTCAATGTCAGTTCTGACTCTAAACAATGTGATGGAAAAAAGTGTGGATGTGACTTCGTTCACGTTGAAGAACTTGACCCGCCATATAATGTCGCAGGTTTAAACAGCAGATTTTGCAACGACAATCCGCCGAATTCGGTGTATAATTTAATGTCTAGAGTGAGGATTCGTTTTTCTTCGGATTCTGCAAAAGAAGGAATGGGGTTTCAACTAACATATCAAACGCTCGAGGTTCCAACTACGGCTCCTGTGACTTTTGACTTCACTCAAGTGCAAGCTCAAATAGGAGGCGGAGGTGCACTGCCTGTCAATCAAACAGTTGCCACAACGACGGTGGCAACCAGTAACTTTACAGACCCTCCAACGCAATCAATGACGTCACCCACTACTACGTCTGGTGTCAATAAACCTTTGTCTACGTTTACAAATGAAGTTACAACGAACACGGATGGGTCTGTTTTACCGTCTAAGAGTTTACCAGTCACTGGAGTAAGAAGGACTAGGACAGAAACCACTCACGTTGTGATGGTTGTTGAGAAGAAAAAAGTCATAGAGAAAGTTCCAGATATTATTATCCTTGGTCCTTCTGTCCCTGTAGTTATGATATTTGTTCTGGTTGTTGCCGGCATTGCTTGGTGGAATTACAAGTTTGACACCGACGAACTTAACAGGTATGCAGTACAATATAAACTTAATTTTAGGCAAGCTTGGGCCATTTACTCACCAAAAATTATAAGAAAAGATTTCCAATTCGCTTAAGAAAATACTAAAAACATTTATGGCCATAAAAAGTATTGTCCAGAGGGTTTGAATGGTCACACTATAGGATTTTCACAGACGTGAACGTTTAACTCAAATGTTAGAACTACGTACTAAACAAATAGTGCCATGTGAAGATACAGCTGAAGAGGTTTCATTTAAATGGTAACGACATAGCATTTCATCCACAGACGCAAAAGTTAGAGTTAATTGCTCACGAAACAAATGGTAACACATTGTGAGAGTATAGCTGAAGAGGTTTCGTTTGCATGGTCACACCATAGGATTTTATCGAGACTCAAATATTAGAACTGCCCACTAAACAAATAGTAGGTGCATGTTCTCAAAGGACAGCTGAAGAGGGTTTACTTGCATGGTCACGAGTTAGGTTTTCTTCCACGCACAAAGTTAAGACTGTAAAGTACAGTTCACACCAGCATCTTTAACACTTTCTCTCGGTTACACAGAATGGAAGGGTTAAAGGCGGAGGTCCAGTTTAGTTAGAAACGAGTATAGACAACTAATAAGAAGGCTAAACTACGGCTTTTAAAAGAAGTCAATTTACAGTGGTATCTGTCGTTCTTGGATTGCCTGTGCAACTGTCAGCGTGCGGTCACAGAATGGTAGTCACGCGTATACAGTTTAGGGCTTGGCTGGTTATTTAACCATGTTTTTACTAGGTATGGCACCGCGCTACCACCCGAGGTAAAATAGAGACGGCTTTTTTCATTGTTCGTTTTTTGTACTTGAGTATGATCAAAAGCTGACTTTCCTTTTTAGACACTTCAGTCAAATGAGTAGCCGGTCCGATCTGGTTAGTCACGAAACTGTCCTACTGGCCCAGCTAAACCATGCATACAACTCGCCCATTGTGCTCTTGAATTCTGTCGTTACTAGTAAGTTTTATTTTCAGTTGAAAGCGAAGTTAAAAAATTGCAGCCAGTGTTATGGGAAATTTTCAAAACTACAATGCTGGTGGACACAGTTCTTTTAAAAGGAAAAGTTAATTGCTGTTTTGCCTCGGGGTTTTACGCAGGTGCACAACAAATGTGCCGGATATTTAAATGAAATCTCCATTGTTTCAAGACAATCGGCCTTCAAATGTGTTTTAGTAGGTGAATTAAAAAGATTCAGGTTTTTTGTTCTGTTCTCAACCTGTTTGTTTTTTCTTAATAATTTTTTTCGGTAAACATTGTATAGAACTGTCTTTCAATAACCCGATCCAAAGAATTTGCGGTAGTTTAGTTTCTCTCAGCAAAGTTGCCGTGTTAAATGTATGAAGAAAAATGCCAACCATTCTACCAATAAAACGGGAAAAAAGACTAAAAGTAATACAAAATAACGGACTGAAGAAAGTCAAGAAACCCATGAAATAACACTTTTGTAAAAGGCTATACCAGACTCACGAAGGACGTAAAGTAAATAAAATTCGTAAAAGGTGTAAAACAAAAGAAGTTTTAGACAATGATCTAGATCCCATTGCATTTGTTTTCCTATGTTATAGGCTTTTTATCTATTGCCATTATGTATTTTTATTTATCACTTCGCAAACTGCCTTTAACATCTGTACAAGTAGTCGCGAATGCTCCATTTTTAAGTCGAACCTTAAACTCGGCGAACAGTAATAGAGATGTAGTCAAAACCGTGTTCTTTTTTATCTTTCATCTTTAATTCCTAAAGCTTGTTTTATAAAACCTTTTTTGACGGTTGTTTCGGTGACCTGAAAAATCAACCTGAACGTGCCGTGAAACACCGGAGGGCGGAGTTCATGATGTTACATATCAGATAATGCCTGAGCTCTGAGGCCTTCTCAAAAATAATGACCGAGCGCGAGCAAAAAAAAAGAAATTAAAGACTTGTAGGAAGGCTTTTTTGTTAAATTAGTCCTTTTATATTTTAGTCGTTTGACTGGAAAGCGTTTTTTATCGATTAGTTATTCACGGTAATTGTTATTGTTGTTGTTCAGTGCTTGTTAGTGAAAATGTCCACTAAGCAAAGCTCTTAAATCAATCGTCTCCTTAGTCACTAACCGTTGGTTCTGTTTCAGATATGAGTCCTATACAAGGAGTAGTAAAGCCAAAAATCGATACAAGAAAAGCATGCAAAATCTCAGGTGAATACATAAATTTCTCGTGTTTCCTGTGCTTTTATATTTATTATTTACGCTTGTGTTCTTGTCCTTTGGTAAAGTGTTTCTGGTAGTATATATGTTTGGGCCCTGTCAACACTAATGCGTTTCCAAAATTATGCGTTTTCGTTTTCATCGAAAATGCATTACGGGGCCCTACTTAATGTATACATTCTGTTAGCCTGTTCCAGGCTCTCAAATAGTGGGGAAGACGCGAAAGAGACTATCTCGGAGCCTAGAACAGGCTAACTTTCTGTCTGCGTCTTTTTCAGGAAAAATAACTCTTTTTTTTTTCATTTTAGCAAAGGAAATTTGTATAATGAGATGACGAAAAACTGGAAAGGACAGTCATTTAGTGTGGGAACTGGGTAAGTACAATTAAGTAAGTGAGGCCGCACTCACCTTGGAAAATGAATGAGGACGATTGAAGGGCTAGCATGTAAGGGACCTGCGCAATGAGTCACAGAAATCCCACGCAGTAAAATAGCCAAATGTAACGTTTCGAGAGCTACCGCAGTAAAGTTAAATTTTAAATGCCTCCACGATAATAACCATTTTTCTCTCCGTGTCAATCCCCCACTGAGACAGAATAAGTGCATAGCTTCTTTAGAAACCAAGTGCTTCATCCATTATTGTTCCCAACTTTTTGAATGATGATTATACGCCATGTAATTCACACTGTAATTTAAATAGCTTAATTCGCACAATAATTCTTATTTTACGACAGCTGGTACTGTTTGGAAAATATTTCTTTTTTTTTTCCTTTCCTTTCTTTAAATTTGTCTCTTCCCGAGCCTGGATTAGGCTTTTCTGTTCGCGGGTGGAAGTTATCGTGAATGTCTTAAATTATATGTGTGAATGAAAGAATGAAGAAAGTTGAAGTTTTGAAGTTGACAATAGACACTCTAGCAATCCTTAAAAAAGTTTTTTTTTGTTCAGATATAGGGGTAGTCCCATGGTTGGAAAAAAGACTTCATTCGCTGGCAGGTTTCTAGAAATAGCTGAGGGGTAAGTCATAATACAAACAACTTTCTATAACGGGCATTTATTTTGGTTTCAAAGATAGCAGACTTCCTACGGCGATCCGTAAACCCACAATAAGGAGACCGTTAAGATGCACACATTTACTCTGTCCCTTTGGTGTCCCTATTAGGGAGCTTTCACTTCATGTAACAAGCCTCGGACAGTCCCTTCACGGGACATTTCACTTAAACGTTAAAGACAAACCGCTTAAAGCTGTGTTCAATTCGCCGCTATAAAAAGAAGAAGGAAACTATGCCGAGTTAGCCGAGTCTTGTGGGACCGTTACTGGGGACGCGCCATTTAGCTATTGGCCAATTTGTTTTTCCCTGTCTCCAGTAACAGTCCCAGAATTCTTTGCAGTTTCCATCTCGCTTCTGAAGTTGCAAATTAGTTGGAATCTTCTGCAATAAGATCACACAAAACGATTCGGATAAATCTCTGCTATGGGAATTTAAGAGCGTGGAGTGCTTCATTCCTCGGAATATTGTACCTCATGCAGAATGGCATATGTTGAAAAGTTATTCCAGAATAAAGGGTGTTTACATTGGTGTTATCGACGGTAACAACACCGCCGTGAAAAATACGGTTTGAGAGATAAACAGCATATCCGCTTTCTACTTAAAATTTATCCGCGTTCTTCAGTGATAGAATCGCAGGATTTGACGCATTACCGGTTTGTAAAACATCTCAGATCCTTCAGAATTATTAAAAGTTATAAAGATGTTGCTTTATAAGATTCCGCGATCTCTGAGTTCAAATGGCGGAAGGGGTACTTCAGAATAATTAAGACTTTTTAAACTGTCACATTACTACTCTCTCCTCCGCCGTTTAAGAAAAGACGTTTTTGATCGACGCACGTCAACCGGAAGTGAGGCCTTCTACCTTTCGATATGCCTTGACGCTAACAAATTTGAATTTCTAAGTTTCTTTTCTCTTACAAAGACGATTTACCCGAGAGTTTGAATCAAACCACTGCCCAAGGATGCAAAAAGTCCACTTTCGGGTGACGTCCGTCGCTCAAAAACGTCTTTGTCTAAGCTCCCTTTTGTGTCGTAGGGAGGCAGGGGGAAGGAAAAAATGAATGCGTCCCGCGCGCTTGCCATTTTTCGATTATTACTGTTTTTATAGGATAACCAGCAGGAGCCTCTGTGGAGGAGAGAGACATAACTATGTCAATGCCCTTTTTTTTTTCAGAGTCATCACTCCCCGGCCTTCTCGACCACCTTCGGCAGAATTGGCACCGCTGACCAAGTCTCCTCCTGAATCACCTACATTCCTCTCCCCTAGCAACGCGCGGGCTAACGCGGCTGGCGGAGGATCTCGACCCAGCTCTCGCCCCGCTTCACTTCTGTTGAGGGATGCCTTGATTAATATGTTTGGAGGATCAAGCGAAGGGTAAGAGAAACATAATTTTCGTTTAGTTTCCCTTTTACCACAGGCAGACCACCTTGATAAGGGGTAGTTGCTTTTGTGTTGCTTCTTTGAACTTAAAGTGGATTTCCACTGTTGCGTAATTTTTAAGGGCGTACGCGTGTAAAATTCACGTGCGTAGAAAAATTAGAGGCAATGTTTTATAAAAGAGAGTGGTCAACTTCTTCCCACTAATACTATAGGAGATGTATGGAGACAACAGAGGTGTGTCGGGGTTTAAAGGATTAACGTATTTGGCCTTTGACATGCAAAGTTGAATGCTATTGTGTGCATGCCCATTCATAGCTGTCATTTCTTCCAATTTTCTCACGCCTTCACTTTCAAGACGACGGCTGACCAACTTAACTGTCATACCTAGTGAATACGCGTTGGGTTCCGGTAATGGAATCATAGTGAGCCGTACCTGCAATCTTGGACAAAATAAATGGAAAACCTAGATCCCTCTTCCCCCCAAATCATGGATGGGAAAATGGCGCGTTTTTGCCCTTCGCGCGGCTTCATCCTTGATTTGGGGGGGGGATGGGCGTTTGCTGTTCCATTTTATTTTGTCCAAGATTGTGGCTTATTATCCCCGCAGGCCCTTTTTTCGGTTTTTTTACTTAATACTGCAGTCCATTTATAACACTTACCTTTTTCTTATAGTTCAAGTGAAAACCGAGACTCTGCCTCACCGTCAAAGCGAGCATCTAAGCGAGTTTCATTCATAGACGAGTCGGGTCAGCCGCTGGTACAAACCGAGGCCAGTCCATCAGAAGGGTACGTTTTCTGTTGTTGTTCAGATTTTTTTGGTGTCTTCTTTGTTGGGTGTTCTCCGTGCGTAGGAACTGTAGTAATCCTATCCTTTCATTCCTATTAGTTTCCAGTGAAAATAAATTCCCAAAAATTCCAAATTTCTTTTGTAAAAACCAGAGAAAAGAATAACACCATGCCAATTTTCTACCAAAGAGGTTTCACTGAAATGGTAACACGACAGGATTTCGTCCAAAGACTCAAAAGTTAGAACTACAGACTAAAGAAAGAGTACCATGTGAAAGTACTGCTAAGAGGTTTTATTTGAATGGTAACACCATGGGATTTCATCCACAGCCTCAAAAGTTAGAACTACATACTAAATAAATAGTACCATGTGAAAGTACTGCTGAAGAGGTTTCATTTGAATGGTAACACCATAGGATTTCATCCACCGACTCCAAAGTTAGAACTACATACTAAATAAATAGTACCATGTGAAAGTACTGCTGAAGAGTTTTCATTTGAATGGTAACACCATAGGATTTCATCCACAGACTCAAAAGTTAGAACTACATACTAAATAAATAGTACCATGTGAAAGTACTGCTGAAGAGTTTTCATTTGAATGGTAACACCATAGGATTTCATCCACAGACTCAAAAGTTAGAACTACGAACTAAATAAATAGAACCATGTGAAAGTACTGCTTAAGAGGTTTCATATGAATGGTAGCACCATAGGATTTCATCCACAGACTCAAAAGTTGGTACTACATACTAAATAAATAGAACCATGTGAAAGTACTGCTAAGAGGTTTCATTTGAATGGTAACACCATAGGATTTCATCCACAGACTCAAGAGTTAGAGCCACATCATGATACTAAATAAATAGCATCACGTGAAAGTACTGCTGAAGAGGTTTCATTTAAATGGGAGTTAGGCTGACAAATCATCCCGCCATAACTTGGTCTAGAGGTGAAAGAGTTTATAATGTACAAACTGATTAGGTGTAAGGGATTCTAAAACCTGGCTGTTCGTTGGTGTGTTAGATAAGGAGAATTTTGACGAAACTGCACCATTGTACCCTCGCAGGAATATTTTTTTATAAGAACAGTCTCAAGCGACTCAATCACCAAACGCTTGGTTACGTCAGTGATTTCGTCCTTCCCACAACAGTGAGGAGTAGAGAATCTTTTGTTTAGCCGCAGTAGTAATCGCGTAACAAATGTAAGGCGGTGGTTCCATTCTTCCCTTATATGATAGCGTGACTAAAGAAAGTTGGGCGGTCGTACCTACTTGATGCGCGAGTTCTGAATGGCTGATTAACTTATCCGGCTGAAAGAAGTATGCAATAAAAGCTGATTCTTAAATTGTATCTTTTAGAATTGAAGAAAAACACGACAAATTAGACCAAGGAACATTTGAAGAGGCTCCTCAACCGGTAGTGAAGCCGAGGTTTGTTTTGATAATTGCCGGTAGTTATTTCATCTGTTGTTGTTAGTTTTCAAAGCCTGCTCTTAACATTTTTTCGAATTTCGTGGTTGAGTTTACCTCCCTGAGTAACTGGCCACCTTGTAATGGATTCCCTGCTTAATCTGTGCAATCCTTAAATGGTCAACTGCAGCATTCCTGAAAGTAAGCGATCAGTTGTGAAACTATCGTCCACTAAAGATGATGTTACACGGGACGATAAAAGGAAGGACGACTTTTAACGCAACACGTCATTTCAACATTGTTGCGACATTTTTTCGAATGGTTGCAACATTGTTCCAACATTGCTACCCTGTGATGCGCAAAAAATCGTCCTTGCGAATCGTCCCGTGTAACATCACCTTAAGAGGCGATGTCCACACGAATCCGGACAATTTGTAAACCGTATATTTTTTTATCCGTATTCGTGTGGACGGGGCCTTAAATCGCTCTCGGTTTAAAAACAGTGCGCTTTCGGTGTCCAGGTTTACTGGTTTCGTGTAGGCGGGAGGCCGATTCATGTAAAAAGGTATGCGGTTTAAAAAAATCTCCGGATTCGTGTGAACGTAGCCTGATACTCCAAAATTTCTAATCAATTGTCTCAGTAATTTTAGTGGGAAACTATCCATTGTTCAGTTATGTAATACACTAATGTATAGGGCGATTTTCGTATCACCTTGAAAAATGGTTTCGGTAAGTGTTCGTTATTTTTTTTATCAGCAAATGGATGAAAAGATCAAAACACGGACTCTTCGTTTTCCCGCCAAAAAAAACCCTAATATGGAGAAAGTATTATTCGATTGGCCAATCGTGTTGTAGTATGACGTCAAAGCAAAGTATCAGTTGATTTCTAGAAAGTTCTCAGGAGGGAAGTTTTTTCACCCGAGTGTTCGGCTAACCAACCAAAAGCCACGCGCGTTTGTATCCGTTCGATAAACCAATCAAATCGCTCTATTTTCGTTCGTTTGTTGTTTCTGTTTTGTTCGCGCGTTTTTCATCTCAAGGTCATATTATTTTGATCTTCTTGTGTATATTGTAGGAGGTTGCAGGTCCCAGCAATCGTTGTGAGACAGCCAAGTGAAGATAGTGATGATGAAGCACAGCCCCTGCCTGTCAGAAGAAGGAAAGACCCTGTACACGAGTATGTCGAACTTGAAAGTTTACACTATTCTCCAGCGCTACTTAAGAGAATATTTGTTATTAGATCCAGTCTCAACTTATTTCGTTTAAACCAATTTTCCCCGCCTGATGATGAAAATGAGATATTAGAGAGATTTCAAATCACTTTTACAGCTAACGTTATTGACAGTAGAGAGATTTAGAGCCGCGCAAACGGCAAACGTGAATTTTTACCACGTGGCCAAGTTTTCCCTTTACTAGTCTATTGCAATGTTCATTACTTCTACAAAATATTAGTAGTGTCACGTTAGTTTTATCCATAAGAATTGTTTTGGACAGTTTTTATCTGCTCATTTTCTATTTTGAGATATTACCTGCTTGAATCTCCCCGCCGTTTGCCGTTTGACGTAAACGTGACTCTAAATCTCTCTATTATCACGTGATCACATCAGGTTTGACGCACCAGTGATGACATCCTCAGAGGAGTCCCCGGATGTAGAGTCTTCCTGGCCCGTGTTTGATGAAAATGACGAAGATGCGCTTGGACAATCTGAAGATGATGACAGCCAAACGCCCACTTGGGATGACCACGAGTAAGTAAACCGTCCTAAAACTCGCTTTCAAACTATACTGACGTCTGCTAGAAGGAATTTTAGGTGAAATAAGTCTTGAAATTACACAGAGATGCGGGAAAGAAATCTAAAAAAAGACTTTCTGTGAACAGCCAGAATCTTAAAAATATCTGGCATGATTTTTTCATCAATTGCAATATGTTTTTATATTATTATTATTTTAAAAGAAGTATGCGGGGCGATCACTTCTTTTTGTGTTTTAATTAATTAATTTTGAATTAATTAATTAAGCATTCAAATTTATTAGCTTATCCTTGCATTACAGAGAAAAATATCCGGACTCCAGCTCAGAGGAGATTCTAGATAGAAGCCTGTAAGTTTTTTAATTGTTAACTTTTTCAAACTGTCAAAAGCTTCACAACGGTCAGACGTAAAAAATGTCCTCGTTTTTTGTTACCAAAGGTCATTTCATGAAATCAGTAAGAAGTTAATAGAGAAACTGCACTGAAACACGATAACAAGCCGGTAAACTTTGTCCTTTTGATCATTTAATTTTTCACTGCATATACGGCATGCGCACATTACGTTTGACTGTTGTTAAGTGAAAAGCATACGCTTTTCATTCTGATCATCTCTTGCATTCATCACAATCTTCTTTTAAAAGGAGAATTCAAAAAAGGTTTAAAGAAACTTACTGTGCAGCAAAAAATATACAACATTGAGTTTATAAAGCATACAATTTTCATACCATACGTGTCGTCATTTTTGTTCACAGAATATTTCCCGATCTAGAGGACTTCCTTCTCAACTTAGATAAAGATTCGGTTGATGAACCGCCGTACAGCTGGTAGGTACCCTGTGCTCTGTGTTACCCTGCCTGTGAACTAAGACATTGCACGACATTGCATATAACCAGTCACTCACAACTTAATATTCTTCTATTATGAACTCATTTAGCCAAAGTGTAGTAGCTAGCAATATCCGCTTGTTCCTGAATGTTAAGTGTAGACTGAGTCATCGATGTGACACTGTTGTTTAGTTGAGATGCTCGTGGCTTTTATTTACTACCTGTTATCACGGTTATTGTTGCGACTGTATACAACTGTCCCCAAAGGGGAGGTGAATAGTGGTGGGCATGTGTATACCGAACTTCCAAGCATCGAGATATATTGAGGAGGATAATTATTTTAGTGTTTACCAAATCAGTTGGACACGGGATTTTCTTCATGCAAATTCAGTGCGAAGTTAACACCGCTGATACAGCTGCTTAATTTATCGCTAAAATCTCGTCCTCCGAAACTGTCGTGAAAGGCGGGGTGTAATTTGATCTTCTGTCCTAAATCATTGATTAGCCAAGGATATTCCGAGTTACGGGAGGCAATCAAAACTGCGAAAAGTGCTATCCACTGATTTGGAAAGTATTAAATGACGATATCACTTTTTTTTGTCGATCCAATTCCTAATGAAGATTGAAGTTAAGTTTGAACAGAATTCTGAGAATTGGAATTCAACACCTCGCAGTTGTGCTAACCTCAACGCAATAAAAGAAACTTTTTAGAGTTGGCATCATGTCACACAAATTTATTTCACTGGTAATCACAAAATATTTTTCTTACTTTTTTAGTGCAAGTCACGTGCGAGATATCTTAAGGAAAAGCTACGGTGACGAAGGACCAGGTGGCCTGGGACCTAGTGCTGTGCTTAATGTGCCAGAAGGTAAATATAGCGATGTTTGGTGTAGTTTGCGTTACACTCCTGAGCGATGTTTGAGGTAGTTTGCGTTACACTCCTGAGCGATGGTTGGTGCAGTTTGCGTGACACTCCTGAACGATGTTTGGAATAGTTTGCGTGACACTCCTGATTTATTAAATTAAGGGTACGTTAATCAGGCCGATGAAAAATTGACCGGACACTTCGTTCACGGGAAACCATTTAATATTTTCTCTCTGTTCACACGGACCTTTGATTTTCGTGCGGTTAAGGTGATTCCGTGTGAACCGAACAATTAAATGTACGAATTGTCAATTCGTCCGTGGCCGTTTGAACGTAGCGTCAGGTGGTTGGCTCTTTAACGTGGCGTATTGAGTAGGGTCTCGTATTGGTATGAATCTGGACCCAGCCTCGCCTGGAAACTTTAAAGCAAGTGGTCTGTTTATCAGGTTCTCTTTCCAGCCACTGGAGTAAAGTCTTTGTATGTCTAAGGAAATTTCATTTAGCCTGCGTAGCATTGCGGTTTTGATTGGGCGCGCAAAGTGATATAAAGGCGGGCGAGCGGTAGTGCGTCCGACAAAACCATCATGCTACGCAGGCTAAGTTTCATTCAGTTAGAAGATTTTCCATTTTGCAACTCAGTTGGCCGTTGTTATCTTGTATATACCATTTTAACTGAAGTTAAATAACATCTATTTCCTTTCCTCCTTATCTGCAGAATTTCTTGGTATGATACGCGGCTCGCCCCGGTACTTTGACAGAGCAAAGGAAGACCCGGATGAAGTCGATGATGTCGACTAGACGTGACGTCCAATTTAGCGGCTGATCTGAAAAGCTGTATGTTCGTTTCCAGGACATTTATCTTACGAAAATGTCACGAAACAATACTGTAGTCCAACTCCAGTGGACTGGGTTCCTCGGGTTTCTTGTTCAACAAGAAACGTTATTCTCCTTTTGAATTCCGGAAGAAAGAACTACGAACCATATAAACACTGATTTAGCGCGCGTGTAAATTGCCACGCAAGAAAAAAAAATGATGTAAATAGATATCTTTTTCTCATTGATTGGGGAAAGGTTTTTTTGGTACCTTTTTAAAGATGTGGAAAATGAGTGGAAAGAGGAAATGGTTTTCTGCTGAAGAAGCATTTACCAAGATGACGAAGTGTTCGATTTTTGACTTGATTAGTTGGTATTTTTTAGCCATCTACCAAGATAGATGAAATTTGTTGTTCATTTTTGCAACAGTGGATTTAATAATGTTACTGTAATGGTATCGATGTTAATTAAATACTCCGTTTGCTTCTAAGTTCTGTTTATTGTTATCTTGAAACCTGGGGATCGAGCAGTGGAATACGCTAGTGTTTGTGGCAGTCACCGGGGACGCGTGTGATTCAGAAAAAGGTTATGGCGGACAGGGGTGACCTCCCGAGCTCAAACTACACCAAGATCTTAGGGTGCCGAGGAGTACTAGGAACGAATGTTGGCTTCGTATGATGCCGACTTCGGAGATTCTTTCACAAAACCATTTGAACATAATGTGGATACCATCTCTCTTAAAGCACTATGATTGGTAAATTTAGCCTAAATTCAAAAGTTTGTCTGGATGCAATACATGACAGAAAAATTGTGTACCTCAGTGTAAGAACCTGTGAACTTTTTCTTTGTTTCGCACCTTTCACTCTCGTACAAAGGGCTGCTGGTCCGGCAGTGATTTTCAAAAGATGTTTGTGAATTGCTAATCATGACTATTAAAGCAGTCACGTCCATGGCGGCAATAAGAATTTTAATTTTGTATTTCCCGCGACTTAATAGCGATAAAAATTTCGTTTTTTAACTGGCAATTTAATGTCTAATGTTCCTCAACTTAACGCGCTTTTACCCGGCAATAAATGACCGAGACGTTTTGAAAGTTGTTATTCTTTTTTGCAAACTTTCCTACATCCAAGCGTTAATTATTTATTGTTGCTTTTCTCTCTGAATTTCCAAGGTCCAGCGATGCTTATACTTTTTCTCGATATCCCATGCGTATTCATCTTTTTTTCCAAGATCAGAGCCACGTTAGATAGTTGAGCAAGTCGGCTTTTTTCCCTTTGAACGTGTTCTTGAAGTGTTGATTTCTCACCGTTGAACCAAGTGCGTGCTTTTCTCGCAGTATCAAGGGAAGAGTTCAACGAGCGATTCCGACAAACCTATTACATCACCCTTCCTACACTACCATTGTGTAAATGCCACGTACATTTCTCAAGGTGGTATGAATTTTAATCGAGACACCGTATAAATGGAGGACAGATTTCAAGCTGATTTTATTGATATCCAGTCAGCAAAGTGGTTACAGTGGTGGTGCAGTGAAGTCCAAACTCGGCCAAAGCGAGATCTGTCATCTGTGGCGTGGAATGATTGTTGGTTACGACTCACTTCTACCCCTTCGAGAATACCAGGTTTGTGCTTTCATAGTTTAAACTTTAAATTTAGCCTGTTTAGCTATCGTTACATAAATTAATATTCCCAGTTGAGTATAAAATCTAATCAACGAAACGGTGTTGGTCTAACAGCAGAAACCAGTGCATTTTAACGATTCTTACATAGTGCACTGCCTAATATTTTTGCTGAAAGAATTAAAGATTCCTTTTTTACGAAACTGAATTTTGTGCATGATTCTTTTCCTCGTTTTTGTTTCCGTCGCCCCAATCGTCAGTTACCAGTGTATATGTCCCAACTATTAAATTTGCTCTGTCGCTATGCGCTTCAATCGATGATCGTGAGCAGGACGGGAAAACTTTAAGTTTGTGCGCTATCATCACAAGAATCTCCGCATGCGATGTTGAAGGTCCTTTTAATTTTGTATGTCCATAGCGCTGGGGGTTTTCGAAGCAAAGTAACGTACAGTGTAGTGCTCTATTTGTGGAGCCATCCTTTCGCTGTAAGAAGTTTAAACATGTGAATGATTTCACAGGCTATGCAAATTCCTACAAACGTGTAAAAAATGCCTATGGCATGGGATTTAAGGTCGGCAAGTGGCTGGACAGGTTAAAAATTGTTACGAGTCACTTGGGGTGTTATTAAGACTCCTAGGCATAAAGTTCAAATTTAATGGCACGGAAATACGGCAAAATATAGCTAGTTTTATAACATATTTCTCAGGTTTAGCGTAAGATTACGTCGTTGGGATGGTAATATGGATGATATAAAGAACTAAGTAGGGTAAAGCAAAACCCAGTCACTAGATTTCCTTATGAATTTGCAGACCGCTTGTTGGACTAAGGAATTGGATATCATAAGAAACTTTATTGACACAAAACTCCTTTCACTGTTTTATTTTGAGACCTAAGTTGCATGTGGGCAGGAATTCATCCCAATTTCGTCAACTTTAGTACAGTAGAAAAGTAGTATTTACAACAACAAATAACGCTTTCCACTTTTTAACAGGTAGTGCCTGACGATAAAGAAAAGCATAACAATTTGCCTTCCAGGAAAGTCTTCAAAATAACAATAAAAGTACTGCCACGGTCCTTATCAAGGATATGCAGCCAACTCATTTGTTTGTCTGTCATTTATTCAGTATATACCAAACTTATGGTAAGTTAATTTTTTGCACAACACAATCGGTGAGTCGGGTCTTCATGCAATTTTCCATTGTTTTGAACAGGTTATTATTTTAGATAAATTTCAAGAACAGGTTGTTGAGCTGCAACAGAAGATCATTATTACAAATGATAACCTACTGTTTCAATTCGGTGACCATAATAATAACCTGCTAGTTCCAAAACTATGGAAACGTACGCGCTCAGTCATTATTTTAATAAGGTCTCGCGGCTCTGCGATTAAGCTTTATTACTTTCCAAAAATTTTGATGCAAGTTTTGTGCTCTCTCTGAATTTCTGGTTTGGTATATACGCCAACACAACTGCATGTTGTATTTAGTTATAAATTAAACCTCTTGAGATTTAACAGTCAAAAATATCAGAATCTAAAAACAGTGTACCCTTTTAAATTCACAAAAGAAAGTACGGTTTCGTAGAGAAAATTAAACCTTCCCCAAAGCTAACTTCCCCAGCGAAACCCAACAACAAAACAGAGAAATTAATGAAGAGGAAAAACGGTAAAAAAAATCAAGCAAAACTATTACAAGAAAAAAGTAGTCAAAACACCGCAAATGACTAACAATAAAACAAAAAGAACACAACAAAGAACAAAAGGTAAGTAAAAAGGTAAGTTTATTTATATTCTTCTTTTATTGAGCCCTGAAGACTAAGTGCTCCGCCCAAGGGGGGAGAGCCCTGGGGACTAAGTGCTCCGCCCAAGGGGGGAGAGCCCTGGGGACTAAGTGCTCCGCCCAAGGGGGGAGAGCCCTGGGGACTAAGTGCTCCGCCCAAGGGGGGAGAGCCCTGGGGACTAAGTGCTCCGCCCAAGGGGGGAGAGCCCTGGGGACTAAGTGCTCCGCCCAAGGGGGGAGAGCCCTGGGGACTAAGTGCTCCGCCCAAGGGGGGAGAGCCCTGGGGACTAAGTGCTCCGCCCAAGGGGGGAGAGCCCTGGGGACTAAGTGCTCCGCCCAAGGGGGGAGAGCCCTGGGGACTAAGTGCTCCGCCCAAGGGGGGAGAGCCCTGGGGACTAAGTGCTCCGCCCAAGGGGGGAGAGCCCTGGGGACTAAGTGCTCCGCCCAAGGGGGGAGAGCCCTGGGGACTAAGTGCTCCGCCCAAGGGGGGAGAGCCCTGGGGACTAAGTGCTCCGCCCAAGGGGGGAGAGCCCTGGGGACTAAGTGCTCCGCCCAAGGGGGGAGAGCCCTGGGGACTAAGTGCTCCGCCCAAGGGGGGAGAGCCCTGGGGACTAAGTGCTCCGCCCAAGGGGGGAGAGCCCTGGGGACTAAGTGCTCCGCCCAAGGGGGGAGAGCCCTGGGGACTAAGTGCTCCGCCCAAGGGGGGAGAGCCCTGGGGACTAAGTGCTCCGCCCAAGGGGGGAGAGCCCTGGGGACTAAGTGCTCCGCCCAAGGGGGGAGAGCCCTGGGGACTAAGTGCTCCGCCCAAGGGGGGAGAGCCCTGGGGACTAAGTGCTCCGCCCAAGGGGGGAGAGCCCTGGGGACTAAGTGCTCCGCCCAAGGGGGGAGAGCCCTGGGGACTAAGTGCTCCGCCCAAGGGGGGAGAGCCCTGGGGACTAAGTGCTCCGCCCAAGGGGGGAGAGCCCTGGGGACTAAGTGCTCCGCCCAAGGGGGGAGAGCCCTGGGGACTAAGTGCTCCGCCCAAGGGGGGAGAGCCCTGGGGACTAAGTGCTCCGCCCAAGGGGGGAGAGCCCTGGGGACTAAGTGCTCCGCCCAAGGGGGGAGAGCCCTGGGGACTAAGTGCTCCGCCCAAGGGGGGAGAGCCCTGGGGACTAAGTGCTCCGCCCAAGGGGGGAGAGCCCTGGGGACTAAGTGCTCCGCCCAAGGGGGGAGAGCCCTGGGGACTAAGTGCTCCGCCCAAGGGGGGAGAGCCCTGGGGACTAAGTGCTCCGCCCAAGGGGGGAGAGCCCTGGGGACTAAGTGCTCCGCCCAAGGGGGGAGAGCCCTGGGGACTAAGTGCTCCGCCCAAGGGGGGAGAGCCCTGGGGACTTAATTTAATTAATTAAATTTAATTTAAGGATTTAATTTAATTAATTAATTAAGGATTTAATTTAATTAATTAATTAAGGATTTAATTTAATTAATTAATTAAGGATTTAATTAAATTAATTTAATTAAGGATTTAATTAAATTAATTTAATTTAATTTAAGGATTTAATTAAATTAATTTAATTTAATTTAAGGATTTAATTTAATTAATTAATTAAGGATTTAATTTAATTTCACCGGATTTAATTCCACTTGGTAGAAATGTAAAATTCAGAAACTTATGTGTGTGATTTTGTTAAAACGTGGCCACTGGGTTTTCCCCTGGCACCGTGCGAAGCCTGTCTCCAAGCCATCCGGGTGCTCAAAAATTGAGAGGGTTGACGTGTTGGTCGGTACAGCTGGATAGCCCAGTTACTGCCCTAACAGTAGGTCCGTGGGTGGGTTTATCAGGCCCTGAGGTCAAAACTTGTGGGGTAGGGGGGGGGGGCTTTTTGACACAACCCCTACAGTAAGCTGCAGTGTTCAGTGCAGGCTTTGACTGGCGAGTACCTTGGTCTTAATTTGCCCTAGCCAGCTGAGTCAGGCCTCTGCTGAGAATGATTATCATGATAATTGCAGAGATCAGTGGGAGGTGCAGACAGTCACCCATTGTCCTGGGTGGGGAGGGTCAAAGTCTTGGTACCAAGGACGCTCTTAGCATAAGACCTTTAGACACTCACTGAAGCCATGTTTTTATAAATCCAGACAGATATACATGACAGGGTACCTGATGAAGAAGGACAATAGAAAGAGTAGGAAGCAATTGGAGTAAAACGTGAGAGAACCAAGTCCAGGAAAACGTTGTTAGTTCCCCAGTTCCTTAAAATGTTGGTGATTACGAAGGGGAGCTTAGTCTTCTGAATGTGGACGACTTTCAAAAGTAAACGAAACAAAAATTAAAGTATCAAGTTCTTATCCTTGCGGACACGTTGAAGTTCGATGTCCAGTGGCAGAGGAAAGCTGTTGCGAAAGCGATTGAATAAATAAATAAATTCTACGTGCCCTCGACCGGCGGTCTTTACTTGACAAGGGGTTGTCACTTTTCTAATCTGCGGCACGTTTGCGGTGACAGTTTTCACGCTCTGCGGTGTCCCGGAGCTTCCGGAGGGGGAAAATGAAAATTTATGAGTGATCTTTGCAAGCTCTCCTTCCTCTCCCCCGCCCCCGCTTTCGCGTCTCCTCTGGCGTGCCTCTCGCGCGTCCACTTTTCACGATATCCCTCAAATGGAGAGCTTGCTCTCAGGCTAAGTGAACTTCACTTAATATTAATGTTTTCTGGTCCTTTACAACAAGATCTGTTGAAAAAAAAGTGAAGTTTGGCGAAATGTTGTTTCAAACAAAATTATTGTCACGCTTGTCACACAAGGTTTGCCGTCTTTTTCACTTCCCCGTCCTGGAGTCAACACTCGCAACGTGAGCTTGGGATTCCTGTGATGTGAGGGTCACTTTATTCATTGTATTTGACGTATAAGTTTGTTATGTGATTCATTATGGCGGATGATTCAAAGGTAAATTTCAATGTATTGTATAAACCTTGCTAACTATGATGGGTTTAATCTTATATAAATATATAACTTTGTTAAGCCAACATATTTGGTTTGAAAAACTCTTTTTTTATTAGGTTCAAGACACCAGAGCCAACGTAGACTCGGTAGCTGTTGTGCTAAAAGAAATAAAATGTTGCTCGAGATGCGTTCTTCGCTTTCTTGGAGAGAAGAACAGTTCTTTATATCAAAACTCTGAAGAGGTAAGGGTATCACTTACAATGCAGCAGTCAGTGGAATACCCCAGACTCTTATACTGCCAGTTTTTAGCGGGTACTTTGGGTTCTGTCAGACTGTGACGGACGTATACAAAACATAGAACCCCGGTCCATGGACCAGCCCTATGGACCAATTCCATGGCCATGGCTCGCGTCGTGTCCCCAGGCCATGGACATAACCCCTGTGGGCATCTACTAATTTCACCAGCGGTCTAAGTAAACACTAATCCTGGAACCTTAAATACCCCAGTAGTCCAGTACCTCACATGAACCTCTAATTTCAGAGGTCAACTAAAACAATTTAGGTGGTTTTCTTGCAATCCCGGGAGACACAAATAACAATGGTGAAATTAACAAATGCTGGTGGACCAACAAAGCCAGCTAATGAGCGATCTTTTGTTTACCATCCACCTGCATGGCGGCGATGACGTAACATGAAAACTACCTATTGCCTTTTGTTTTCAGTGAGGTGCTGCTTGACCCTTAAATGGGTGTCTAGAAAACTCAGACCTAGAAAACTTAGACCCCCCCTGGATGGCAGAGGCTTTTCATACACGGTTTCCAGTTTCGGTCAAGTCTTAAAAAGTGATCTGTGTGAAAAGCTCCCCTGTTGCACGTGAAAAAAAACCTCTGGTACCCAGGATACCCCAAATCTAGAAAACACAGACCCCTTCAATATCTGGAAAACTGAGACACACACACACACACACAAAAAATAACATAAACTGTAAAACTCAGACCCTCAAACCGCCATAACTGCGATTATGCAATAACATTTTTTCTTTCTCTTTCTGGACTTGGATATGGTTCTTATGAGTTTGCCTGCATTTGACAACGTAAGCAAGTTGGAATAATCACAATAGAGTTTTAAAAATACAAATTCACTCTTTGAGTGAATTTTTATGTTATTGTAAGACCACAATCACCCTGTGTCCTGTCGTCTCATAATGCAAATAACCTTTTAATATTATTTAGACCCTCTCCCTAGCAAATTTTCAAAAGAACAAGGAAGGCGCGAAAAAACGTTTTTGCCATAATTCATTATCGTGATACCTTGCAGACGTTCTAAGGGGTTCATGAGGTATTCCTGCCTCATGAACGCGTGTGATGAACCCCTAAGAATGTCCATGTTGGAGGCTATTTTGCACCCCGTATTTGTTAAAATTTATTACTGTAAGACCTGAAAACGCACACCTGAAAATGAAGAACCACCATAAATTGAGGGTAAACACCCGAAAATGCAGTCTAACCAAAAATGAAGACCCCCTTTTTTTTGTTTTCAGACACGAAGTTACTGATGACTTAACGTAGAGTTAATACAAGTCGACCTCATGAGTTTCTTAGTGAGCAGGGCAAGCTTTTTAGGCTCAAAGTGGCCAAGTTAGCGATGAAGTCACGAGAAGTCACGTGCCATTTTTAAATTGGGGGGTCTGAGTTTTCCAGATTTGAGGGGGTCTGAGTTTTCTAGATTTGGGGGGGTCTGAGTTTTTGGGTCTAAGGTCTGAGTTTTCTAGGTCTGGGTTTTCTAGACACCCACCTTAAATGGACAAATGTAATGGGTTTGTTTTAGTCTTGAGAACGAGTAACCATATTTGAAAGGAACTTTACAACTCGGGAATATAATATTTCTTTTACCAATATCTCAGAAGGCACAGCCTTCCTTCTTCAAGGTCTAACATAAAAAACAACATACAACATACATGGTCTAACATACAATAATTATTGAATATTTGAAGCAGTGTGCAAAGAAAGAAGTGTCCGATAGCCCAGGGCTAGTGGATTTTTCTATTGGGCTAGTGAATTCTGTTTTTAACTTCCCGATGGGCAAGTGTTGTTTTTGAGGAATTCGAATTCATTCGAAATCAATTCTGCTTGTCAAAAAGCTTTTGGGGCTTCTTGAAATGATGACTGGGTCGGTAAATGCTGGCTTTAGCTTGCCAGAAAGGCAAGCTGTAAAAGTGATTTTCATTGCACCCTGTGAAGGAAATAGGGGGAGTGGTAGGGAGGGAGTAGTCTCCTACACAGCTCTTTTTTTTGTTGTCACATTGCAAGAAAGTCTAAACAAACACAGCTGCGTAAGGGACTACAGAGGAATCTTAATATCTGTGAGTTTGTAACAACAACATTTGTGATTTGAATGAATGGTGATTTACATAAACCAACCTGTAAGTGTTCGCAAACTGGTAACATGTCTGACCAAACACATTGTTTGATAATGTGTTGGACATTTTGTGTTATTATTTGTGAACAGGATTCAATAACTTTTCCAACCAATAAACATTTCCATCCAGGGGCTATCAAAGGAAGGGAAGTCTGGGGTGGGTACTCAATCATCATGTATTAATACCTCTTCCTCTCTAGTCTCCTACACAGCCTTTTTTGTGTTGATCTTCACGCAACTCAATGACACAAAAAAGCTGTCTAAGTGATTACCGTAAAATTCCAAAAATAAGCCCCTCCATGTATAAGCCCCTCCAAATATAAACCCCCCAAGCTCGTAACGCAAAAAAACCTCCATTGAATCACCCCTCCAAATATAAGCCCCCTAGGGGCTTGTACTTGGAAATTGCCCTCAAATACAAAGTAAAACAAAGCAAAAACGGTAAATTTCCTTCCAACTATAAGGCTAACCCGATCAATTATGAAACGCAAATTTCCGTCCATAGATAAGCCCCCCTGACTAAACTGAACCCATGTATGGAATTCAGAAAAAAATTGAGCATGTGTTTAATATGAGGAGTCTTTAATCCTGATTACATAAATTTCGTCCATTTAAGGTTCCTAAAATTTGTTTAGACCTCTGATAAAAATTCATCTTCAAAAAATTAGGGGTGCTGCATGGATGTAGTCCGTGGACCAGGTCCACAGGGGTGGTCCATAGGCCAGCGGGCCATGTTTTGTGTACGTCTGTCTGTGACGGTGACTCAGCTTATATATACTTAAACTATTCAAGATGGGATCACAGGAGGTCTTACGACAAATGTGGACTGCAGGCTTGCCAATTGACACCAGGTAAATGAGGTAAACAATGCTGTAAAATGATTTTTAAACCATCCACATCCTTAGATTTTATGTCTGTAGATAGTTTTGAGAGCATAATTATTTTCACATCTCTATACACCTTTTTTTGCTGTGGTCAGCATGTGTCTCACACATCAACAGCACTGGTGGGGACATGCAAAAGCAACATAAAAACCCCTATAGTATCAATTTAATAAGCCATCTTGAAAATTTTATTTTTCCCGCTTCCCATTTGCAACTAATAACGTAATTAATTTAGCCATTATTCCTATTTTATAATTGTCTTTTTTCTTTTTTTTTTCTTTTTCTTCAGGAAGATGTTAATGTTAAGTCTCCCTGTATAGCATGTCTAGCTGTTTTAGAAAAAAAGCAAGAAAAATCATTTATTGATAAGGTAAGTTTGCCAAAACTTTAACAAAAGTCAGTGCGTGGACAGTTGTGTCCTTTGATCAGTATTTAATATTAAATGCTGAAAAGAAAATCAAAATTAAAGATTAAACTTATTTATATGCAGTTGGGAAAAGAAACGTGCTGAAAAATTCAGGATTTATGGTTTTCAAACCCTGACCTAGCTCTAGTTGTAATACCAGTGCAGACTAAGTAGCAAGGCAACATAGGGAGGTGATCGTTAAATTTCAGGTTTGTAACAATATTATACCTGGTAAGATAAAGATGAAATGAAGAATGTCATTTCATAAGTGTTATTGTGTACTGTCGGTTGCATCTAAGCATTTACATGTGAGGAAAAAACATATTCTAATTTAATTAGGTGCAAACGTGACATGTTTTGGCGCAAAACATTCAAAGTTTGGAGTAGACAGCTGTTGTTGACTTGATTTGTTTTCGCTCAACAAAATATTCTTTGCAAGAATTTTTAGACTTTAAGAATAATTTCTGGAGGAAAGTGTGTTGTTTCTGAGGAGAAATATGCCTGAAAGTTGAGAAAAATGAAATATGAGTAAAACGAGCCAATTGGCGCAACAGTTTGCTTTAACAGCTGTCAAACTTTATGTCTGGCAGCCTATTAGAACGTGTTTTTTTATCTCGGACCCACACTTAGATGCCAGCAACGATAAAAAGGTACACTAGAGGCAACATAATGCTAGAGTACATTTGTCCTGCTGTATTGTATGGTGCTGGTAGGTGCTTTAAAGCTTAACACTTCTTTTAGGCTTTAGTTTTTTTGTTACCAGTGTTAACAACATAACCTTTTGTTATCAATTTCCTTAGATACAGTCCTCAATAAGAAAAGCTGGGCATCAGTTTGACAGCTTTATGCTTACCATTTCTTTGCCTCTTTCCATTATTCTTCGGCAGGTATGTGGCATTCTTCTCTAGTCTTTTGAGTACACTTTTTTTGTGTGTCCATAGATCATTATACATGTATACATTTATACCCATCCGGTAACATCAAAGATTTACACTCCTCTTTAGTTGGCTACCCACTTTTATGATCACTTGGATTTCAGACTCATAGTTTTCGGAATTCATGTACTAACTAACTGTTACTAATTGTTTTGTTTTGTTTATTTGTTTGTTTTTTTTACCGCACCGGCTAATAATCCTCTTTTTGAGGGGTTGCTGTAGCAGTAAATAAATAAATAATAAATAGTAATCCTGCAGTTTTAAAAAATTCCTTTTATATTCACTTTAAAATTCATCTACTTTTAATTCCTAACTCTGTCAATATTCTGTCCTCTCTCTTTTATTTTTTCTAGCATTCTGTCTCCTTATTTCTTCAAGAACATCATAGGTATGTTTGTTTTGAGTTTCATGGATATGCTCAAGAAATTGTATCGACATGTTACGGTTAAACTCTGTTATTATGGATACTGAGGCCAGGGATATAGAACGTGTCCATACCTACGAGGTGTCTCAGTGTGTTAAGTGGGTAGAATTTAGAGAAAATGTAAGGGCTTCTTTTCCCCAGTGACAACGTAAACTGTCCGTAATAATGAGGTGTCTGTAGGGTAGGGTTTGACTTTATTTGCCAACCAAGAGGTCATTATAAATGTAGGAAAAAATTGTACCTGAGGTCTGAGTACATCCTGAGGAAAGACCTGTTATAAAAAGATTCTCTCTCTCTTTGTCAGTGCTCATAAGCTGCCCATGTTGTTGAAAATAAAACACAGCTTTCCCTCATTCACAACACTAACTGAATTTGTGAATAAAGCCATCAATCGCCATGACCTTAAGCAGAAATAGGAAAATCTGGACCACACCAAAACTAATCATATTGCACCGTGCCCACTTGGAAAAAAATAATTAAGACTTTTTAAGTTTAAAAATGACTCTATTAGTCGATCCTGACTATTAAAATATTTCAGTAACCAGTACAAGCGATACACAAATATATATAGATCCAAATAATGAGAAAAGAAATCAATCAAACCTTTAATTTTGTACAAATGAACTGAGAATGAATACTTTACCACATGATGATGATGACATTGTTTAGTATTTTGCCATAATCTGGAGTTATTGAACACTAGAAGTAAAACTTTTTATGATCGTGAAAGTGTATACATGTCTAAAATTTCATATATAAATTATTCATTCACTTTCACAATCATGAAAATAATTATTATTGGAACTGTTCGAGAAAGAAAAAAATTAGTAAAACCCAGCTCACCATAATCATTATAAACAGTCTGCATTGTCTGCTTATAAAGGAAACATCCACTGTAGTAACCATAAGCTCTCTGAGCTGTGTAAGTTTAATTCCTTTGTTTTTGCTTTGACAGTTCCATTTTTGACAAAAAGATGCTGAGTGAGACCCCATCTGTTAAGGAGGTCTTTAAGTGGGTTTATGGACCAATAGTTGAGGAGTTGCTGCAAGTTGATTATATGCCATTGGTAAGACTGTTATTCTGAAGATCACTGAATTAGTATGGTAATAGGACTAATTACTGGAGTCAAATTTGGTCTGCCATCATCCCTAACTAATCATTTATTCAGTTTTCTTTGTAATTATTTTACATGTAGCTGTTTTGTTTAATTTAGCTGGCAAAGCCCATGGTACATAAGTCTGGTGGTTTCTTTGGGCTTTCTTGCCATTTTTACTTGAGTGCACAGGTGGCAAATTATATAAGTTATGAAAAATAACTTAATACTTGCACTCATATTGACATATTCAAGTAAAGATCCTTCACGTTTTGTATTTTGAAAGTATTTAGCCTGAGAAAACAGCCAACATAATTTTTGCGACACCATCCTTGTTGAATTCCCTGCAAAATTATGTCTGAGGAACACAGAAATTCCCTGCACTGGTGATGTGTCACTATGCAGAACTGGGTTATTAGACATAAGTTCTTTTGATTAGTTGAAGCAAATTCCCCTTGCTGCACGACTAATCAGAGGTACTTCCCAGTTCTGGGTAGTGTCATGTCATCAGGATAGAATTTCTGTGCTCTTTTCTCAGACATCAGTAGAGGCATTGCAAAATGTTCAGCTATTTTGTCAGGCTAACAAGTACTTAAAAACATTTTCGATTAGCACTTCGTAAAAGAACTGCCATACAGGTTTCTGTTAAATGGCCATACAACAGAATTTAGCTAGAATCATCTTGCACAGCAGTACTACCGATCAGTTCTGTGTGTCCATAACACTACTTTTAAAGTTCAGTTTGCTGCTTAACACTTGCTACAAGTCAGCCTCTCATAAGTTCTTAAAAGTGAGCGAAGTGAGCTTCAATGCATGTGGAGGTCGACTTGTTTTGCCCAAATGGATTTGAATCATATTATAAACTCATGCAGGAAAAAAATGATTGACATACAGCTATTTCGAGAAAGGTTGTCGGAAAAATTGTGCATGTGACAATCCCGAAAGGTAATATGGGATATAATCAATACACCGTTCCTAACACTGCAGCTGTCGAAGTTACGTTTGTTGCTCTCCTTTAGCAGCTCGCAAACATATGTCCATAGCCTCTCATGCTATTCTTTCAAATTTCTTTAAAGAATAGTGTACTCAAAACCACCTACAATACCTTTTGGGATTGTCGCGTGCACTTTTTCCGACAACCTTTCTCGAAATAGCTGTATGCTGTGTTGGGAGCTGTGTGAAATATTGCTCACTGTCATAATGGTTAATTGTCACAATGTCACCTGTTAAATTTTCGACCAGTGAATTTCGTGCTAAACAGGTATTAAAAGTCCTTTAAAAAGGCATAACCAACCAGGAAATAAATAAAGGACTTTTAGAAAGTCTATTTGTTGCTCTGCAATTACTCAAATTTAATAATTTTTAGGTCTGCGCACGCTGTGGTTACTTTTGTCACATTTTTTAAATCAGATGTAAATCAGTAGCAGTCATTGATTTTATCACTTGTTCATTTCCAGAGTCCATTCAAAATATCACTAGTCTTTACTCACAAGGATAATAACAAAGAATTAGAGTTTCTGTAAGTATCTTGACAGCATACAGTAAATCCTCCGTTTGACGGAGAGACTAATTTGAGAGGGGGAGCTCGTTTAATTTATTGAAGCTCATGTTATCAAATCTCCATAATAACTCAATGTAAAGTGGAAAACCTCAGGTACGTGAAGTTGGAGGTCAAGTAGGCGAAGATCAAACTGACAAAACTAAACAAGTTTCCAGCATGTGAATAAACCATACTGGATTAGTCCACATAATTTATAGTGTTACAATTGTGATTGATAAATACAGTCTGGACATAAGAATAGTAGGGGGGAAGGGATGGGGAGGGGAAGGGGGCTAAAAGAAGTGGGGAAGGCTTAATAGTGATTTTCCCCTACAAAGAGGGAGGGGCCTATCGTATAGTGGGCCTTATTTGAGAGGGAGGAGTTACTGTGTGTTAACGTTTCATTGTTCCATTTAACCACTGGCCCTCAGCTGGGTGTTTTAAATGGCAGTGACTAAAATTTAACTCCTCAACATTGTGATAGTTAACTAGCCTCAATTCTACAGGTTGGAATCAGTCAAAATTTGTCCAAATTTAAGTTTCCTCTTTTTTTGCTGGAATAGCTCCTCGTCAAGAGAAATTTTAAAATTTCCCTATGGAATTCAAGAGGATTTAGAACGGAATTTCCTAATTTTTCTTTTTATTGAGACTTTAAAGGTTTACTTTGCATGTTTATAGCTTTACCACCAATGATACTCATAATTTATTTCCTCTTAATTTGTCTTAATAGGAATAATTCTTCCAAGACAACGACTAGACAGCGACAAAAACGGCAAAAGATGGAAGCCAGTATGACAGCACCCAGTGTGAAGAAAGCCCTCGCAGACTTGACTGCAGTGAGTCAGCTTAAAAGGTAATGATTAGATATACCTCCTGTGAGTCAATATTTCATCATGCACGTGATTCTTTCCTAACTGACACTCTCGAAATGGACAACTCTACTTAAAGCCACCTTCATTAACCCCTTTTGAATTCTATGCTTTCAAAAATCATTCCTGTAAGCCCCAGTTTCAGGCACTTTTTTGCTTCCTGAAGGTGCCCGCTGAACAAAATCGGGTTCAACTGTATTTGGTAACTTCATGGCTTCTTCCCCAAACTATGTTAATTCGAGAGTCTGAATTAAGAGGCATACGCTTGTTAATTGGGGTCGGCTGAACCTTCAATTCAATCGGGTTCGGCGTTTGAGCTACACTGTAATTTTTAGGGAGTTATTATAACTCCAAAAATGGAGTAAAAATTTTAGGTACAGGATAACCCCTTTTTTGGGGTTACTTTAACTCCTAATTTAACTCCAAATTTGGGGTCATTTTTACTCCTGAAAAAGAGTTCTTTTTACTCCCAGTGTGGAGTTATAATAACTCCGAAAATGGGGTTATTTTTACTCCTTACATGGGTTGTTTTTACTCTTTTTGGAGTTTATTTAGCTCTGAAAGTGGAGTAAAAATTTTAGGTACCGGATAACTTCCTTTTTTGGGGTTATTTGAACTCCTCAATATCTGGGGTCATTTTTGCTCCTGAAAAAGAGTTCTTTAAAATCCTTTTTGAGTTAAAATATCTCCGCAAAAAATAACTCCACTGTAAGGAATTATATTAACCCACTAGAGGAGTTATTATAACTCCTTGAAAATTACTGTGTGTATATATTTTAACCCTTTGACGACCGCTTCAGTCGTTTTCGTTCCATATGGAACGATGCATATTTTCTCACCTGGACCCATATAGCTTTCCACGGGTACTTCAGTTTGGAAATTCTGACCAATCCTCACAGGGTTAGCCGGAAAAATTTAGTTTCCTTTGATAGTCTGCAAAGGGGTAAGTAGTGTCTCGCAACAGTAGCCACTGCTGACAAACAACAGTTGGGATGCATCTTGACTTTTCGTTGTAGATTTGACCCTGCTATCGTGGTAAACGAAAACCCTTATTTTACCCCATTTAGAATGCATTTACACTCCTAAGGACTATAAGTTATATGATACGCAGTACATGCTGAGTCATAGTCATTGTGTACACGCAGTTGTAACCTAGTGAGTTCTGATGTACTGTTTTTCCCTTTCAGATTGGCAGATTGTCCTCCTCAGCCTGCAGCACTTCCAATTGAGCTATCAGAAGTAGTTTGTGCTCACGATTCCATCTATATTGCAGGTGTTTATTGATTTATTTATTTTTTTTTTGCCTTTTTTACACATAAATGAAGGGGAAAAAACATTAAATTACACGTAATATACACATTTCAAAAGAAGAGAATCTCAAAAGGCGAGGAAGTCTCAAGAAGCCATGAAGGCTTATAGGTGAGTCTTCCCCTTTACATTAGATTTAGTTATAGTTATTAATTAAATATATACTTTTATAAATAAAGAACAGCATATAATAAAGAAATTTACAAAATGTATAGAGATTATTATTTGACATGAACATAGATTTCTGACAAAAGTTTTTAGTATCAGTTTTTGGTGCTTTTTGGAAAGTTAAAAGAAGGTTACAAGCATAGCATTTCAAGGCAATGATGTAGAACTTTTACAGGTTTCCTTGTAAGGTGTAATAATTTCTAGGCCTGGGGTGGGGGGGGGGGGGTACCCAAAAAAGTTTTAAATGGGGGGGCCCCCCCCCGGGGGCCCACCCCTTTCCTTTTATAAAACCTTTTTTACCAAAAAAAGTCCCCCTTCCCCCTTTAAAACACCTTTTTTGAAAAAAGGTTACTTTTTTTCCTCCTTTTTTTACACTTTTTTACCCCTTCAAAGAAACCCGTTAAAAGTTCTACACATTTCCCTTGAAATGCTTTGTTTTTACCCTCTTTTTAACTTTCCAAAAACCCCCAAAAAATAAAACTAAAAACTTTTTTCAAAAAATATTGTCCTTTCAAAATAAAAAATCTATACATTTTTTTAAATTTTTTTTTTTATTCTTTTTTTTTTTTTTAAAAAATTTTATTTTAATTATATAAGAATAAATCACAAAACCAGAGCCATAAAATGCATCTGTTAGCCCTTCTGGGCCTTTTTACAGATCGAAATTACCGATTTCCCTATCGATCGAAATTACGGATTTTCATATGCTTCAAACCAGTGAAATGCTTACCCTCATATACCTGAAGCCTGAAAAAGGTACCCATTTAGGGCGGAGCCTCTTCACATACGCAATTGTAGGGATTACCCCCTGAGTTTCTAAGTCACTCAATCCATGTCGTATCCGATATTCCCAAGGCCACAAATTAGAAGCTATCAAAGGCAAATGAAACTCACCCAAAACTGTCCAAACTTCCCCCTCTTTTGTCTTCTCATCTCACAGGGAAAGGAAGGAGAATAAATTGTATAAACGCGAATCGATCTTTGTTTAATTTGTTAATTAATAGTTTTTTATTATTTTTTGTTTTTTTAGGACGATACAACAAGTTTTCACGCGTGCTTTCTCAGACTCCATGGATAATAGACAACGTTCGGCATACTGAATCATCGGTGGAGGTAAAGTCACTACATATATTTTCTTCCTGAAAGACACACTGTACTGTTTAGAATGAAACAATATTAAATTATTCGCTTACTGATTTCAGTCACTTTTGCTTAACCTACACTTCCTTATTCTGAAAACTCAGACTTAGGAATTTCTTGCTTAGCTATGAAACTCGCATTTCCTTTTTTTCTCTAAAACAGGAAAAGATCTGTGACCGGATTAGAAACAAGATCAAGGCCGACGGTAGGAAAGTTACGTTTATAATATTGCCTACTTAATAGAGTTCGGAATAATTTCCATCCTTTCAAATGAATAAGTAAGTAATCTGGTAGACTTTTCATAGTTTGTTATCGTTTTTCGTATGAGCTTCAGGATCAAGTGTTCACCTGTACGGGCGGCCATCTTAATTTCATATGTACCGAGGGGCCGAGAGTTGAGGTTTATAGCTCTTCTTCCCGAAACCGTCCTAATTCCCCCCCCCCCGCCCCCTCCAAGTAGATTTGACACTCATCTAAGATGGCCACCTGTAATGCAAAGTCTTCGATCTCGACGATCTTACGGTAAAATAGGGGAGTGTGAACAGTCGGGTAATCTGGATGAGTTTCTTTTCACAGATCATAAATTTGCATCAGCGGGACGAGAGGACATCGATGTACTCATGCTTGGTCGGGGTAAGTCTGAATGACTGTTGAGGAGTAGGGAGAGATTGTTTGTGTTGTTCCTTGCATTGTTCAAGATATCTAAAGATACTGTAAAACGAGTAACAAAACCGTACAACTTGTTTTGCAACATTGTTGTTGCGCGTTTTACCACCTATGAATCAAAATGTCGTGCAACAAATCAGGTTATTGCAAGTTGGGTGAATACCGTCTTCTGATTTCGTAAAAACTACGCGGGATTTGATTAGTTTTACTAATTTTTGTCTTGCCTTGTGTTTTGTGTGTTTTTTTAAGTTACCAGTTTTAGAGATCTTAATTTTTGTCCCTCGATGATATTACCTATATGGTGTAGGTGCACTAAAATTCGAGTTTAAATAAAGGTTTTGTATGTATGTACAGTCAAACCTCTCTACAACGGCCACTTTGGGAACAGCTGAAAGTAACCATTGTAGAGAGGTTGAAACAACAGTGAATGTATGGACTGTCCGCCAAAAAAGATGGCCGTTGTAGAGAGCTGGCCGTTGTGGAGAGATGGGCGTCAGTGGAGAGTTAGGGTTAGGGTTAGGGTTAGGGTACCAAAAAGTTTGGGGTAAATGTTCTTGTTGTTCTGCTCCTTAACGAATAACTTTCTTCTTTGCGGTTACCGGAGGGCGAATCAAGTTTGTGACATATTTGATATGGCAGGTTAGAGACGTACATGTATTCTTTGTTAGTACTGTAAATTTAACTTCACTTTATGTTGTCTACAATTTCAGGAAGACCATTTCTGGTAGAGTTTATTAACCCAAGAGTGACTCGACTGAGTGAATCATTTCTCTCGGATCTTCAACAAGAAATTAACTCTTCAACAACAGACATTTTTGTGAGAGATCTGCAACAAGTAACAAAGTAAGGTCGGGGAGCTCACTAACAAACGTCAACTTTTTTCGCCAGAGAAAGTCGGGTTTCACTGAGACGCGTTTTCACAATAGCAGTGCATGATAATACTTCTGTAGTAGATAGTAGTGTTTCGTAAACAGAAATCTGTAAAGTTTGTTGAAAATAGTATTTGGACTTTCTCGAGGGACTATATGTATTTATTTCTCTCCCTTTCTTTGCCTCAGGGATGATTGTCAAATTTTAAAAGATGCAGAGAGTAACAAAACCAAAACTTATAAGTAAGTGAAATGTTGTTTACCCATTAATTTGGACTTGCCAGGGCACGCGTACGAATTGTCTTATCGTATGCCGATAAACTGACGACACCCTTCTGCTTGTAGGGCGGTAATATGGACAAAGGAAGAAATCGTTGAAAAACAGCTTCACATTCTTCAGGACACGAAGGTAATGATACCAAAGAACCGTTTTAAACTGTTGATTTGTGTAATGAGTCAATTGTTGGGGCAGAGGCGTTTTCGACAAAGTCCTGATCATAACAACGGCTGGTTTTACCACTCTCGAGGAACAGGAAAGAATTGACCATACATTTTTCTAGGTACTCCACGTGCGGCTTATTCTTGCCGCTCTTATTAGAGTTTTTCATCCCGTAGTACTTTACCCGGAATCGTTAACTAACCCTTTGAGAAACCGAGGGACTTTTTGCAAGTTGTGTCACAAGACACTTGCAAGTTTAACATTACTTTAAAGGTCTGACTTCATTTTTTGCCTGTTAATAGGATTTAATCATCTCACAGAAGACTCCCTTACGGGTTTTACACAGGTAATCACGTATTGTTGTAAATCCCTCGGTAATTCTTCATAGCCAGATGGCGCTGACTTTTGAAAGAGGTTTGTTAGTTTCCCAGGCCCTTTTATACTCGCACAGGAAACGCCAACTGAGCAGGCTACTTTGCGACTGGCGTAAGAAATCTTGTGTTGAGTTTTAGACAAATCAGAAGCAACCCAAACCCTCATATCAAGTTTTTTATTGTTCTCGCGCTTTTTCACGCTCGGAACTGGTTAGATATATTTGCTACGTGTTCTAGTTTGTTAACGCCTTTTGCGACTGTGAAGCCACTCTAACCAGACACGAACGAAACCTAACCACCAGAAAATTGGCTTAAACGACAACTTTAGACGTTCGTTTTGTTCTTTTCATTTGTTTGTTTTTTCTTTTTTTTTTTCAGACGTCCACTGGCTGTACGGGAGCGGTGTATTTACAGCATGATACCAGCCGAGCAAATAGACTCCCATCATTTTAACCTGTTTCTTAAAACCCAAGCAGGGACGTATCCTTTTTTTTCTGAACGTAAGTTAACTTATCGTCTATAACACGTTGTTTGCAAAGCAGTACCTTTAGTCCTCTCCTCTGTTAAGATCCAGGAGACGGAATCCGCAGAAGCCCTCTTTGTCTTAAAAGTAAGGTATATCCTTACTATTGCTTCTTAACAGTAGCGTATTGCTTTTCATCAATTGTTGTAAGGGAAGCTTCGTGAATCCTGCTTCTGGATTGGTTCTGAGCGGGATGGAGCCCACAACACTGCTTGTTCTCTTTGAATTTGGCAGCCGTCTGTAGGAAATCAGTTCTAGTTGGAAACTCAGTAACATAAACCCGATAAATCTTACCACAACTGTAACTTTTTGTGAGAAAAGAAGGGACTTTTTACTTCATGCAGAGACGGCAGAGAGTTAACGTCGTTTTAGCCTGGTCCAGGCGTTCAGATCGTTCATCGCAATTATCCCAACTCACTTGTCTTGTCGAATGTACGCCAGCACTCCTGAAGTTGAATTCCTAAGAACCATATCCAAGTACAGAAAGAGAAAAAAAATTTCGTTGTCATTGTTTACGTCCTCCATGAAACGTGAAATTAGGCCGCATTTGATTTTCACACAGAAGTCGTGCAATGACGGCAATGAAGTGTGCAAAAAAAGTGTCACACACGTGAGTCCCAAGTAAATCCGGTAAGGTTACCTCATTTGGTAAGGGGTTGATCCGCAGAACGGAAAGATATGCGTTGGACTCCCGTTGGAGCACCAAATATTTCCCTCTGAAGTTTCGCGCCTGTGATTAATTGATCCTTAGTAACAGTTTACAAAATAGGATTTAAAAGTTCCTTAACTCGTGTGTAGTTATATCAAAGAGTTTGTCCATGGAGACTTCGGTAGAACGAAACCTAACTTAGGACAGTTATTGAACACTGAGACGGACATTCTGCAACTGGATGTAGAGGTATGTCCGGTTTCACCTGTCTGCTCTTATCTGGTTCGACTTGTTTCTAATAATTAGAAACTTTAGTGGAACCTTCCCTTAATAGGTAATCATCACCTATAATGTCAAGATTTAGTGACAGCTTCCTCTTTCCCAGTCCACAGAGGCCTCTTTGTTTGGTAGGGAAATTGGGGAGAAGAAAAAAGATACGTGCGGGGGCTTGCGGGGGCTGTTTTTGGATGATCGGGATACGCAGCGGGAACCTTAGACTTGCCATAATTTCACCATTTCTTTCGTAAGTGCCCTACTTTAGCTTCCAGTTCAATTTGGCAAGATGTTATGGTGGTCGTCATTTCATAATATAAACGCAGTTGCTTTTTCCTTGCAGTCTGTAGATGTTGACTGGCCTCCAAGGAAGGAGGAGATTGATGATCAGCTTAAAGAAAGCAGCTGACAGCCACGGCCAACCAGAGGGTTACGTATGCTGTCTTCTCTTCTTCCGAAAATAAAGCGTAATATCCTAAGGAACCGACCAAAGACTTTCCATCTGATCATGGCTATGCCATGGTTTTTCTCGCGACCGCGTTATCCAGTCACTTCTACATCCAAACTGTAACTGTATAAAGTTGCAAAGTGTTTTGACGTGTCGAGTGCCAGTGATACGGAAACTATACTTTAGGCCAGAAGAACAAGCGAGAATACAGGCTGTGAGTGGCAGAAGAGTTAGCCTGCGTAGTTATGCCCAGGTTACTTTCTTCGAGCGGCGTGGAAACTCAGAAACTGTTCTCTTTACATCCCTTTCCATTTCTTTCGTCATTTCTTTTCACTGTTGCCCACTCTCCATCCCAGTGCTTTCACTTCTCTCCTCGGCTGTCATGCGCAGAAGGGCTTTAGGGTCAAGGCTCTCTCTTTTTCCTGCGCTTTTCCTCTTCATTGCTTTTCCGCATCTTTCTTTTTGTACGTTTTACCCTACAGACGGTTAGCATCTCTAGGGGTAAGGTGGCGAGTAAATAAAGTTTGTAATAGTTAACTGGCTTTGTTTGTTTTTGTTGTTTGTTCTCTGTTTTTTTCAATCGTGCCTATTTTAGCTGACTGCACGTGCCCCATTTTAACAGTCAACTTCAGGTCACTTATTCATTCAGTCGTACTACTAGGGATGAATCATCTGCACATTCAAGGCTAAGAAAAATCCGGCATTTAATTAATCGAATAATTCGTTCAATAGATTTGGTGATTGTTTGTGGAAACTATAAAGACTCTTTTACTCCATATCAAGAGGTTGTCGATAGGTAATTTTATTCAATAAGCAGTTTGCAGCAAAAAAGTGGCTGGTCAGCTGATAACTTTTTAGCCTCCCACACAGACATTCTTTTGCAGTGTTACGTCACGCTTCCTCCCCAGCGAGGAGAAGGAACGCATGACGTATCCCTAAGAACGTCTACATTAGCCTGTTCCAGGTTCTCAGATAGTGGGGAAGACGCGAAAGTAAAAGGCACTCGAAAAGTTGCCGCCCCTTCTCTCACCAGTTTCCTCCCGTTTTACTTTCGTCTTCGCGCTCTCTCGATTCAGCGGGCCCAACTATCTCGGAGCCTGGAACAGGCTACGTCTGCATAGGATGTTTCTAACTGGAGATCTACCTTTTTATTCTTTTAATGCACATACGATGTAGATGATGTTTTTAGCTATAGCACACGCCAAACAATTTCGTCAAAATATCTTCACCTGATATCTTTGATAAGTCACCGGTACACCGGGCTATAAGGTAGAAATAACAACGAAAAAACTTGTCATTCTTCCAAGGAAATGCTTGGATGGCAGTTAGATGCTAGACATTGAACACCACTGATACTCCTCCCTTCCATCTGCCAGGGGGCAAGCATAGTTTATTAGAGAGGGAGCAAAATAAATCGCTGTTCAAAAGGGGGAGGGGGAGTTTTAATCGAGGTTGGGGTAAGAATCGACTCCAAAGTTTGGACCTCCCGCAACTTTAGGGACGGATCATTTATTTTTTATGGGGTGACTAGGCAACGCAAAAAAAAAACCAAGAAGTCCAAACACTACTGCAAACTGAGCTGATCGTAACAACGTGTATTGCTTTTTCATAACAATATTTCGGCTGGCCATACCAGCCTTCTTCACGTTTACAGATGTTACTGAATTCATAATAGGAATTACAATATTATAGATGGAGAATGTCGCAATAATAAAAATTAGCCCGCGTCGCAGGCGTAATTTAACCTCGGTTAATAACGTCTACGAAGCAGCGCCAAGAAGGCCAGTGGACTAAACTCATTACCGAAAGTGCGCGCTTTTTCCTTTCAACTTGGTTGGCAAGTCGACAATAGCCTCTTCAACTGTAGCCTCCCCGCAGACGTCCTTTGGGGTTCGTTTGTCACACATTCATGTGACAAACAAACCCCAAAGGACGTCTGCGGGGAGGCTACTTCAACTGCCAATCATGGCGCGTACTTAA